GTCTCCTGTGCAACAATGGTGTCACACTTCTTGGCAAGGTAATCTTTTTAAACAAATGTAATTCTTACATTGAGGATTACTGTAATATAAGGTAGCAGCAAAACCACTTTTAGCCTAATCTCATCAAATCTCATAAGGTAAGCAATGCTGGGTGAGGACAATACTGGGATGGGAGAAGGAAAACTAAGTCACAAGTGGTAGTGGTGTTGGTGGACAAGTAGGTGGATGTTTTCTTTGATATTTTGGTCTAAAATTTCTAGTCCAGTACCCCAGTGTGCTAACCACTGTGCTGTAGGAAAGCCAAGTTTCAGATTACATGTCAAATTGCATTCTTGACTACTCGGTCACTAAATATTACATGACAGTTTTTGTAAGAATAGGGGTATTTATCCTAGTGTGCTGGTTAAATTCATCATGGTCTTAGAGATTCTGGCTGTCCTATAGTTACCCATTAATCAGTTGTTTAAGGAGTTTCTCACCTTTCGGCTGTGTAGTTGGGCTGCTGGCACAGAGTGGTGACTGCACTTTAGTAGGTAGATGATGTGAACCTCTCCAATATGTAAAGATCCTTTGGGATGGAAAGCTTTATAAAAATAATTAATATTGAATACAAAAAGAGCGAATATGTTGTATGCTTACATTTTTAGAAGAACTTTTAATAAAGGTTTTCATAAAACATATTTGTTAAAATGCATGTACTGGGTATTCAAGGTAATATGTGCACTTTGAATGAAAATCTCTATTGGTTAGAAAATAGAATGTACAGATAAAGGGTGAATTCTCATATTGGTTTGATGTAATAGAGGAGAACCACAGGGATGGTTCTTAGACTCAATGATCTTAGAATTAATGCTTTTCCTAATTTATATAAAATATGTATTTATAGTAAACAGTCAACTTCACTGGGTAAACACCAGAGATATTATATTTTGGTAAAAATATAAAGAAAATAATCTGAATATGTACTATATAAAATGTAGTATAAAAATAAACGTGATGCTTTGTGAACATTTTACTGTGCATTAGTAATAAGTAATTTAGAATGTTGTGATTAATTTGGTTAACCACATTAGAAAAATATATTGCTACTTTGGAATCGCTACAGTTAAGTAATACAGCCAAATAATTATCTGGGTTTAAAGGGACATCCTACACTGACAGGCTAAAATAATTGAATATTTTTTTTCTTCAACAGAGGTTTCCACATATACAGTATTTTATGTAATATACTGATATTTTCCTATGACGCAACTGGAAAAGATCCTTGGATAACTAAGTTACTAGCAGCCAAAGGAAATACATGGGCCTCATGATCTTCTCTCATTTGCAATGTTTCTTGTGTTTTTTGCTTTGTGCAGGAAATGTCCTTGGAGATAAGCGCAGCCGGGCCTGGGAGGGGTCTGTAGGCCCAGGAAGCAGTCGGACTGCAGAATATGGAACTGTGGCCGAGCCATCATCTTCCAGACTGCGCAGCAGCACGCACACCCACCCCAAGAAGGACCGTGAGCAGTTCCGCAGTGCACTTGTCAACATAATCATGTGAGGGCTTAAAATTAGGCGGTGGACTCACTTTACCCTCTACACGTCAAGGTTTTCTGATTTTAAATAAAACTGAGTACTTCTGTCATTTGAGCAAACCCTAGTTTTTTATTAGAAAACATGTTCCCAATGGTCTAATTACACATACGCTGGTATGCTGCTGAAACATTTATTTTAATTGGATGGCACAGTGGCATGTTGGCTGGTACTGTTGCCTTATAGCTCCAGATTCCTGGGTTTGATTTGGGCTTTGGGTACATTACTGTGCAGAATTTGCATGTGTTAAAGACCCTACCTCATTACCCTGACTCCCAAAGGTTAGGCACAGGGAATTCTCTCTGCTCTGAGTATTGAATATCAGTTGAATTGATATGTAACCGAATTTAAATCTGACTTGTATGGATAATGCACCTGGTTTGAATTTATTTAGGTTCATTCTGGTTAAGAAATGTTTGCTTTTGCTTCAGATGCATTACCATGGTCCAGACATGGTGGGGAACATGGGGTTACATCCCATTATGTGACCTTAAAGTGTGTTCATTAAATGTATAATGTCTTGCATCCCAGTCTGTCATACATTTTTGTTTATGAGATGTGATTTCATTTTGATTTTTATCTTGAGTTGAAATAATAAAATACTACCCAGCCTACTTTATGTCAGTACTGTATATGATTCATTCTATTGTGCAAATTGTGGAATAATGTTGAAAACTATGAGAAGAAAAGTCACACGTGGACAGATATACATTCTGACCCAATATAAAATAATTGTTATCATTTTAGGCAGCAGGACTCTGCTACTGGACATCCTTGTGCTCTAGATGACACACAGGCCCCATCCTCTGGATCTCCAACTTCTATTGAAAAAGATATTTTGGTATGAAGATAATCGTATCACTACATTGTAGTCACTGTTTTTCATATCTACAAGACCACAACTTTTTGTCTTTGACTATTGCACTTAAACTACATTATGGTCTGTTATTATTTCTTTCATAATATTCTTGGCTTGTCAGAGGTACTACTATTACATCCACAATGGCATTGACACAGAGCATGTGGCAGCTATGGAGGACTCCTGGCTGGAGAATGTTTTGGCTCTGGTCCCATCCCATCTGAAAAGCTTGAGTGATACCATTGAAGTACTCTCTGATGAAATGAGAGAGGATTACTTGCTTAGTGTAAAGAAAGCCATTGGTAAGCAAGTCTCCTTATCTTTTTCAGTTATGCTTAAAGCTTCTATCATTATAACTTAATTGTCTTTGTTGTGTAACAGACCGCATTTGGCAATATGAGGCACTGTTATGTAGGACCATTTCTATTAGAGTGTCAGTCTATATGTGTCTGTGTCTACATGTCAAATTAGGCAATACCATCTGACTTTAGATTAATAGATTTTGTCTCTGTGTTTTCAGTGGATTTTGTTCTAAGGGATCCCAGGGAAAAGGATGAAGCTAGTGTGAAAGATCTCCCCCCACATCGAGCAGAGTAAGTAGAACACTAACAGATCAAATACACATTCATTTTATCTTCATGCAAAAGTTTCCTTTCAGTTCCACTTCCTTATAGCGATTGTGCTTCCAAAGTCTACCCGTAACATCCACAACCCTATAGGGGTATACTGTTGTGTGTACTAGTAAATATGTCTGTAAGAATATCTTACCATTTTCAGAATGATAAAACACATAAATATATTAAAAAACAGCAAAGGACAATGGCACAAGAAGAACAGACCAATGATACAAACCCAGTATGATTTAGTTCAGAATTACAGAAACATGTTATAGTAGTTCAGGTGGGGAGCTGCGTCGACATGCGTAGGCTGCAAAGGAACAAGTAATAGGTTTATTCAATGTTGAAAAGTGAAGAAAGAAAACGTTTCGGCCGTGGAGCCTTCTTCAAGTGTATTAGTGAAGAGCCTTCTTCACACCTGAAGAAGGCTCCATGGCTGAAACGTTGTGTGTTCTTTCTTCTTTTTTCAGCATGAAACATGTTATAGTTATTTCCACCTAAGAGTGATTAGAACTATTAGTCGTTTTTTTGCTTTTGTTTTCGAAAACTGGTTAAATGTAACATACTAATTATTTATGACAATCAAAATGTGAAGGTCTGTAGGCACCCACTCTGAATACAACTGTAGTTACAAGCCCACTACTTCCACCACTGTTACCACCAGTCTTCATCATTATGATCATCATCATCATCATTATCATCAAATAATCTTACTTAAAAGTGACTGAATATGAAGTTGATTTTGCTTCAAGTAGTTCAGCATTTTTATCTTTCTAGATTGAACTAAAATATTATCCAGGTTGGAGTATTATCTATAATGACTGTACTACAGTACATTAACACCTTTATCTTTCAGAATGGAGGTGGTGCCAAAACCTTGGAAGAAGTCATTCCTTTTGGCTCAGAAAATCATGAAGGATAAGCTGAATGCTATAAATCCCACTATGCTATCAGTGCTGGATTTGTGGCATGTCTCTTTCAAGTACGTACAGTATGCTCAGTCTCATTATTCTTTTTCCTGTAGAGTTAAGGAAGAGAAGAGGTTTGTTGTTACTTTAAACATTATCATTATCAAAATATTTTTTCTATCACAAAGTGAAAGACAATATGTTACCTAAGTTCTAAGACGTGTTTCTCTCTTACACCATTTATTTTGCTTTTCTCACAGAAACCTGCGGTTGATTGATGTGGAGGAGTTCCACAACAGGCAGGAGTCCCTGGAACTATCTATTTTTCAGCAGCTGGTCATGAGGCACATAGAATCTGCCAAAGAGACTTTACTCAAAAAGTATGGCTTCAGACTTATCATCAAAGAATAGAGGTTACAGAGTAAGATTAAATCTGAGAAAGGGTGGATATTCATGTAAACATTTCCCTTCAAATCTCAGTAGTGTGGTGGTGATCACTTTTAATATTCATAGAAGAATATTTTATAGGACTGTCACATTTAACAGTTAATGTAAACCGAACTCTTTATGTCTTTAGGTGGTTTCCAGAAGTTCAACATATATATTATCAAGGTAACAAACGGAAACTTGTCCCTAGCAACAGCAACAGTGCCAAACTGCAGTCCTTTTTCAATTGTGCTGCAGCCTTGATGACGGAACAGTTGCAGAATTTAGCACTGGATTCCATCCAGGACTACACAAACCTCCTCGCTCAGTCTCCTGTAAGCACCGTGCACTAATCTGTACAAATTGAATCATGCAGTGTAGTTTTGTAGAGTCTACACTTAGACCACTTTGACTTAACACACGCTTTATGTTTTTGTACATAAATACAAAATAAAATTGTTGCAGCTGCACTCTTGTGTTAATGGTTAAAACAAAACACAAACCTTTTTGGGATTAAATAGTGCTACATTTAGAAACAAGGCAAACTTCTTTTGTTTTAGAATTCTCTGAAAATCTAAGTGAACACGTAAGTTAACTATGCAAAGCAAAGAATCCAAAGTATTTTTCTTGTAAGATAATAGTTTTATTTGCTTATTTTGTAGGATTCAGTTCGAGCTTTTGAGCATCCAGGATTCACCATGAGGCTAGTATTGGACAACACAAAAATCATCTTTGAACCAGATTTTAAAGACTTTGAGATTGTTCTGCTCAGCGTTTATGAAATCATGCTAAAAGCCATCAGCTTAGTACCACGGGTGGAGACTAAACTGTATTCCGAATGGGTAGGCAGAGACCTTTCCTTTGAGCCAATCTGCATAGAGCAATGTTCATACATTTCTTTTTGGAACTTCATGATACTTTACTAGGAAGCACCTATTCAGAGTAATCCCTGCCAGAGGAATAGTTACAAAATACTAACTACAGGGGTGTGAATAAATGTGACCTTTTTATTTTCTGGATATTAATTCTGGCCCATACTGTATCACTTTTTTAGCAAATTACATTATCCAATCTGTAAGTTTTTCTATTATTTGATATTTATCTTTCCTATTTTCTCAGGTATTACTGTATTTTGAGGAGATAGCATATAGTATATAACAGAGAATAAATCTTATGACAGGTGTGAAAGAAGAACATATTCTAAGAGAAATTGAATGGATATTGCACATATATTAATAATCATAAATGCCAATTCTGTGTGTACAGTGTGTGTTTAAGCACTTACGGTCTTTATCAGATTAGTTATTAAAGTGAGGGGGAATCATTTTTTTTCAAGTTTTTCTTGGTTTACAAAGATTCGTTTTTAAAGCAACAGGGAATGTGTTTTTGGGAGATGTCCATTAGAAATATGTATACACAATGTCAAATAACTACAGAATAGTTTGGTAAGGTATCAAATATATTGCAACAGGGGCAGTTGATTTTTCAACAGTTTCTTATCAGAGTTTGTTCTTGTCTATTTCTTAGCCTGGGACTAGGACAGGGAGCACTCTGAAGCCCACAGTCCTGCCAGAGATCCTGGAGAACAAGAAAGAGGTGGTGAGAACTGTTATCGAGAAGGAGAGATCTGGTCCTGTGGAGCACATACGTCTCTATGACAAATACATCCTGCTGGTAAACAAGCAGGCTGAGCAGGATGTGGAGCAGTTCTTGCACGAGGAGCATTCCTTTGAAGACACCATGAGGGAGGTCACCAAGTACCAGCAATTAGCCAACGAGATCCAGTACAGTTCTATCAAGGTACCAGGCTCTGAGTGTTATCTGTGAATATAAGCCTTGCAAAGACCAGTGAATATATATCAAGAATCTTTTTCTTTTCACATTGCACTTTGTTAACATTATTATTCTTTTCTATTCTGAGATTATTTATAAATAGCCATAGTACTGTAAATAATATAATAGCAGCAGTAAGGCAGAAGAAAAACAATAAGAGTACAGAGATGTTTTATTGCTTTGTTGCAGGTGATCCGTCTGGGGATGTTTGAATTACACTGTGAAGAACTCATCAGAGCTCTTGTCAAGAGAGCTGAGGGCCTGTGTAACAAAATAGTAGCCAAGATGATGAAAGATCACCAGGACATAAACCAAGCGTGAGTTAGAATATAGTACTAATACAGTGCCAAGAAAAAGTTGTGACTTTTATTTTAAAGAATACATTTTATATGTCATGATTACCTTTTATAATTAGGGAAAATGAAACTGGACTAGTACCAGTCATTTTAACGGATTCTTGCTCAGGAATGGAGTATAAATGATTAAAAGTAATGTATTTTGTTTAATGTGTACAGTGTGTGCTTTGCGTGGGGTGATAATGATTATGATAAATACATGTAAAACTAGATTTGTCTCATTCTTTTCTTCATTTGTTATCACAGGCTGTGTAATGAATTTGAAAAGATAGCAGAGAAAGCATTGAGTACTCCTCCAAACACTCAGGAGCTAATGGAGCTCAAGGTAAATCACAGCAAAATAAGCATCTAAAGCAGATGGTAGATGTGTGTGACTTTGTTCTTTAATAGTTTTATTTTTACAATTTACAAGTAATCTGTGCATGGCTTTGTTTATATACAGTATGGGGTAGTTTTATGTGCTACTCACACTGCTGACTCGTCTCCTGCCTTGGCAGGCATATGTGAGCAAGGTGGAGTCCCAGTTTATGCCAGCACTAGAGAAGAGGCTGGTGGAGGCCAAGAACCGCCTCTCCTTTCTGGTGGATTATGCCACTTTCTCTCCTGTGGAAATGCGCCTCAACAGCAGCACTTTTCAGTGGCACTCTCGTATGCCTGAGGTGTTCGAAGAACACCAGCAGATTGTTAAAGAGAAGACTGAACAGTATCAGGACGGACTCAAGGTCAGACTCCCGAAAGGCCCCTGGACCTAATTTTCTCTCTCCTGTGCTGATTAAACCCAGTACTCTCTTCACCACCACCAGCTCAATTACTGCACATTGGCCTTTCACATTCTGTTTTTCTGCCTACGTTTCTGTATTGCCTGGTATAATCTGTCTATACATGTAGTGTGAAATATATGTAATTAACCGATCATACTGTATATAGATCCAATAGATTTAAAGTTTTGTATTTGTACTGTCTCTGAAGTGACACAAACCTACTTTTAAAACCTTAAAACCTACCTTTGAGACACTTTAAAAGACTTTAGTTGTTATGCCCTTTTCTGCACAACTACGTGCCTCATTATTTATTCACAGTATAATTCTTAGAAATTATATACTGTAACTGCATTTTTTCTCCAGTTGCGGTGTGAGCGGTTTGTGGAAGAACTGGAGAGTTATGGCAAACAGGTGGATGAGTTTGTAACCTTTGGAGATATTGCGGAGCTCAACAAGTACCTGCGAAAGGCTCAAACACTGAACACCAAGCTAGATACTGCAATGGAAAAGGTGATCTCTTGTCTAAGCTTTAATGTGCTAAGTGTGTCTTGTAAATCTCTTCAGTGTTTCAGCACATTCAGTGCAATACAATGTCTTGGGGACGTCTTTTGAATTCTTGAATTGCGTCCCTTTCTGTCTTCTCGGCTCAATTTGCTGGTAGCAGTAACATCCATTTACTTTAATTCTGTAGTTTCCTTTTTATAACATCCTTACATTGTGTATAAGATTACAAAATGTGTAAGTTTATGTGTAACTTTTGAGACTTACACATTCAGAAGTATTTTCTTCACTCTTAATTTTTTTAGATTTTATTTTTATAGAATTTATGTATACCATAAATGTGTTTATTGTATAGTTTTATATTTATAGGAATGCCTTTGCTACCAGTATAAAGAATTTTCAGAAATCCATGGAAATCCAGTGTTTTTAGACTTCCTTTTCTGTTTCCACAGTTTATGTTATTCCCTTAGACTATATTTTTTCTTTTGATAGTTTTCTGTTCAGACACATATATATTGCTAGGAATTGCTAGAAGAGTTTTGTAAGGAATTAAGACTAAAGGCAGACGTTAACTACAATTAATTGACAGCCTTAGTTTGAAATAAATACATTTCTTGTTAAAAATGTGATGTTTTTATATTTTAATAATATAACTGATCTCAAATAATTAGGTGTTTGTGCTGTTATCCTAAACAGTAGTTGGTAGCTGGTAGTTTTGAAATGCAAGACTGAAGTATTCTTCTGCTGAAATTTACATTACCTGTTTTTGTGTTATACTGTATAAACAGTATATATTTCAGTCCAGCAGAGGCCAGCAAAATCTTGATAATTTATGTGCACTGTTATAAACTGTTTACTGTATATGCATATCATGTACCAACTTTGTGTATTTGAGGGAATCATGTATGGTATACTGAGAGAATTCCACAAATCATGTAATGTGGTTATTAATTTTACATCAAAGAGTAGTATTACATAAATTTTAATTTAGAATCACTAAATGTTTGTCAGAACAAAGTTAGATTATTTAATGATTATTTATATGGGCTGAATAAGTTCTAAATAAACTTTTTTTATTATTTGTGCTTTTTTATATAAATGCTCTCACTCTCAGATTGACCAGTTTAATGCAGAAGAGGAAGCATTTGGGTGGCCTGTATCACAATATCCCCAAAGAAAGAATATCCAAGAAAAACTGACCCCTTACCTGCGGCTGTACGAGACCACAGCAGAGTTCAATGCCAAACACAAGGAATGGATAGAAGGTCCACTGTCTAGCGTCAACCCTGACAAAGTAGAATCAGATGTAGGCAACTATTGGCGGGCCCTCTATAAACTGGAGAAGGGCTTTCAGGACTCTCCCAGTGCCCTGCGCATTGCAACCAAGGTGAAGACCAGGGTGGAGAAATTCAAGGAACACATCCCATTAATCCAAGTGCTGTGTAATCCAGGACTACGAGATCGTCACTGGGAAGCCATGTCTGAGATTGTGGGTCACCCCCTGAAGCCCAGTGAGGATACCAATAGTATTTCCAAATTTATCCCTATGCGTCTGGATCCCTACCTTAGTCGCTTTGAAGGCATCAGTGAAGCAGCAAGCAAAGAGTATTCCCTGGAGAAGGCCATGGAGAAGATGGTGGTAGAGTGGGATGAAATGGAATTCTCCCTTCTGCCCTATAGAGAGACTGGCACTTCCATCCTCTCTGCTGTTGATGATGTACAGATGCTGCTAGATGACCACATTGTGAAAACACAGACCATGCGTGGCTCCCCCTTCATCAAGCCCTTTGAAAATGAGATACGGTAAGGCCAATCTTGACATTTGGCATCTTGAGAGCTTCAACTATGAATTCTTCTGCAGCTCTGCACTTGTTCTTTTAAAGTCTTTTAAAAAATGTTATACAGTAGTCACCTGTGTTACTGTAAACTTTTTAAAGTGATTAGCAACTATTTTTTTAATAACAACCATTTGTAATAATAAATCCCATATTCCTTGTCTCTAGTTTTACTTTTGAGGTAGGGAGATTTTGTTAATATTATTAATCATATTTACTGTATATTCTTTGTCTTACAGGGACTGGGAAGGCAAACTGCTGTTGCTGCAGGAGATCTTGGATGAGTGGTTGAAGGTTCAGGCCACCTGGCTTTACTTGGAACCCATCTTTAGCTCTCCAGACATCATGGCCCAGATGCCAGAGGAGGGGCGCCGCTTTACCACAGTTGATAAGACCTGGAGGGAGACAATGAAGCAAGTGTCATTGGTAAGGACTCTGAGTGCACAATAAATTGGTCACATAAAACTAAGAGCAAAACTACATTCTAAATTGAAAGTTAAAATGAGAAGGTTTTTAAAATGTTGACAGTTGTAGAGTTTCTACTGGATTTATGACTTAATTACGTAATTTTGAGCTGATCGTTGTTAAAGAAAGAAGTCCTGAATCAGCATATCCAAGCTTAAATGTTGGAATATAGTCATGCAATAAGATTTTAAGATAGCCTGGGGCTATCCTTAGACTATACCTTACAAGTGAGCTGAAGAAATTCACTTGAATTTAAAGTCCACTCTGAATTTCACAGGGAGCCAGTGCTAAGAACAAGATTTACAAGATTATGCAAAATTATTTTAATTAGTATACAAGCTGCAGGTCAACTCAGGATATACTGATCTCTATTTAATACCTCAGTGTACTCCCCAGTACATAGGGCATTACAGTATTTCTAATTTTGATTAAATAAAGGCACTTATGAATACTTCACCATCTGATAAAAGCAAAAGCAAGTGCCTTAAATGAGCAGTATTGTGCAATGAATAAAACATTGTAATGACAAAAACAACACTGAAGTCAAACATGTTGTGAAACTAATGCTCAGTGCCTATGAACATAACCTTAGTCTTGTCACAGTTTAACTGAATTTGGACCTGTTGCATAGGTACAGTACCTCAAGAGTGCAGAAACTGTAGTTGTAACATCAGATTTGATCTACAGTACATTATATGTTAATCTAGGTACTAGCAGCATATCAGTGAAATCTAAGTCCATGATGCTGAATAATTTGACAAAAAGTAATATTCAAATGTTAAATAATAAATACATTTTAAATACGTTTCTAGCACAGAACCCTGTGGAACACCATGAGTGAATCAAGACCAGACCTAAAACAGAGCAGAGACAAAATTTATGAAGTGTCTTCTGGTAGCCAAATAGGAGCCATACCAATGAAGAGAAGTACAGGTCCCAAGAAAATATTCTATGTGCTCTAGTAGGATGCTGTATTGACAGTATAGAAAGCTGTGCTTGAGTCCAGAAGGAGGAAAATATTAAGGGATCCAGAGTCAGCAGACATCAGCAAATCATTAAGTACCTGAACAAGGGCTATTTTAGTTAAAGGTTCAAAAAGATAATTAGATGCAAGCTGAGAATTGTAATTGAGCTGCCACAGCCCATTCCAGAATTTTTGTGAGGAAAGGCAAATTGGAAATAGCATGGTAGTTGTTAAGTACCTGAGGGTCCTGGCCAGGTCATCACAGGTATTTAACATAGGTGTGATAGCAGCAGACTTTTAAGCCTGCGGTCATTTGTTCTCTTTATCAGAAACCCTGCTTGGGATATCAGTAATGAATGAGCGAAAAAGCAACATATTGTGAAGGTCACAGCACTGTGTCGCCGAGTTGCTACATTTTAATCAGCCAGGTTTCCACAGCATTGCTTTAAAAAAAAAGTTGCTTGTTTTCTCCTGAGATACTCTAAAGGGTAATTGGCATCCTCAGTGGGTCCAAAATGAAACACATCAATATAGTATATTGTTCTCTAAAAGTACTTGACAAGGCCATGAAATAGAAAATATGGATTTATTCTGTGAGAGACCAATGATGTGAAATGGCAAGAAAAATTAGATCATAAGCTCTCTGTTTCCTATCTCACTACTATCTCACTAATATAGTATATACTGTATATTGAGTGTAAGAGAGTGAGAGCTCTGTTGTCTGGTGGTTAGCTGTTACTAAGCTTATTGATTGATGGGTTATTTCCAGTTTGAATAGAACTTCACCAAGATTGTAAACCAGAGATTTGTAAAGGTTTTTTATGATAATTAACTGATTGCTCTTAATGGTCCTTTTCTCAATAGCACTTTAAAAGTCTAGAATTAGCTCAAGAAAAAGAAGAAAAAAATTATACTTGAAGGATGCACATATATGGTTATTTCAGTAAACATTTGCACACATGATCTTGGTCCTCTAAGATGATCCTTGATTCACAAGACAGTCTTGTCTTATGTGCCTTGTATATTCCAAAAACGTATCAGAAAAAGAAACACATCACTAGTAATCAAAAAATAATTACAAAAACTAGTAATTAAAAATCTCTAAATCAGCTAATAATTTAATGGTGATAAAGAACAATCATTTATTTATATACTGAATTTGTCTGAGGAATGATCACCTGACCATGTGGATAAGGGATTCTGATAATATGATAAACCAAAGGATTCAGCCAAAGGTGGTGGTGATGAAGATGGTGGAGGGGTGCAAACATGACAAACACTGGACAAAATGGACTCAAGGCTCATGTTCATAACCTGTAAAGCTGATTAGGGTTTGCGTGACCTTGCGGGTGGTACTGGTGCCCGACTTATAAACCACAGGTTGGGTGTTCAAATCCAGCCGGCGCCGTGACTTTTATAAACCTACAGTATGCACATTTTGTACATATTTTATTGTTTTTACAGTGACTATGATCATCACATTTTGCAGACACCTATGTATTTATTTTTTTATTTTTATATTTATTTTGTTGTCTTTTGTTTTATAACTATTCTGATGTCTGTTTTTGTTTGTCTTGTGCTGGACTGCTGTAACACATCAATTTCCCTATGGGATTAATAAAGTCTTAACTATCTATCTCTTATTTCCCAGGTGTTTGTTACAAACTCTGGTCAGCAAGCAGAAGTACGGTCATACTGTAGCTCACCACAAGGTGGCACTGCCTACCAATATTCAAAACAAGTATTGTTCTTTCAACACATAATCTCAAGTCATTTTTTTCTACTGGTTTTATGTATCAGTTAATTTGTTTATAAAAGAGGACATTTAGAAGAAAAAAGTAGAACCATCTAAAAATTACATTAAAATGTTTTCCTTCGATTTATTTCATTATAATTATATTGCATTCTCTGAATTTAATATGAGTGTTCACTAATGAATATAAATGCTGAAATATTACCTTCCAGTTTAATAGCCTGTTTTAGTGGTGTCAGACTAAAAGAAATCATTATTAAGCTGTCAGATAGGTAGAGCAGAAAGCAGAAAGAAACTGCCAGCAGATGACAAGACAGTTCCTTTTCAAGGTAAAATGTTTTGACCCATGGTGCTGCATGCATTTAATTAGAGCCACGGAACAGAATTGAAATATGTCAAGACAAGAGAGAAAGAAAAGAGAAAAAGAGAGACTGTCACTGAAAACAGAATATGACAGTTCCATACCCTGAAAACCCCCTGAACTCGGTGTCAGAGTAGACATGGTAGTGCCAAGCAGACATGCCACACACACTTTTAGACTATACATAAAAAATAGAAAACTACTGTTCCTGCCTGTTTGTTTTGCTGGAAAGTAGTACTTTTCTAATCTATACCTCCATCCAGAATGTCTATTATGAGAAAAAGGTTGGGAGCAGAATCATTACATCCTCTATGCTAAAGTTTTTTTAATGTAAATATAAAAGTGAACCCTCTGTTTTACCTCTCAGAACAACTCCTTTTCAAATAAATGTTTAAACATTTGAATTTCATCCACATTCATATGCAGTTCTTGGATAAAGGAGGTGAATGACTTAATTTCTTAATTTATTCAAGCCAATTTATTCACTGGAGTAATTTTGTTCATAAAAACACAGAAGGAGGGTGTCACTTTGTTACCAGTCTCACAGATATTAATGAAAAACAGGATTTCTGAATTTCTGTCCTCTATGCAAAATTATTAAAATAAATAATTCCCTTTGTCAACTTTTATACCACATGGGAGCTATTTCTAGAATAAATCTTATGCTACCACTTCACAGATATTTATTTAATAAACCAAAATAAATTTACAATTAAAAAAGCAAAAATCAAATCAGTCAATAATTAAATATGGCTTTCCTGAGAATGTTGCATTACAAGTTACCACTAGTTGTATTTATCAGTGTAAAAGAACTGGAGAGTTATGCTAAACAGGTGGGTGTTTGGGATATTGCAGAGTTCAACAAGTACAGTACCTGTGAAAAACTCAGACTCTGCAATGGAAAGGTGCGCTTTTGCATTTTGCATCATGACTATACTTGCTTTAAAGGTCACAGTAATAATACAAGAAAGATTGCAAATGAGAGTTGACTATTTAGCCTATGTAACTAATTGTTCTCAGATAGCTTGATGATCTGATGATCTTATTCAGTCTTATCGACAACTCAACTGGGTAACTTTTCTGCACTCCCACTAACCTAAGTTTAAAAAGAATACTTTTTTCACAGGAAGGTTTTATATTTATTTCCATATGCTCTCTGGTTTATAGTACAGAGAGCGTATGGAAATAAATAAACATTTTGATGTTGTCCACTGGGTTCACTTTATCAGTACTTAAACCACGACCCATTGTAGTCTTCTCTGTTCAAGATTAAAATGTTTCTTTTTTTAGCCTGTAAATTCCTGTATCTGAAAGTAAGATATTCTTTCATATACTATAGGGAATGTTCCTGATTGCCTGATTCCAGAGTAGCAATATTTTTTTGCTATAGTGGAACCTAACATAAACACAATATTCTAAATTAGGTCTTGCTAATGTAATGTAATTTTAGAACCTAACTTTCTGTTTGAATTTTAATATTTTCCCCACATTGTCTAAAATAATGATTATCTAATTATTTTGTAACAGAGACCAGCTTCTAAGGTCTGTCTGCTTCATGGACTGCTTACACTAACAAGTGGTACATAGCAACAATACAAATAAATTATAATATCAAGGTTAAAGCAGGGACTTGTCAGCATTGCTTCAGAGACAGGTGCTGGTCTATGGACAAGGGTTTGAGAAATCTACTGTAGGTCTAAAAGATATAAATTATGTGTTAACATAAACTTCTACAGTAGGTATTTTTCTTAAGTAGCTTCTTGAAGTTTTTGTTTCCCACATATTTGAGTTCATATTTTGCTACCTGCTTGTAATATTCTTTCTGTGTCTACATTAAATGTCATCTGCCAGGTGTTTACCCTATTTTCTATCTAGTAACCTTTTCTTGTTACTTTGTTATTTTGAATGCTCAAGGCAATTCAGTCTTGAAATTAATCTTTTATAGGAAACATTATTAAAATTTTTCTTAAAATTTAAATGTACTGTACCATATCATATACAGTATATTGCTTGTACCCATTGATGCTTTTGCTTGTTAAAAACAAGTATTAAGAACTTAATCAAAGCCTACATTTTTAAAATCTGTTAGCTGTCCTCCTATAGTTTAATTCTTACTATTGTTTCTGTAACCTTGCATGTAATAAAAGCAAAACTGAATTTAATTTATTTATAGTCCTGTTTGCAAGTGTGTTCTACTAGATATTAAGTTTTCTATTTAGTAGAAAATGCCCGACTTTAAGACAGGTTTTGTTAATGTTCTATGAATAAGTGAATAACATCTCTTGGTCCTTTCAGTGCAACTGGTAGAATACAATTGGGCTCACTTGATGCTCAGTTTATTTAAATGATTATTTCTTTGTCATAGCCAATGGATGAACAACATGTCAAGCATTGCTAACTGATTTGTTATTGTTGGCATCTGCATTATTAGGACAAGCATGTGCTGGCAGTGGTGGCAATTGACAAGATGCTAGAAAAGCTGAAAAAATCCAATGAGTTTCTGGAGCTGATCCTAAAAGGCCTTAATGAATATCTGGAAAAGAAGCGTCTCTTTTTCCCTCGTTTCTTCTTTCTGTCAAATGATGAGCTGCTTGAGATTCTCTCAGAAACAAAAGATCCAACAAGGTAGGCAAAACTGCTTAGGTGTAATTCAAACATCTCTGTTTTCATGCTTTATTCAAAACCATATATTCTTCTTAATACCCATTTTGGTAATATGCAAGAATATAATACTAGCTACTTCAGCTGTGAAATGTAAATCCTATATAGTGTATATACACTATTAAATTGGGCAGCTCTAGAAGATCTTTGCTATTTGTGTAACTTGATAAGATCATGCCTTGTTGCCTGTACAGGAGCTCTGTGACTTGTTTTGCAGAGGGAGGGATGGCAGTACAGCTTTGCTTTTCAAGAGGGATTTATCTGATATGATTTGGCCACATGGGCAGCTCAGCATTGCGCTTAGAAATTGCCTATATTATTAAGAGTAAAAAAGCAATTTAGCTGAAATCTGGGTTTAGAAAACTAATTTCAAGCCTTGAAAGTCATGTCCTTTCTGTGGGAATTTAATTATAGAGATCTTTTCTTCACGCCTGCAGTGTTGAGAGTGACGATACCATGCCCTACTTACAGACTACAGTTGCTAACCAGTTTGGCAGTGTTAAGCAACTGATGTTTTATTTAACCCAAGGTATTTTTTTTATAATGCATGTCTAGACAATGCAGCTACAGCTTCTTATTTTTTTATTAGAATTTCTGTCAACAACTGCAGTTTCAAGTATCTGAATTTAAAAGAACAAAGTAAATTGTGTAATGTAATTAAAGCATCACATGATGAAAGTATCATATTAAATCGTATTGTACGGTCATGTAAGTGAGTCATGGTGTGGTCATTGGTTGTGTGAAGAAGTTTTGTCCAGCTGCTAAACAATAGGTTTAGATATTTGGGAGTTGAATCTTTGTGCAAAATCTCTTTGGTGTTTAATCTGTCGAAAGCTTATGTGTTTATGTTGCATGATGTTTGATTTACTTTTTGACCGTATATAAATATGTGCTTCTGATGTGAGTTTATCACAAAGACTTGACTCCACCTTGCAGGGTGCAACCCCACTTGAAGAAGTGCTTTGAGGGCATTGCAAGCGTGGAGTTCACTGATGTGCTGGACATCACTCATATGAAGAGTAGTGAGGGTGAGGTAGTGCAGCTTATTGAAGTCATCTCCACCTCCAAAGCACGCGGACAGGTGGAGAAGTGGCTGCTGGAGCTAGAATCAGGCATGCTGAGCTCCCTGCACAAGGTACAGTACCGTCAGCTGACAGGAACAAAATAATAACACCTTGACATGATTCATGGAACTACACTGTATCGATTTGGGAAACAGGTGTCTTGCTAATAAAAAGTAATACACTTGTTTGGGATTTTCACAGTTGTTTTTCACTTTTTGTGTGATTAAAAGAGTCAACATTTCACATCTTGAAACACAGCAGTATCTGATGTTTTTTTTTTTCAAATTTAAATCTGTATTAGAATATTGTACATGCACATTGGAAATTTGTTTATAAAAAACAAGAGAGTCAACAAACAAATTCAAGAAAAAAGAATGGACTGATTGTAAGATGGGGGACAGTTAGGATTGGATCTCATGTTTAGAAGATAGTTTCAGAATGCAGTATCATTCTACTGTATGTTATCAGGTGATTGGTGAGGCGATAGAAGCTTATCCCAAGAACCCGCGGATAAACTGGGTGCGGGAATGGCCTGGACAGACAGTGCTATGTGTCTCTCAGATCTACTGGACACAGGACATTCACCAAGCCATCAAAGGAGGACAGAAGGTGAGGACAGACAAAGTTATCTCTACTTTGCATGTATTTCTCTATATACTGTAGACATCACATTGAAAAAATAACATATAGCATTACTGTAAGAGCTTTTAAAAATTAGTTTATTTGTGTAATTTGTCTTTTAATTATGGAGGAAACACTAATACAATCTTTCAAAAAATCTTTTTAAACACAATTGATGTTGATCAGAACTGAATGCACCTCTGCACTATGCACTGTTCACTTGGACTACCGTGTATTTTTTCACTACCATGTATTTATTGTTCTATTGTACAGACTATCACTATTTAATGTGTACTGTTTTGTCTTGTCTGCTGTACTGTGCCATCTGCTGTACTGTGCATGTCCTGAGAGAATGGCACGAATCAGATTTCCAATTTACACATACATATGGCAATAAACTCCTCTACTCGAAAAATATCTTTGTTGGTAAGAAAGGAGACAATTCTCAAAGTCAGAACATACTTATATTGTATGTGTACGGTAAAACTTCAGTATGTGTGTGAAGTCTATTTAAAGTCTACAAATGGCAAATTTGTTTTCAAATATGTTACTTGACCAAAAGTAGTTACTTCAAAAAATAATTCAGTAAAAGTAAAGTTCCCTCTAGGAAAACTACTCAAGTAAAAGTACAAAAGGATAATGTCTTAGTGATTTCAAAGTAATAGAAAGTGTCTTTTTTGCTGTTACAACTACTTTTTTGCTAGTTATTTTCACTAATTTTCCCAACTTACAATTAACAATACTGATGTTACCAAACCAACAGGTAAGACCGTATTTTAAGAGACTTTCAATAAATGACTTCTAGAAAAAATGTATCTACCTTGAAATAGCTTTCTTATAAATGGTGTCACAAAACCTTAGGCTTTTGTCTATGATCCAGTCCCAAGTCCTTGTAGTCACTGATAATGTCTACAGTCTGAATGTTAATAACTGTATGTTGGAGGGGTGTTGCATTTTTCCTAATATTAGTGACTAGTTCTTTTGTTTTTAAGACATATAAGTTCAAAGAGCCCTCATCACACCATTTAGTAAAATCATGTTCTTTTGTTTGTTTGCCTTTTGTTTTGTTTTTCTGTTGGATTTTTAATGTTATGTTTCTTTCAGGCCCTGGAGGCATACCTAGACCTGAATAACAAGCAGATTGATGACATTGTGACACTGGTGAGAGGGAAGCTTTCCAAGCAGAACCGGGTAACTCTGGGGGCTCTGGTGGTGCTCGATGTTCATGCACGTGATGTTCTAGCAGCACTGGTCCAGAAACGAGTCAGTAGTGAGAACGACTTTGAATGGCTGAGCCAGCTTCGATACTACTGGGAGGTGAGCCACAGATTTCCACATACACTTTAAGATAATCAATTCAAAAATATCCATAGCAAGCTTTCGAAGATCATAAGTTTTTTTTATTAAGCTGAAATATTATTATATGAATGAATGTTCTTCCCCATAGGAAGGGGACCTTCAGACTAAGATGATCAACGCTGGTCTGGCTTATGGCTATGAGTATCTTGGCAACACGCCGCGTCTGGTCATCACCCCACTTACAGACCGCTGCTACAGGTGGGTCTATTGGAAAATTGTCTATGATGCAGCCTTCATAATCTGTGTCCATAAATGGAAGTAAAGATGGATGTTTGCTTATGTACATGCAGTATGTAGTTAGCTTTTCACTAAATCAAAGTATTTCAAACCATTCCCTTTAAAAGGTCAGTATTTACCCTCATAGTGCGTTCTTGAGTTACCTTATATATGATATGACAAGCCAGTCAGAATGTATTTTGTATTATTAAGCACACTTTTACTGCAAGACTAAATATATTCTTGAAAGTTTATTTACTGCTCTAGAGTTACTGAACTTATATTTACATTTCAAGTAGATGATAACCTTATGTATATTCATTGTACATGGCTTTTCCTGCTTGCAACAGTTGTGCTAAAAGGTCTGAAACAAAGGAATGAAATACTTAAAAGTATGATAATAACAAAATAAAGTACAGTATTACCAATAAGTAGAATTTAGCTATTAACAATAGCTGCAGGAATCTCAATGATTGTAAAGGTTTGGCTGATATAGTTGCTTTGTTTTGCATTTTTACATGCTTTTTTCTGACTAAAGACCTCTTTCACCTGTCATGTATGTTTTTGTATTGTATTACAGTATCTGGAGTATTTGACCAGAAGAGAATAAAAAACAGATGAATTATGAATCTGCATATGAATCTAAATCTAAACTCTATATAAATTTGACCAGAAATAAGACCTTTGATCCTAAGAGTACTATCTCTAACACAAATGTTCTTTCCTCTGGACATAATTAATAGAAGAGAGTTTCTCTTTTTTGGCTCCTAGTTGCATAGAACAGGTTTTAATTAAGGAGATATCCGTGGGCTCTCCCCTTGCTATCCATACTCCAGAAAAAACAAGAGACTTTTTTCAGGTATACTAATGGAAACAGACAACAGCTAAACAGCTGGTGTTAGCAGCACAACTCTACCCTCCAGCACCGCATTTATCTGAGCGTGCAAAGGGTGATAAGATTATGGAAAATAGGCATAGACATCACAAATCAGTTTAAGTAATGAGAAACATAATACAAGAAATACTGTATTTTTTTTTCAAATATGGGAAGCTCTCAGTCAACCTAAATTTGAGAATGGTGGACTTGATTTCCTTTTGATTTATATTCAAAATATACACCTTTGTCATGAATTTAAAATTAAGTTAGAATTAATTTACAGTAGTTTTAATGTCTAATACCTGATGTTTAAGTCCTTGGGAGGACGTGATGTTGGGCTCCCCCGTCTTCTAAAGCCAAGGGTATGAAATTCAGGATTTACATCCTCACAAAGCACAAATACAAAGACCTCTGTTTCCTAGAAGGTCTCACCATTGGAACTACCATGGCTCTCTGACTTGACTGCTGTGCCTCAAAGACACACTGAACTCCGATATCTTTGCTGATGTTAAAGCTGTCTGTGCCACTCGGAGAAACATCAAGTTTTGCCTTGACTAATTTCTTTGATTGATGCTTTTCATCCAAAGCAACTTGCATTTTTTGTTTATACAATTTGGGCATTTTACTGAAGCAAATTTTAGTGTAGTATCTTGCTCAGAGATACTAATGATACTCAGAAATTGAACCCACAACCTTGTAAGCCCAATAATTTTTAGTTAAGAGGCCAGAGCCCAAACCATTTCTCCATGTTGCTGCCTGTCATCAAGGAATGCAAGAGGATGGATATCCTTCAGATAGCCAGAAAGCATCAAGCAATGTGATGGTGACTTACAGTATGACCTGCTGTATGCAGTTCATTACAGCCATGACCAAATTCAGAAGCTGTCATGATCATGTGAAACGTCATGCTGTTTTTGTCTTCTTAGGACTCTTTTTGGGGCCTTGCATCTACATCTTGGAGGGGCTCCTGAAGGGCCAGCTGGCACTGGGAAAACTGAAACAACGAAGGACCTGGCCAAGGCAGTTGCTAAACAATGTGTTGTCTTCAACTGCTCCGATGGGCTTGACTATATTGCACTGGGAAAATTTTTTAAGGTAAACACTGACTCATGTCTTACTTCTCCCCCTTCCACCACCCAAAAACTGGATATAAGGCTTAATCTTGTATTTGCTAGGGCCTGCTGTCGTGTGGAGCATGGGCTTGCTTTGATGAGTTCAACAGAATTGATTTGGAAGTTCTTTCTGTTGTGGCACAGCAGATTCTTACCATACAAAGAGGTATTGATCATATTTACTGTTTCACAAATATTTTTTGTAAGGAAACCATTTAGAATGTTAGTCATCATAAAATGATCCGTTTCCTTTATGCTTTTCCTACTAACTTGTTATTAAAATATTCCTTATAGTAGTAAATAACCAGATAATGGCACACAAAACTACAGTCTTTTAAATTGACATTCCTACAAAGCCTGACTTTTAAACCAGTATTTTTATATACATTGTCGTAAAAAAAAAAATTACACTGGGCATGGACAAAGTATTCAGAATTCTAGAATTGAAGTATTGAAAAAAATAGTTTTTTTTTTAGTTCATGGTCATCCTACATGATACAGATAAGTTACATATCACATAGACACCATTCATTTTCACTTTCATAAGATCTAAAAATACAACAGAATATATGTTCTTTTTTTTTTCTCCACTAGGTATTTCTGCAGGCTCAGAAATGCTGATGTTTGAGGGTACAGAGCTGAAACTAGACCCCACTTGTGCTGTGTTCATCACTATGAACCCGGGCTATGCTGGCCGCTCTGAGCTTCCAGATAATTTGAAGGTAAAGATCTGACATAACAGTTTATTTTATTCCTAGGGCTAAGGCCAATCTGCATTACAGTGGAATAGTGTTTAGCACTGGTGCCTCATAGCACGTGGGTTCTGACTTTTCCATTCCACAATGGGACACCTTATACAGTATGTGGAATTTGCATGTTCTACTGTTTTCACTTGGATTTTCTCTCGTGATTCCCACCTTTCAAGGACATGCTGTTTGGGTAAATAGGAATCACTAATTTTCTTGTGCTCCGTGCTTTTGAAAGGCGAGGTTGCCACAACCAATATCATCAATATGTGATTTTCTGACGATATAAATCAAGCTCAGTTTGAGTTTCAGTTTTTCTGCCTTTTTATCACTCACAAATTATTTTATCACTCAAAATGGCAAAATGTTATACCCTTTATTACTAGCACTTCTAATTGTAACATCAAAATATACAAATCAGTTTTTTTAGATTCTATTATTTTGACAAAATAAGATATTATTTACAGTACTGATCACTTGCAACATGGTCGCTTAGTTTTCTCCCTTTGTAACCCTTTTTCCCCCACAAATATGCTTAATACATGAACAAATTGTCACATAATAAAGACTTCACAGATGTGTGTTCACAATCCTCTAGGCTCTCTTCCGGACAGTTGCTATGATGGTGCCAGATTACGCCATGATTGCAGAAATTGTGCTGTACTCCTGTGGTTTTGTCACTGCTCGGCCCTTGTCTGTGAAGATCGTGGCCACTTACCGGCTGTGCTCTGAGCAGCTCTCCTCCCAGCACCATTATGACTATGGCATGAGGGCTGTCAAGTCAGTCCTTACTGCAGCAGGGAATCTTAAGGTAAAGAGATACATTGCTCTGTCTTCATTCATTCAGTTTGTTTCACTTTTTCTCTAATTCAGAATAAATTTTAGGTTAATTATCCAAATCTATATCTGTTATACAGCATCTATGAATACAATTATGTATTGATTGCCATTCCTTGTAGATTTGTATCTAAAAGTATATTAATAACCTTTCACATCTTGGAAAACTCTCTTATAAGGTGGTGGAATATGAAAAGATCCCTTTAGTATTTCAAAAAGTTTTCATTATGTCATTTTTCTTTTTCTGCTGTAGTTAAAGTATCCTGAAGAAAATGAAGACATTTTGTTACTACGGTCTATTATAGATGTTAATCTTCCTAAGTTCTTGGCCCATGATTTGCCACTATTTGAGGTAAGCATGTTTAGCGTTATAGTGCATTTATTCCAAAAAGCAGATGTATAGTATTTACTTTTTTTATTTCTGTCATGAAGGGGATCACATCAGACCTCTTTCCAGGGGTGAAGTTGCCTAAACCAGATTACCGACTGCTGATGGAAGCCATCATGGAGAACAGCAAAAAGATGAATCTACAAGTGACAGACTTCTTTGCAGAAAAAATCCTTCAGATCTTTGAAATGATGATTGTGCGCCATGGTTTTATGATTGTTGGAGAGCCCTTTGGTGGCAAAACTTCTGCTTACCGTGTCCTGGCTGCTGCACTCAATGACATCTGTGAACAGGTATTGTGTTTAAAAGTTATCGACTTTCCTGTTGGTCAATTTTGTAATGTGAAAATAGCTTTAAATCTTTGGAACTCCAAAAATGAATAAAAAAGGAAAGGATCTCTAGGACATTTGGAGCACATTGCCTTAGGATCGTCCTGCAGAAAACCTTGGCCTTGTTTTTCAATGAACAGATCTTATTATTGTTAATATTTTTGTGTCTCTCAACCGTCACCATCCTCAAGAGGTGAGGGGAAGGCTAATATATATCATATAAAAAATAATAATTTCAGCAATATTGTTATAGTGTTTATATTTGCATTTTAAAGCACCTTATCTCAGGCAGGTTTATAAACCAAAAATTGATTGAACAATACTTTCATATGTATTTCATATGTATTATAATTTGAATGTTTAAAAAAAATATAACAGCTCTAAATGAAAAAGTGAACTAAAAGTGTGCTGTTTGCAATTTGCTATAGTTATGACTATATCTCTTCTGATGTCAAGGATACAGTAAATGGCTTAGAATACATGAACATTTAAACATTTAGGTGGGCAAAGATTTAGAGTGCCAGACTTCTCAAAGAACGAGTGAGAAATCAGATTGGTCTACAATCTGACTATTAGAGTAATTGAGTAGTATTTATTATGGTTTACATACTGTAAACATCACGCATTGTGTTTTTGTGTATTTTCTGGCGCTCGTCTCTGAGACAACTTTTTCACATACTTTATAAAGAAACTGTCCTCCAGAGATCTTTATTAAATTGCTTTTGTTTTTTTTTTTCCTCTTCTGTTCTTTTGCATAGAACACTTAGTGATAAGGGAAAAGAAAAAAAATACTGAAGCATTTATAAAGCTAAAAGAAGAAACGATTTTCAATGATGCACTGACATTTATGAAAGTTTGTTTAAAATATATTTTTTTATTGTCTTCAAAACCTGATAAGATAAGATCACTTTATTAGCCATATACAATTTCTTGCATTAGGAATTCGCATACCCCAGCTTGCTCTCCATGAGACACAGACACACAGGCAGGGAGAGAAGCTTGGAGTCAGAGCACAGGGTCAGCCATTGTACAGCACCCCTGGAGCAGTTGGGGTTAAGGGCCTTGCTCAGGGGCCCAATGGAGTAGGATTCCTCTGCCAGCCACAGGACTTGAAACGGCAACCTTCCAGCCACAGGCACAGATCCTTAGCCACAGTCATTTATAATATAATCAAAAATAGAAAAGCTACACAGATATTTTTTTGTTGTTCACACAGGGCCTGATGGACGAGAATAAGGTTCAGATCACAGTGATCAATCCGAAGTCCATCACCATGGGTCAGCTTTATGGCCAGTTTGACCCAGTCTCACATGAATGGTCAGATGGTATTCTAGCAGTCAGCTACAGAGCATTTGCTACTTCCCAGGTAAGCAGTAATATACAATACATGCAGGCTTCAAACTATATATTTAATTCACAGTGTGCTTCTACCGATAAATGTAGCAATTGAACAAGGCTAAAATGGTCCTAAAGGGGAGTCAAATTGAAATGGATTCTATGAAAATTCATATAAGACTGAATAAAAGCCCTAATGTTGGACAGTCTCAATGTAATGTGAAGTTTAAAATCTTTCAAGGTTATTTTCTTTTTGATAAATTAAATTCTTTTATCAGTTGTATATGTTTTGTGCCTCTTCATGTGTGTATGCTCTTTCACATCTACTGTCACCTCATATTACCTCATATGATATTGGGAAAACCATAATTTCACAATGAATCCTCAATGGATATTGTTGCTTCTTGCTGCAGACCCCAGACAGAAAGTGGCTGATCTTTGATGGGCCAGTGGATGCAGTTTGGATTGAGAACATGAATACAGTGCTGGATGATAATAAGAAGCTATGCCTGATGAGTGGAGAGATTATCCAGATGTCTCCCCAAATGAGCCTTATCTTTGAGCCCATGGATCTAGAGGTGGCTTCCCCTGCAACAGTAAGTTAATCATTGAGGAATTGTTACATTCAGTTGAATGATGTCTTTATATACAGTAAGTTAAAATCTCCATCCAAATGGCTTGTGATATTCAGAACATTGCCTTTGTAGCGTTTTTATTTTGTACATGGGAGTACCATTTTTATGTTTAAATAATGAAGCAGCTGGGCTGGTTTAGAAAGTGCAGAGATTTGTTCTGTAGTCTCAAGCGGATAACAGAAAGGTTTAAATTATTTAGTAAGATTGCCATGAACAATAACTCAGATTTATTCTGTACTTAAAGGTAAGCATTAAACTTCATTAGGATCATCACTGAGAAAGATTAATACATCACACAGTTAATTTAGCCCTTAAAAAATAAACCCATCAAAAGACATTATACAGTAACACTATAAAATGCCTTAATGTCTTATTATATATTACAATAGCAAGAGTACTATGACCTACTTCATAATTTTTGTTACACACTGCTTGGTAATCATATTTTTTGACACATGATCGTTATGACTAGAGATTTTTTTTTTCAGAAATGATAACTTATAGCCTTTACAAAAAAGTCATTATATTTTCATTGTTAAGGAATTCCATCCCCTAGCAGAGATGGTCTTATTAAACAAGCTTAATGCACTACTATTGAACTAGGTTAAAACACAATAAAGGTTGATAATGGACAGAATTTTCTTTTTATATATTTCTGAAGCCTGAATTTAAAGGAGATTAGCTTCTTTCTGATCACTGTAGTCACATGTTACAAAGAAAGCAATGTAATTACAACATTCATAGTCTCACAAAAGCCTTGTTTCATACATCTGATAGATTCTATTTCTGTCCAATCCCTGAGAATTCTCTGCTTTAATGGATGACAAGGAAGGCTTTTCTCATGAGCACATCAGCCCTTCTCAGAAGCAGGACTGTCTCGTGTGGGAGGTTCATTAAGACTATCTAAACCTTTTCACAAACTCTCCAAAGATTTGTAGAAAAAAAAAAGATCACATCTGAATCCCATCACTTGGTGTTCTTCATTCTATAATTTATTTTAATTCATTGTGTTTTTACTTTGAAATTGAGGAATTGAAGTTACTGAAAACTACTAAATATATGTATAAACAGGGGTTTTAATAGAGAAGTACTGTACACCAGCTAACAATAAAAATAAAAACATTTTAATCTCTAAGGCTGCATCAGCAATTCTGTTACAAGGCTACAAGGAACAAATGGAGGTTAATTCCACACTGAAAAGAAAAATTACAAAACACAAAAAGTTACAGTTGGGGAACCTCAGATTTAAAGGAGGCTCCAAGTCTGAAATGATGTGTGTTTTCTATACATTCTTGTTCAGACTGTAAGGACCTCACCAATCCACATATCATTTTGCATGTTTATGCTATACATTCAGACTTATACGATAGTAGTCTACACAAAACCTTGATTCATCTCTGAAAAATGACAACCACGTGCTTAGCCCAATGTTCTCATGGCATGAAGATGTTGTTCTCTTGATAAGCAGGGGATATTGGTTCCATTGTGTGTGTTTTTTATTAATGACCAGACTTGATATTCAACAGTTAAATCGCCTTTAACATGTGCCCAATCAACTCTCTCACTAATGAATTGATTTAGTGTTCATGCAAAAGACTAACTCATTCAAGTGTATTATTCTCAGTCAAGAATGATTAAAATACAGCCAAAACATTGAATCAATATCCTAAATCAGTATACTTTATTTTTTCTGAAAGCACATATGCTTTGAGTTATACTTTACATTCATTTGATGATCATTATTTGACAGCCATGTAAAATTATTGGATTAACAATAAATTCAATTAATTAATTGAATTAATGATTCAGTTGTTATTCTAATTCATATCTTAGCTTAAGTTCAGTACTGTAATAGCAGTGACATTAACACGCATGGTTTTTAGGAAGTATTAAAGAAATTTCAGAAAGACTTTTATGTGCTTATCCTATTCCTTGTATAAAGTAGATGTTAAAATAAATATTGAATGGTGAAGCTTCCACAGCTTCTATTAATGATTTGTGTCTATACTTGGTCGTCAGTGTCTGTAGAGTTGAGAAATTTGATCAAAGTAGGCAGATACACAATTAGGAAAAATGTATTTTTAATTTGATTGAGAATTTCCAACAATTTAGGCTTATAACATTAAATGTATCTTTTGTTATCTTTAAATGTCCATCTATCGAATATGATTTATTGAAAACCAAAAAAAAAATATCTGTGGGTAAATGTTTAGTCCTTTAATTCTTTTATATTGAAGGAGGTAGGTATTAAAAATGTTGTGCAAAGTGTTCCCATGTTCATCTTCTTAGCTATTGCTAAATATTAGATTGCTTATCTCTTAGCTGCCTCACCAGCAAGTTTTTGTGTGACCTACAGGTGTCCCGATGTGGTATGATCTACATGGAGCCCCATATATTGGGCTGGAGGCCCCTGATGCTCTCCTGGATACACACCATGCCCCCTTCCGTCAGCTCAATGCACAAGGACATCATCACAGGACTCTTTGATAGGATTGTCCCAGCCTGTCTGCAGTTTATACGTAAAGCTACCAAGGTACTTCAGATGAAGAGTATACTCTTTAATTTTTCATTCTCACCTATGCAATACCTTCAGGCAGACAACAGTTCTGCTTCTCTTTCCTCCTAAATACCACTCATCTATCTGCAGGAATTATTTTTTTTCTTTTGATGAGGCATTTAACTGAGAAGATTATTTTCTGCTGGCTAAGAAAATATACTTATTTTCTAAACTTATTTTGATTAGTTTAACTTTTTTGAGCTTAACTGACTGATGAAACTTTGCTATTTTTTTTAAATAGAATAATTTCCGTGTGGAACCTCCACAGCATACAGGCTATAAGGAACAAGTAGAGGTGAATTCCACCCTGGAAAGTAGAAAGAAAGAATACAATGTTTCGGCTGTTGACCCTTTTTTAGGTGTGAGGAACAGAGAGAACAGATACAATACATGGCTGAAAAAAAGGGTACACAACAAAGGATAACTGAGGGCAGAGAACATGAGAATTGGGAAATAGGCACTTTCATTGAATATTATTTTTTGGTGTAATCCAAATAAACATTTTTATGACTATATGTGTAAATATAAACAATGACAGTTATAATGATAAAGTTCTAAATAAATATTATCTAATTTCTATTGGTAAACCTTATGAAAGTACTTTATACTTTGATTAAACTGACTTATATTAGAAGAAACTTTAGCTCAGTAGTTAAGCTTCTCCAGTATAACTTAAAATATATGGTTAGTTTCAGCATGAGCAAAGTGTATATGCACTGGTTACTGTGATTAATATGTCATTTTTTTAACTTGTTACTTTAGGAACTGTCCCCGACTTCAGACACCAACCTTGTTCGGTCTCTGATGAATCTCATTGACTGTATGATGGATGAGTTCAAAGATGAATCCCAGATAAAAAGTATGAATGAAAGGGACATCTGCTCATGGCTGGAGGTAGGTTGGTTAAAATAGGCTCTTTACATCTTTTCTTGTTTCAAGGGCATTGTCTCCGTGTGACTTTTATTTTGCTTGAAAAACTAAGCCAGATGTTAATGGCTCAAAAGTCTACGCAATTATCTAGAGCTGAAGAGGATCTTCTTTCTATTTGTTTTATCATGCCTTTCTAAATCCTTGACTGAGTACTTCAACTCTTGATGTATGTTTTCATTTTATCCAATGGTATTCTGTCTTTAGTCTTTAAAAAAATGTAAGACATCTAAGACATTTTTAACATTAGAAAGTACTGACCATGTTTATTCAATATGTTTTTAATTGATTTACCTATTTTAAAAAAGTTTGATTAATGTCAGCAGTTCTCCAATATGCTTGGGTGTCTATTGGTTTCTCAACCAGCTTGCTGAGGCACAAACTTGGGGTTTCTTTAAAACGAAAATGCTGGATTAAGCTTTAGATTCACTATTTTACTTATCTTCTAACAGAGCATTGGGGCTGAATAGTTTTCTTATGCATTTTTTCTTAATGCAGGTATGATAAATAGAAAAAGTTCAGTGTGGAACCTCCACAGCATACAGGCTATAAGGAACAAGTAGAGGTGAATTCCACAGTGGAAAGTAGAAAAAATGTCAGTTGAGACGTCTGTGCAAAGAAAGGTTGACCATATGTCCTACAGTATCCTTTGTTACCTGGAGGAGCCCATTTTTCGCATCAGTTCTTAATTCATGCATGTTTCTGTTCAGGGGATCTTTGTATTTTCCCTGGTATGGTCTGTGGGAGCCAGCTGTGTTGAGGAAGGGCGACAGAAGTTTGACAAACTGGTCAGAGAAGTTCTAGAGGGGCCATTGAGTGAGGAAACCAGGACTCGCTTTGGCATCTTGGAACATGTGGAACCTCCAGCCAAGCCGCTCACTGTGTCACTGCCCACAGAAGGCACACTGTATGAATACAAATTCATTAAACAGGTCAGAGCCACTGCCACTCATTTACACACCTTTCCTTGAGTTTTTGCTGGAATCCCCTAATTTTGTTACAGTTATTTTAATGTTTTATTAACTGATGTGCATTTGATTGTCCCATAAAAATTATAATGGTGGGCCATGCTTGTCACGGATGTCGGAAGGGACGACCGTGGAATGGCAGGAGAGCGATAAAGACCCTATTTATAGCGGCAAGACGGGGGTTAGCCCGGGCTCAGCTGTTCAGGAAATGCCGTATAGAAACTTATGCCCTCAGGCCATGGACAGGAGAGACCTGCTAGGCGCGTCTCAGGACATCCGGACCTCAATGCTGAGCGAGGAGCAGAGCAGACACAGGAAGTAAAAAGGCTACACAACAAGACACACCAGAAAGACATGAATAATCTCAGGGAACTAGGAATAGGACAGAAGTAGAGCGCTTTTGAGCTTGTACTGGGTGTGACAATGCTTTTCGGTATATTGCTGTTTCAGTTTTCAATTTGTATTATCTTAATATTATCTTAATATCTTTACTGTGAAAGAAAACCAGTGTTAAGGAAGACAGACACTTTATTAATTGCGTGAGGGACATTACAGTGCAACAGTAGATGCCCAGCATACATAGCACAGCAGGTGTAAACAGGAACGCCAGCTGTAAACAGAGAATTAGTGTTTAATCCAAAAACACGTCAGTGTTGTCCCTGCCCACACACACAGTGGATGAGTTGTAAAGTGTAATGACAGAAGGCAAGAATGACCTTCTGTAGCACTCCCTATCACACCGTGGTTGGATCAGCCTATTGCTGAACGTTTTCTTTATTCTCTCAAGCATGTCATAGAGGGGATAGGAGACATTGTCCATGATGGCCATTAATTTGGACACCATTCCCCTCTCAGCCACTACCTCCATGGGGTCCAGATCAGATGAGCTTGTTCAACCAGTTAGCATCCCCTGCTCTTATCCCTGAGCCCCAGCACACCACAGCGTAGAAAATGGCACTCACTACAACCGACTGATAGAACATACAGAATGAAGCATCTTACTACACACACCTCCTCAAGAAGTAAAGTTGGCTCTGGCCCTGCATGTAGGTTGGCCTCAATATACCTTCAAGAAATAGTGTTCTTGAAGGAATTTGCCTAGCAAAAGTGAAAAATTTGTTATTGACCAATGTAAATTTGAGATGATTAGCTTGACTTCAAACTGGCGTTTTGGCATTTTCTAGTTGATATATCATTCAAAAATTACTTATAGTATGTGAATGCAATTTCATTTCTATTTCTAAAATCATACAACAATTTTAAAATGCTGATATAAAATAAGAGCTTTGCAATCAAAGTCAGACAGCTATAGATCAATTTCAGGACTAGAATGTAACTCCACTGAACTGTAAAGGACTTGAAGACCTGCACCCATCAGTGTGTTTTCCCAAATGTAAAGCCAACATTAAAACTGGAAAATTACGCTATGTTCCTGTAGTGTGTAAATAAGCTAGTGCATTAGGTGACTGAAGCTGGTTATAGTACGGTAGATGAAAGCGGTAGTTTAGGAACATCAGGATTATTTGTACTGGGCTACCAGCTGTGATAAGAAGCTTAAATGAGAAGAGTTAAAAGAAAAGAGGATATTTCTGGGTTTAACTCAAGTTTCCACCTTGGGGAGGACCAGCAGAGATATGCCAGAAACTCAGTAGAATACCAACAGGAGACTGACCCTTAGAGAGACAGCTTCCTCTGATCTTTCAGGTCATTTTCTCCATGTTTAATAAATATTGTACTCGGCCTTCTGTAATTGTTTAAATGAGGATATACACATATATATGCCCGCCTATGACTTAACTAGCTCCACTTAGTTAAACAAAATTATCCAAGGGTGCTACTTAGTGCCATTTTAGGATCCTATTAGATTTAGTAAACAAATAAGTTGCAGGGGTAATCTACCAACATAATCCTTTTCCTAGTTATGAATAATCATTTTTCCAACCAATCTTCAAAGCTGTAAGTTAGGAAAAGTACTATTTTTATGAGTTGAACAATATTAATACCATTAGCCCTAGAGTTAAACAGCTTTATTCCTCCCTGGGACAAAGAATGTATAATTTACTTCTTTTGGCAGGGTGTTGGGAGATGGGAGCTCTGGACTGAAGAGCTGAAATCTGCACCATCTATCCCACGGGATGTGCAATTTAATGAAATCATCGTGCCAACCCTAGACACAGTCCGCTACACTGCTCTGATGGAGCTCCTGATTACTCACCAGAAACCTACGGTGTTCATTGGGCCTACGGGCACAGGGAAGAGCGTTTACATCATTGTAAGTGTCAATGGACCCTTCAAAGGTCACCTTTGCCTGTTAATGAGCTTGTAGGTTTGGCTGCTTAAACCATTTTTACCTCTTTCCTTAGCTTCATTTCATTTTTCATGATCTTTCAGTAATGTACCTCTAGAGTCTTTGCTTTCAAAGGGCACCGAATTAGTTTGTATGCAGTGAATTTCTGAATGTCTGCATATGAAAGGTTGGTAGTGTTGGCAGAGAACATTGTACTGAACATAGTGTGGCACTGTTTTCAGTCCTGAGTTTGGGTTTATATTTCCCAGATAGTTTTTAATTCCATTTTGTTTTATGCAAGTGCTACTAAATATTACATTAACACTGAGACGCTGATCTTTTCTGAACCAGCTTCTAACTTTCTTTGAAACGATAATAGTTAATTAGTGTTTTTTGTGTAAATCTATGCATGGAAGTAAATTCTGCTGATTACATTATATCCTTCTATCAATCAGAAAGACATGTTTTAGTTTTTTCACACAACAATAGTTCTCTTGGTAGGTGGTACACCAGAATTAGTAGCCGCTAGGTAGAATCTGTGAGCTATTTACCTTAGTCCTGCAGTACTAATCTAAATTCATGATAAAGCCGAACCCTGCAGCTGCTGGTATTGTTAACAGTTAAGGAAATGAGGACTAGAGGTTTTGCCTGGATCGTCCCATTTTTCTGATACCTCTCCTGGTAATTTATGATGTCTCTTTCATAGCAGGAGGGACTCTCAGTGATAAATGAGCTCACAACTTAAAACTGATGACAGTGTACACTAGTAACTTGCCTTTGGCACTAATGAAATTGATGGGTGAATTAAATGCAAGCTGGGGATTGCATGTATTGTGCGTCTATTTTCAGCTCAATGGGGAGATTGCAAGGAAACATTATAACATTTCTGAGCAAAAAAAGCTTGTTGGAATCTATCAAATTTAGCTTTATTGATTAAACATCAAGTGTTTTTTTGTAAATACACTCCTTTCTTATTATTGGGCAGTTTTCCATTGCTTTATAATACACATTTGAGGAAATCAGCATATTGAAATTCATGTTTTAGCACAATTATTTCTGTAACCTATGAAAATAATATTATATATGATAACAGAAGAGAAGCAGAGTGTTATTAATGAATATCATTTGTATGTCATTTGATGCTTTGATTTCTTTACTGTAATGCACTGGCATCTCCACATCTCAACTAGGGGAAGAGCAGTCATGCACTCTTAGTCCCACTTTACACCTTGTGCTCCTGAGCACCTCAATATTCACCAGGATAATAATAATAATAATAATAATAATTGCTTACACTTATATAGCGCTTTTCTGGACACCCCACTCAAAGCGCTTTACAGGTAATGGGGACTCCCCTCCACCACCCCCAATCTATAATGCATAGATGTTAAGAATATATAACTGTGTTCATACAGTATCTCATGGGGAATTGAGAAAATGTAGCGTATCTGAATAAACCTTAGGTGGTATTTGAAAAATAAAGCACTACAACAAAGATTTCTTTATTTGTTTTTCTAGGATGAAATATCTGCTTGTATCAATGCATCCATTCATCTTAACACCTATCCTTTTCAACTTCTTTTCACTTTTTTAGTTTCATGACTACATGTGAAATCAAAAGTCAGCTGTTGAAATGTATGGGGTGCCTGCTGAGCGCATATTCTAAAACTGAATTCTTCTCTGCAGGATTTCTTGTTAAACCGCCTTAACAAGGACATCTACATGCCATTGCTCATTAACTTCTCAGCCCAGACCACAGCTGCACAAACCCAGAACATTATCATGTCCAAACTAGATAAACGAAGGAAGGGTGTCTTTGGGCCACCCTTGGGGAAGAAAACGGTAAGGCTCTGCATGCTTCATCACCTCATCATGCACCTAACAACAGGAGCAAGACATTAAGTAAATATAAAAAAAATGTAAGATAAAATTCAGAGCACCTCTTAAAGCTTCATTATCCACACATCCTAGTGAATACATTATTTTTAGATGTATGATAATACTGTATGTACAATGCTGAGTCCACTACAAAGAAATACAGTAATAATATTCTTAAGGTAACATGCAGCAGTAATTAATAGCTTAGTACAATGTGTACATTTTCATTTTTGTGAATGAAAACAAATAACTCAAATATTTTTTTTTTTCTAGAGAAGATCAGATATGGTCCAGCTTGCAGTTCAAAACAAAACCCTTTAAAAAGTAGTTTGTTATCTCTGTAGCATTCAGTGCAATGTTTTTTGCATTTTTCTTAGTGAATTTCAAGGGTGCAGTGTACTGTAGGAGTATAAGACTCTCATTTTGTGAAATATCTCATTGAAGCGATGCAATGAATTTCTTTAGTCTAATTGTGCTTATATCTGTATGTTGCAGGTGGTGTTTGTGGATGATGTTAACATGCCAGCACGAGAGGTATATGGTGCCCAGCCACCAATAGAGTTACTGCGACAATGGTTGGACCATTGGAACTGGTATGATATGAAAGACTGCTCTATGCTCAAACTGGTAGACATCCAGATCATGTGTGCAATGGGACCCCCTGGTGAGTGATGCATTATGATATGTTCTGTGCTCTCCTACTAATGTTCTCAGTTCTAATACTTAAAGTTTACTGTACATACTATACTTTAAAGAGGTGGTTAAAGTAGTAGCAATAACTGTCCGTCTCAATTTTTGAACTGAGTATTTGTATTTCTGAGTATGTATTTCTCTCTCCTGTGAAGGTTATTCATCAGCCACCTGAAATGAAAACTTGTTTATTTTTGTTATTCTTAATATTTTACTTCTGATATACTTCTGATATTATTTTTAAACTATATTTTTCTGCAAAGTAAAATATATTCAATACAATATTTATTTATACTGTAAATAATACCTCTGTTTCTTCTTAGGGGGTGGAAGAAATCCAGTCACACCACGTTTCTTACGCCATTTCAACACTGTAACTATCAATGAATTTGATGAAAAATCCATGTATACCATCTTCTCCAGGATTCTAGACTGGCATCTCACCATACGGTATGGAAATGTTTATTTTGTGGAAATACCTTACCTTAAGAAAGTAGAAAGAAGAAACTTGAGTCTTCTTCAGTTGTGAAAACAGTGTAATTAACCTTTACCAGTTCTTTTGCAGCAGTCACTCACTGAGCAGCTCCCCGTTCTAACCTCCAATATACTGTATATTTTGTAACTCAAACCTCCAATATATGTTGGAACAATCAAACCTGGTAACTGCTGTATGGATTTGAATTGCACTAGAATAAAGGAAACAGAAGGAGAGGAAAGTTTACACATATCTTTTCCACTCTTGTCAAAATAATTTTCCTTATTCCGATATTTTCCCTCACAGCATCAGCAGAAGTGCAGAGCAGGCAAATATTTTATCCGAGCAAGCAGTAGATGGAGTAATTACATAAAACTGTGATTATCCACCAGCAGTTTAGTTTAGCTGCATTCTGAGCGTGTTCTAGAGAAAGTTATACCAGGCAATGTGGACAAGCTTTAAAACCATTTTTATAAAAGAAAACAACATTGTGCTGCTCTATGTCTGAAAACTAAATTTAAAGAAAAGAATCTTCCTAGTTTTAAGCAGAGTTAGGCCCTGCATAATATAAAGGCTTACTCATTACCAAACTGAAGGCTTTTCAGTTTTAAAATGGAGGGGAATAGAAAACCCTCCATTTTAAGGATTGACAGACTTACTGACTTCTTAAAAGGCTGGTAGCAGATTAAAAATCTAGAGTAAATAGTGATTATATTACTATATAATTGTGATTTTCTAAAAAATGGTAAAATCCAGTGAAGATTTCTAGCTTAATTTTTATAGGTTGCTTGGCGGGGTTCAGTTGTTCGACTGACTGCACACTTACTTTACTGTGAAAATATTTATGTTTCCTTAACGTGTATTATTATGAATTATTAGATTTGCTTAAAATCCAGAGATGAAAACTCACTTTTTTGCTGGACAAATGTATCTGCACACAAAAGCAGCACTTGAATCTGATTGTCTTCCGTCTTCTATCCTGGACACAGGTTTAGCTTTCCTAAAGAGTTTGCCGTGCTCACTCCTCTGGTGATCCATAGTACTATGGCTGTATACAAGGAGGCCTCCAAGAATCTGCTGCCCACACCAGCCAAGTCCCATTATCTCTTCAACTTGCGGGACTTCTCACGTGTCATCCAGGGCATCTGCTTGTCACGACCCGAGACTGCCGACATCCCTGCTGCTATCAAGCGCCTCTGGGTGCACGAGGTAGGTTTTTAAAAGTTTGTCATATATATATATAACAGTGTACAATTTTGTTGTATGATATATGATACATTACATAAGAACATAAACAAGGGTTACAAATGAGAGGAGACTGTTTGGCCCATCTGGCCCATTTAGTATTTAGAAGCATATTGATTCAAGTATCTCGTCGTGCCATTTCTTGGAAAACCAAGTACTGTATGAGCTTCAGCCATATTACTAACAAACTTACTAACTCCACTATATTACTAACAAATCGAGTCAAAAAAGTTAACGAGTGCCATGTTGAATTTTCTTTCAGGGCAAGAAAAACAATATTACATTCTTTCTGATCAATTAATTCTAAACAGAGCAATACATTTGTTGTTAATGACTCCAAACAAAAAACACAATTTTAATAATCTAATAAAAATTAAATCATCCAAACTTCTGAACAATATATTCAAACCCTTCTAACCCTTGATATTCTGTTATTGCTGTAGTTGTACTTTTATACTTTTTTTAAATGATGGTGTTCTTTTAATGCTATCTAGTATCGAATTCCAAGAAAGTTCCCAAGTAAAAAACTCTGAAAATTGTTTATAACATCATGATGGTATGCAGCTTTTTTCAACAGCTGCTCTGGTAGCGCTGTTATTATAATAGGAGCAAAAGTAAGAAAAAGAAATACTCTGATTGTGGAAGTCCAAGGTCATTCTGAGACTTTAAACCAGAACTGCATATGAATAATTTATGTAATTATCAAGACTTAGTATGTTGTATTGTGAATACTGAATAGGTTGTATCTCATGTTTTATATATCAATAACAAAATCAGACATTTTATAGAGAATAAAGAGGCAAAGTGCCAGTTTACCCAGCAGGTGATCAAATATTATGCCAAGTGAAAACTGGAATAAATTTAAATAGGATAAAATAGAAAATACATCATATTAAATATGATATAAGAATATCAGCTAATTTTAATTTTCATTAAACTTCTATACTGTTTAATATAATATATATGAATCTGTTTTATACATTAGTTTTACATGTTAGTTGAAAATTCATAGAAGTTCCCAAAAGTATTTTTTCACCTTCAGTTAATATACAGTAACTGAATGATTTTGTGTTGATTATATGAATAGAAAGACATTCCATAGTTTTATTAAAAGATTAGTAGATAGTAATAGTAAATCTATCTAGTAAAAGATAGTAATTAAAAGATTGTGATTGTCACATTGTGCATTACATCTAACTTACATGGACCAGTTTAACTGGATTTGGCTGATCATATACAGTACATATGGCAAGAAATTTATGGGAAATACATTAACATGAACTAGGCATTTTGTTTGCCTCAGGGCTTACCTGGAAAAAAGTTTATCATTATTGTTTTTACATTCTTTTGTCTCCGTCTTTTTTTTGTGTTGTATAACTCTTTTGCAGAAACTTCATAGCACTGGAAGTAAATAAAATCAGTTTTTAAGTCATGTAGAACTGCAATATTGTAGACAATGATCTGCAGTTTCTGCTCTGCTCATTAATGTGGATGGGCTACCTGTTTTCATTCACTGCAGGTGCTGAGGGTATATTATGATAGGCTGGTGGACAACTCTGACCGCTCATGGGTGGTCGGTTACCTGCAAGAGGTGTGCCAGAGTCATATGCGTGAAGACTTCCACCAACTCTTTCGTCACCTTGCTCAGGCTGAGGATGGGAAGGTGACAGAGGATGACCTGCGCAGCCTCATGTTCTGTGACTTTCATGATCCCAAGGGTGAGGACCAAAATTACAGAGAGGTGGGCAACCTGGACCAGCTGAGGCAGGTGGTGGAGACTCACCTGGAGGAGTTCAACAATATCAGCAAGAAGCCCATGAACTTGGTTCTGTTCCGCTTTGCCATTGAGCATGTGTGTCGCATTTCCCGTGTGCTGAAGCAGCCTCGTGGCCATGCCCTGCTGGTGGGAGTGGGTGGGAGTGGGCGGCAGTCCCTCACCCGCCTGGCTGCCCACATGGCTGAAACTGAGCTGTTCCAGGTGGAGATTTCCAAGAGCTATGGCTCTTCTGAGTGGCGGGAGGACCTGAAACACATCCTGAGAAAGTCAACAGAAGGGGAGACACATGGTGTGTTCCTCTTCACTGACACACAGATTAAGAAGGAGTCCTTTCTGGAAGACATCAGCAACCTGCTAAACACAGGCGAGGTCCCCAATCTATTCGCTGTAGATGAGAAGCAGGAGATCTGTGAGCGTATGCGTGTGCTGGACCGTCAACGTGATCGGGACAAGCAGACAGATGGCAGCCCCCTTGCACTCTTCAACATGTTCCTAGAGCGCTGTCGGAGTCAGCTACATGTGGTGCTAGCCATGAGCCCCATTGGGGACACCTTCCGCAATCGCCTGCGACGCTTCCCTGCTCTTATCAACTGCTGTACTATCAACTGGTTCCAGGTACAACTTGCAGGTTCAACTGCTCAAAGTCTTGTTATCGTTAGTTTAACACTGTGAAGAGTATCATTTTTTTTTTATGTTCATAGGTAATTACATATGCTGAAATGCATTAAAAATGCAACAAGTATCTTTAACCAATAACATTTGCTTCTTAATGCCTCTCCATGTTTTTTTCTCCATCTGATTTTTCTAGGTCATAAAATGTATCAGTGTGTTTCTGTAGCAATATAATTAATAATTGCTTACACTTATATAGCTTTTTCCGGACACTCCAGTCAAAGCGCTTTACAGGTAACGGGGACTCCCCTCCACCACCACCAATGTGCGGCATCCACCTGGATGATGCGACAGCAGCCATAGTGCGCCAGAACGCTCACCACACATCAGATATCAGTGGGGAGGAGAGCAGAGTAATGTAGCCAATTCATAGAGGGGGATTATTAGGAGGCCATGATTGGAAAGGGCCAATGGGAAATTTGGCCAGGACGCCCGGGTTACACCCCTTCGTCTACATAATGGCCTATGTTTTGTAGTTAAAATGCTTTAATTATTAATATATCTTTCAAGTTCTGTTTTTTCAGTTTGTTGTGTTTTGTTGTTCTTCAAGACATGGCCAGAGGATGCCTTGCAGGCTGTAGCCTCTCGTTTCCTGGAGGATATTGAAATGACTGAGGAGACACGCGCAGGCTGCATAGACATGTGCAAGAGCTTCCACACCACCACTATTGAGTTATCGGCCCGCTTTCACACCGAGTTGCAGCGTCATAACTATGTCACACCCACCTCTTATCTGGAGCTCATCTCTACTTTCAAGGCTTTGCTTGAAAAGAAGAGAACGTAAGGAAAAAAGGACTATCTTACTTATTTTATTTCTATTGTGCATTTTCTGTCTATACATTTTGTGCGTGTACATTTTAAAGTGACAAAGTGATACTGAAGCATAAAAGATGAAAAATGCTAAGTGATTCTTCTTTTTGTGTTTTATATGTAAATTCCTGTTTTATTGCTTATGTCCTTGGCATGCTTGATGCTTGTGGATTGTATTGGAATAAAAATGAACCACAGAATTTGCCATCGCAGCATCGTAGCTGGACATAATTAAAAGTAGCTTTTTTAAAAAAATTAGTAATTTTGCAGTAAAAAAAAAATCTTCTAGTTCAGAGGCAGTGTCGATGTTTTTACAGTGAGGTTATGAAGTTGAAGCGCCGCTACGAGGTGGGTTTGGAGAAACTGGAGTCTGCAGCAGCACAAGTGGCGACCATGCAGGTTCAGCTAGAGGCTCTGCAGCCACAGCTCAAGGTTGCCAGCAAGGAGGTGGATGAGATGATGGTGGTAATTGAGCGAGAATCCATTGAGGTGGCCAAGACAGAGAAGATTGTGAAGTCGGATGAGGCAGTAGCCAATGAGCAGGCCACGGCAGCCAAGGCGATCAAGGATGAGTGTGATGCTGACCTAGCTCATGCCTTGCCCATCCTGGAGTCGGCACTGGCTGCTCTAGACACCCTCACCCCTCAGGTACACCAAGAATGCCACTCCTTCTCTGTTTAGTGTGTCAGCCTGCATGAATGGAAATGTACATAGTACAAAAGATGAAGGCAGCTATCTCTTGGCATAGCCAGTATGCTGGTGTGTCTTTCTGATGGAGGTCTTGGTAATAAAAGGGTCAGCTCACCGTCGGGAGAAGAACTGAAGTATTAAAGATGTGTTTTGTATTGTATTGTATGTCTTTCATTAAAAACAATAATCTAAAGAAGAAATGATCAAGAATCAAATACTCCCTTTTCTTGAAGGTTAACTTAAAAGTGGCCTCTTCTTATTAGGCACTAGGCTTGGTTATTTTTTATTTAGAAAGTAAAGGGATGTATATCAGTGTTAGAGACACTGTCGTCTATCACAGAGGAGTAAACCAACACCCTGTCTCTTGGGGATAATTAAATTATGTGATTATACATACATTCTTAGTACCAGTCTAAGTGGATTAATCACAGATGCTGACCCTCCATCTTGGCAGTCTATTTATCTCTGTATCTTTACAACACCCTCAATCAAACCCACAATAAGTAGAGAACTTCATTGAAAAGAGCCAAGGATTAGGAGATGAAACTGCAGTTTTCTTATAGATCCCATGTATCGTAAGTAGTAACTAAGATACACTATAGAACAGGAGTCAAGATAGTCAATAGTAAGCAACTCTTTAAAATGCTCTTTTGTTTGTTTGAGATAAGTGCATGTTCTTTTAGAGAAGATACTCTATTATCCTTGACATGATCAGTTATCTGTCAAAACTGCCAGACATTTCTCTCAAGAGGGAAATAACAGACAATGGTAAGACAATATAGATGTTTAGTACAAATCTTAAATTGAATGGTGAGAAACACAGTAGGAATAAACTGATCGGTAATTTAACATTAAGAAAAAATGTGTATTTTTTATATCCAACATAAAATTAGTGTTTTAAAACCCTCGTTTAATATGTAATAACAGAGACAAAATAAATAACATTAACCAAAAATGTTCTGGCTCCAAAAGATCCTTAATGTATGAAAAAAATCAAAGCAAAATTGCATAATTGAAAAATGTTAAAGTCTGAAAAGTTCTATTAACTCATATCATGAATTCCTATTCCTGTACATAAGGTCTGGTCAAGGCACAAGACTTGATGCGTATATGTGTATGTACATGGATACATGCATGTATATAGATATAGTTTTCTTGACATTTTGCTTTTATCATTAAGTTTTAAATATCTAGATATGATAGATCTAGTACAAAACAGTTTTTAGCTTTACCTACTGTATATACAGTATAAAGAAAATAATGTCGATGAGGAACACCTGACAATAGGCTAATTAGACTTGATTGGTAAATTAGATGGAATAGCCATTATAAGACCTAATACTGCCTCCTAATGTGTAGTTCACTTTGAGTTGTCTTGATCAGATTTGGAAGATTTTACACTTTTACACACTTTTATAATATATACGTTATAATTTATATGTATGTTATTACTACAGTATGTTGTGAATGGAGGCTGATACCATTTTAGAAGTGAAAATGACACAGTTATTGCAGATGTTTATTTTCTTAATTTGTATTATGAAAGCAAATTATTACAATCTCTTACAATAGTTCTCTGTATATTTTATGTACCCTATTTGCAACTAATTTTTGTTTGTGAAGTAGGATTAAATGGATCGCGTTTATACTGCCAATGAGAGAGATATGAGTATTTAAATGCTCTTCAATTTTATGAGCATTTAAAAAGAAATGTAATAGTTTCTTCATGGTAAATTTGATTCTCAATTGCACCCCCTGGGTTAATTGATATCTGATAGTCTAAAACATGTTTAAATGAAATATTTGGAAAATGTTTTATAGAAGAATAGTCTCCTTCACAAGCAGACTCATATATACAGTCTATACATACTGTATAAGTTTGTTGGTTACCATATATTTCCTGGCTTTTAAAGCTGGAATCTGTCATAAAGAATGTTTAATGTATTGATTCAACTAGAATGGGAAACAGTTTTGAAAGTCACTGAACTAGTTAGAATTTTTCTCTGTTTTGTTCACAATGAATTACTTTGATGTGAGACAAAGAACTATCAGAAAATAATTTTTACTATTTCCATAAAAAAATGTGTACCTTATGAAAGCGAGTGTAAACATTGTTTAAAAATATTGTTTTTGTGAAAAATGCACTATTTTGGTGTCAAGGACTTGCTCATATTTGCTCATGTTATTAATCCGCGGTTGGCAATTGTACGTCTGCTTAGGACATCACAGTAGTAAAGTCGATGAAGAGCCCCCCTGCGGGTGTCAAGGTGGTGATGGAGGCCATCTGCATCTTGAAGGGCATCAAGCCTGACCGTGTCCCAGACCCCTCAGGGTCTGGGAAGAAGGTGGAGGACTTCTGGGGCCCTGCCAAGAAACTCCTTGGAGACATGAAGTTCCTGCAGAGTCTTCATGAGTATGACAAGGACAACATTCCCCCCAGCTACATGGGGATCATCCGGAAGCAGTACATCACCAACCCTGAGTTCGTCCCTGAAAAGATCCGGAATGCTTCTACTGCTGCTGAGGGGCTCTGTAAATGGGTCATTGCCATGGACTCCTATGACAAGTGAGACTGGAAACTGGGATGTGGGCAGAGACTGAAAAAACATGCTCATATACAGTACCCAACCTGGAATCCACAAGTTAGAAAAATTAACCTAACTCAGTAGGGAAGCAGGGATAAGACAGTATTGCAGCTAACTCTTCACATACAGTACTTATGTCTTGTTTACATCTTTACCAATAAGGAAATTAACACTTTTGAATTAAAAAGAAATAAAGCTTACCACGTTTGTTACAGTTTGTTAATCAAGGATCTGTGAAGTATACCTGTACAAATTTAATTACATGTTTGGTACACAACTGCCAGAAGATTACTTTACTATAGATTTACAATATAAATGGTCTCCAGTCAATTCCCTAGAGGGCAATACATTATAATTTACACTTCCACACTTTTTTCTGCGATTCAAAAGCAGTTTGTCTGTTTTGCTTCTTATTTTACATGACTTACTGATCCTTATTTAACCTCTTAAGGGTAGCAAAAGTGGTGGCCCCTAAGAAGGAGAAACTTGCTCAAGCAGAAGGGGAGTTAAAGGTTGCCATGGAGAGCCTACGGAAGAAACAGGCAGCACTGAAGGAGGTCCAGGATAAGCTGGCCAAGCTGCAGAATACACTGGAAACCAACAAGATAAAAAAAGCAGACCTTGAGAATCAGGTGGGTATGGAATACGAAATAAACAATTGCTCCTGTCTAGTTTTTCATATGAAGCATTAAACACTTGGCTTTCATTTATTATCATTTTATGTTTGTGTATAGGTGAGGGTTAGTAATGAGTTATTTTTTACTCATTTTGGTTGATAGCTGATATCGAGATGCCTTAAAGATTCCTTTATTAAAGTTTTAAGAAACTTTTATGTCCTGTTTAAAGGAACATCAATATGGAAAAAGTTCAATCTTTTTTTCCCAAAGTTTTCATGATTAAATCTTTGAAGTGCAAATACTGAAGTTTTTTTTTAAATCTTTTCAGTAATTAATTTGGTGTGATATTTAGACTGCATTTGCCATTCTGACGTATGATCTATTTGATGCTATGTTTTTTGTTGTTGTGTCCTTCTTGTCCATCTTTTTAGATAACGTCTGTTTTAATTATAGTTTTTTCATAGTTATAGTTTATATATAGTTATAGGTTATTTATAGTTACAGAATGACTAGAATCAATATATTGATTCCTTGTTGTCTACACATTAAATAGCCAATTGTTTAAATGGGAAAGAAAATGCGTATAACACATATGAACCAAACTCCAGTCCTCATAGGCCATATTGTTTAAAAGCTAAATCCATTACAAGTATTAAACCTGTCACGTTTAGCTAATAATGGTCTTAATAAGGTCATTAGGATCCAGTGGAATGGAGCTCCATAGACACTGCAGCAGTCCAGGGCTGGAATTGTGCACTCTGACTGGACTACAACTCTTATGTGAGTAAGTTGCCTTATGAGGTTCTGTGTCACAGGTGGACCTATGCAGCAAAAAGCTGGACCGGGCAGAGCAGCTGATTGGAGGCCTGGGAGGAGAGAAGAGCCGCTGGAGTATCACAGCCCAAGAGCTGGGGGTGCTGTACACCAACCTGACTGGAGACATACTCATCTCCTCAGGCATTGTTGCGTACCTGGGTGCCTTCACCTCCAATTACAGACAGGTAAGACTTTATATGATTACAGAGGATGTTGAAAGGGCATCCAAAAGAAAAGTGAACACCCACATTTCAGTACTGCTTTCATGATATACAGTAGAAAGTTTCAATTTCTGCTAAATTTAAGAGATTTTAGGACATTAAGAACACTTAAAAGTTGAAAATGACAAAAATGAAATTCAAATTATTTGTAAATACAGTATACGGTGTTTTAATGGATACAGTAAATTACCTTTCACTTTAAATCTTCACGGCTGGTTGCATCTTTTGAGAGTCACTCTCTTTGATGTGACAGTTTGATGCCAGATATTTTAATATTTAATGAGCATTCTTTATGAAGTTCAAAGTAAACTATTTGAGTGCTTACCTTTTCCCACTTTTTTGCAGATGTTTTTAGCATTGATGGGTATTTTTTTAACAACAGTCATTAATTAAAAATAAATACAATACAGTTAGATATAATGAATACAATCCCCTGCAGAGATGTCAGCAGTGTTTCATTTAGACATTTTGTGAAAATGACTATATTCTTAATAAGAGCAAATTCCCCATTAAGTGTTTATACTATAAATAACAATATACGTTTTGCAATAGAAATAACCAAACTATAATGTAATAATATATCTTCATTCTTTGACTTCATGCAAGGTTTATTATTACTGTTTGAATATTATAATAGTCATATATTGTGTATTCCCCAGAGTTCTGCTGGATGAAAACTAGATAAACTGTACATTTTATTCAGTCTAAAACAATATGATGCATTTAAAGCAATCATAATTAAAAATGGCATTTCTCCCAGGACAACAGTGTAGAAGCTAAAAGGTGTCAAATACAAACTGAATAAAAATTATATGTATATTTAGTATTTCCATTGACATCTCATTGGATCAGAATTATTGTTACTTTAAAATATATTATTTCTGCTTTCATGACTTAAATGTGAATTTACTGATACCTAATGTGTTTCAGATTGATGAAAATGAGGAAGTTCTATGTATGCTGTCATTTAAAACCTCAGAATAGTATTTTTAAATTAATGGTAGCTTGGAGGCTTCTATATTGCTCTAAAGTTTATAAAGTCTTTAAGGCCCATAACACGATTTTTCTCTAACCGTTATTAAAATTGCTTCATAAGGTCATCATACTATTAATTCAGTCTATAAAGTACGCCTTCTTACCCCCACTAAAGATAGTTTTAAAAATTAATACAAAAATATGTTTTATATGCCAACAGTGAGGGCGATAGTACAGCAATGATCAAAGATGACAACTATTTTTCACTATTTTAATACAAATATTTCAGACTCAGACAGAGGAGTGGGCAGAATTGTGTAAAAAAAGACAGATCCCCTGCTCTCAGGAAATATCTTTGATGAACAGTCTGGGAGAACCAGTGAAGATCCGTGCCTGGACCATTGCAGGCCTGCCTTCAGACAGCTTCTCTATTGACAATGGAATCATCATCTCGTGAGTAGTCTAACAGACCACTGAGGACTAGAGCATCAGCTGTCAACCTTAGACATCAGAGAGGTTCTAACATTTAGGTTAAAAGATTTTGTTTTGTTTTTTTAATTAAATTGGTAGAAAATTAGGTTAGAAGTTGCAAAGGATGTGAAAATATTCATTGGGCATGACAACAGTGGAAGTAATTAAGAGCAGTAACATTAAAGACTGTCTTGGTCTCCTCCATGCTCAGTTTAAAATCCTTTAAATCTCTGTGACTTACCAGACTGCATTTATAGCAGAAGTCTCAAACTAAATTCCTAAAGGCCTCGTCTTCTGGGTTTTGCTCCAAGCTTAATAGTCAATTAAAAATAAAACCATATTTATTTTCTTTAACAGAGTTTTTTTAATAAGGTCTTCATAGATGATTATTCTAAAGCATTCATTTTGTTAAAAGCACAGTTACAAATAAGACACCTCTGTGCCATGTTAGAAATAGTATATGTATCGTAGTTAATTAAATAATCAGACCTGCAATGCAAAATACACTGCAACAAAACCCAGAAAACATAAGGCCCTTTACAAACTGAATTTGAGACACATGGTTTATAGTAATCTAAATTAATTCTTCACTGAAAGAAAACGTCAGAAATGCGCCCTTTATTGCTGAAAGTCAAGCTCCTCTTTTGCAGCATTTATAGCTACATTTGAACCTTACAGCATGTGCACAGACTGTTTCCCTTCTCTATTATCCCCTGTGTAGAAATGCAAGGAGATGGCCTTTGATGATAGATCCCCAAGGACAGGCTAACAAGTGGGTGAAGAACATGGAGAAAGCCAACAGCCTACACATCATCAAACTGAGTGACTCTGACTTTGTCCGCACCCTTGAGAACTGCATCCAGTTTGGCACGCCTGGTGAGCAAAGACAAGAGACCTTGGTGATAAACTCGCCTCAAGGTGGCGCACTTTACCAAAGAACAAAAACCTGTATGTTTACAAATCCGTGAGGTTTAGAAAGCAAGTGTGTGGTTATCAGCTTGTAAAATATAAAAACAGCGAAAATATAGTGTAACACTTTTCTACACCTTGGGGGCACTGGTGTGATTAATAACGTTATTTAAGAGCACATATCCAGTATAATTATTCATTGAGCTGTGTATCAAAAAAAGAGAATTTCTGTTCTGGATGTTTCTAAAAATAGAATCAGCTCAAAATCTAAAATATATTTGTATACGCTTTAGGTAAGTAAATATAAAATCTCTTTTTCAAATTCCTTAATAAGCAGCTGGTTTTAAAAGGCATTTCTATCTTTTCTTAACGTGGTCATTCAATTTAAGATACTGTATTCTGTAGAAGCACATTTTCTTAAATGGATGATTTAGACTCAATTAAAATTAAAAAGTGTCATCCTCTGAGTTATTAATTTAAATTTAATGGTAAAGGCCACCATGTGGGTACGTAACATGTCCATATACTGTACTGTACTGTATATGAGGTCAAGGGTAGAATCTGGGGTGTGTTTCTCTGTTGCAGAAGTACACCATTTCCTTTCTCTGTCACAGTGCTGTTGGAGAATGTTGGGGAAGAACTGGACCCCATTTTGGAACCTCTGCTGCTCAAGCAGACTTTCAAACAAGGCGGCAGTGTCTGTATCCGGCTGGGAGACTCAACTATTGAATATGCCCCCGACTTCCGCTTCTACATCACCACCAAGCTGAGGAACCCCCACTACCTTCCTGAGACCTCTGTCAAGGTTAGCATGATGTTCTCTTCCACTTTACCTTTGTTTAAATCAGGGCTTAACACAAGTTGTCTAAAACAGTATGTTTGAACAACTCCCTCCCGTTCACAACATGGACGTGATTTATTGTTTGTTTTACAGCTGTCATTTTTGACACCTGTCACATTTGTGGGGGTTTAGCAGTAATAATTGAAGATGAGTATATTTTCAAGATTAATTTCTGTTTCTGTTCTGTTAGATATATTAATGTAAATAAGAAATTATCAGTATCAGTTCATTCCAAAATAATTTCCTAACTTTGGATTCTTATTTTTAGAGCTCGGTTCATGCAGTGTTTGGAAGATATGCAAAACTGAGTGATAGAGTGATGTGCAATGTTTTTCTTTTCTTTTTTTTTGTTTGCATTCTGTTTAAATGCATAGGAGTGCTGTGTGTCCATAAAACATTTCCCTCAGGGGACGATAAAGAAACCATATGCTATTGTTTCCAGTACTCACCTATTGCATTTTAATACATTATGATCTTGATTATTAAAATGCCATCAAACTGCCAGTATGGTCCATTGTAAATCTGTATTCTAGTTTATAACAGTTCAGAAAATTATATTTCCAATGTGATGTGATAAGAAAATAAAATATCATGTTATGTTATGCTACATATTTTCATCACAGTGTTTCTCACCGTGTCTAGACATCTGTACAGTTATTTTATCACTTGTGCCTTTTCTGTTTTCTAAAGCTTGGATGAAAGTCTGACATCACCTAATTGAGACTATATTAATAAGGCCTTTCTTGTTATGGAACATAATCTTTTCATCCGGAGAAATACTTTCCATTAAGGCAATCAACAGAACAGCGAAAATAAAACTGGGAGGAGTAGTGCTTTCAAGCTGACAGCTTCAAAATTTATAATATCTCTAGCAGACATTACCATCGCTAACGCTGGATGTGTAGTCAATAGAAATCTAATTATGGTTAGCAATGGTACGGTCATTTATTAGGAAAGAGCAAATGTTATTTAAGCGATTGACTTTTCACCTCGGTGATACCCATAACACTTTTAAAGAGCCATTGTTCTATCACTCAGACAAGACTGGCTCCTGGTTTTGTGCTTCCCTGTAGAGCTATTAACTCCTAAATGAGCTCATGTGCTCCAAGAGCCTAGGATGGCTGTGGGGCTCGTTTGGAATATTTTAAATATTGTGATCGGTGTGTCAGTTTCAATGCACAACCCTCTCTTGCTTTTTCATGTCCTGATTGAAATTGTGTATGCACCACTTTTATTGATAAAATTATTTCTACAATTACTGTTTATTTACATGTAAATAGCAAGTATAAAACAACATCTACATATGTCTTTGTAAACCTATTTGACATTCTATATCTCCATACTTGTTTATTCTCTTCAGTCACTCTCCTTACATTGATATACTTACAGGCTGTTAGAAGAGACTCTTACACAACAGTGATGAAGTGTGAATCTTTAGGGCAGTTAAAATGTTCACTACATGGTCATCTGGATTTCACTGGGTGCTCTAGTTTCCTTACACCATCAAAGACTGGTGTTCCATCTATGGTATATTTCTACTTTGTGGCTTATGTTTTCAGGTTATGCTCCAGGCTGCTACAGTATGCTTCTTATCAGGAAGTTCTGGTAATGGATGAAAGAGCATCTATAGATGTTGTTACAGAAACACAGAAACCAATGTTTCTCTCTGGGTCTTTGTGCAAGGTGACACTGCTGAATTTTATGATCACCCCTGAGGGGATGCAAGACCAGCTGCTGGGCATTGTGGTGGCGCGTGAGAGGCCTGACCTCGAAGAGGAGAAACAGGCGCTCATCTTGCAGGGAGCTGAGAACAAGAGGTACTGTACTGATTGCTAAGGGAAGGGGAATTCATGCTGTTGTATGTAAAGGAAAATGGTATGAAAACTAAAATCAATACAACAAATTGCTTATCTTCTTTCCCCAAAGATTAACAGTTGTCAGATCCCAGGACATCATTTTCTGATGGAAACATTAGCCTCAGAAGATCATTAAAACCTTGGCTTATCATAATTTGTGATGCCACACAGGCTGCAGTGTACAGAATTGTCTAAAGTAAGCAGGACTAGGGCAACAGATGCACCAATACAGAGTAAATTTCAAAAGAGTGCCCTTTATTTATAGTGATGAAATGAAAACCACATGCAAACCAAAATAACAAACCAAACAAAAGCCTAGCTCTTCTTTGAGCAGCTAACTAACTGTATGGTCATTAACTACTCCATCTGCCAGCTAAGCTGCTTATTGCTTTCTGGCTTCAAAATAAAAGTTTACTGTCAATGCCAGATTGTTTACTGTCTCACCCTTGGTCTTTATCACACACTCAGTTCCATACAGGATTACTTCAGTCTCTACCTGAGAATTTTCACAACTAAACAAACACCCACAGCTTCTTAAATTGCCTCTCATTCCTTAACAGCCCCTCTTCTCCCTGGTATATTTTGCACACAGAGGTTCTGACCTCTGTCTTCATGATGTCCGATTTTACCCACTGACACACTGACAAAAAGAGCTTCCATTTCCTGGTTTTACATGTTCACCTGACCATTCCTCTTCTCCTAACTGGTCAGATGGTTGAGGGCAGCAGCAGACCATCTCCCAAAGGCTTCTGGTCCAGACAAGGAGGCCATTTTATCTGAACCAGCTGTGCCTTCACAAATGCTGTTGTATGAAAGATATACAGTAATTTTACAATAGGAATTACATTCTCTGCCATCTTAATTTGTGTTTTGAATGGATCTGGCTAAGTGAATGTTTAAAACAGAACTTCCTCTGACATGAACAGACCAGCTTCTTCTTCTCCTTTCTTTAGGCAGCTAAAAGAGATCGAGGACAAGATCCTAGAAGTACTGTCCTCCTCTGAGGGAAACATTTTGGAGGACGAGACAGCCATAAAGATCTTGTCCTCCTCCAAGGTCCTGGCCAACGAAATCTCAGAGAAGCAAGCTGTGGCAGAGACCACCGAGAAGAAGATTGATGAAACACGGATGGGCTACCGGCCAATTGCTGTCCATTCCTCCATCCTCTTTTTCTCTATCGCAGATCTGGCTAACATCGAACCAATGTACCAGTACTCTCTAACCTGGTTCATCAACCTTTTCATAATGTCCATTGAGAACTCGGATAAGAGTGACATGCTAGACCAGAGGTACAACCTACTGCATTTCAGAGTTCTAATATCTCTGTTGTATTTGTTTTCTAGATTGCTTGAGCTTGGTGTGTTTTCATTAATGTATGTTGAATCAATAGGTAAAAGTAACATCTTTTTAATTTATTATAATTTCAGTGAAGGGTACTATTGAACTGTTGAAATTACAAAAACTGACCTTTTTTAAAGACTTAAGTGACTGTGAATTATTTATCATCTCTGCCAAAGGGGACCATATATGCAAAAATAAAAATAAATCAATCCAAAATGACATAAAGGTGCTAATTTGCTGTGCATGTGCGCAAGTTTGCTGTCCAGTATGTGTTGTGATTTAATCTTGCTGATTAACAAGAAATTATAAAATAATCTTGTATGCTGCACTTGTAATCTGCTGGAAGGTTTTGGTATAGAGAACATTGACACAGAATTACTGACACAGAACTGACACATGCATTACCGAGAACAGCACTATGGATTTCTGAATTGTTAGCTACTGCTGAGTAAAAAAAAAATGGTAATGTAGTCTCTATGCACTTTTAATCATAAGAAAACTAGGGGAGACCATTTGGCCCTGTTTGCAAACCTGACCAATCCAACCTTTTTACAAATGAATATCAAAGGTTTTCCTCCAGCCTTTTCTTGAAAGAAACCAGTTTAACAGTTTCCACAACATGGCTTGTTAGCTTGTTACATACTACCATAACCCTTTGCATTAATACATGTCTCCTGTTTTCGATTGCTCTTCCATGTAGTCTCCATTTGTGTCCTGTGGTTAGTGTGTCACAGTTTTTTTACACTTTGTTGCCATACTTTTGCTTAGTTCTAATTTGATCTTTGCATAACCAACCTCACCCTTTGCTAGGGATGTTCACCCAAACCTCACAATGATCATCACAGTGAAATCCAGCAGGTTTTATTTCAGTTATTCCAAGTACACTTGGTTGACTTTGTGAATGAGGATTTTATACAATTGGAAGAGATGATCACATATTTTTCTCTGCATGGGACTAAAAGATTATGTTCCTTCAGCTTATTAGTACAGTATATGACATTCCCCTAAGCCTTGGGATGTATATAGTTACTCTTCTCTGATTACAGAGTAGCAATATCTTTTTTATAATGTGGTTACCAATATTCTAATTAAGATCACACTATTTAATTTAACAACTTAAAAACAACATCCCTTGATAATTATCCATGGCTTCCTTTCTGAAAATCATTTTCAATGTTTCCAAACACTGGCTCCTTAACTTGATAGGAAATCTGCTGTTCTTTGTGTTCAGTGACAAGTATTCCCATTACATAACAGAAATAGATATTTAAACTTTACATTTAAAGTTTTCTTCACAGTACAAATTATCAACTCTACTTTAAAAAAAAACTTTCAAAAAGCTCTCCCTGCTTAATATTTTCTGTCTCAACAAGTAATTGTTTCCTTGGTAATAGATTTGGTAAAGATTGGAGCAAGAGAACAGACAGTGAGGATACTGAAATATTCTAAACGCATTTCTATTCTTTTTTTGCAGAGGCATTTTGAAATTATTGTGCTTGTTATAGCCTTATAATTAATTGTTATGGGGAGGCATATTATTTCAGATTTGAGTGTCATTGCAAAAACATTATCTGCCAGGAAAATGATTAGAAGGGCATGGGAACAAAGAAAATATTTTGTGATGCAAGGCAGTATTTTTATGTCTTTCCACAGTTTCATCTGTTGATTAGTTCACAGTAGTAACAGGACACCGGAAATTACTCAAAAGATGAATTTACTGTGTCAGAACCAGTCAGCCTTTACAAAGCACATTGAATAAATATCTCAGAATAATGAATAAAAATGAAAGAAAGTATTGTATTTTAAATGTATGTAAAATAGGAAAAGAAAAAAAAACAATTGAAGCAAAATTATATCACCAGACCAGTTATTTTACATAACAAATGTGTTCTGTCTGACAGCTGTTCTAAATGAAAATTCATCAGCTGTTATTATCTTTTATTGCTTCTGTTTTAAATAGTAGGATACATTTGCTTTGTTGAAGAATATCCTCATATACAGAAATATTGAAGTGATGAAACAGATATGTCTTCTCTCATACTATTCATTCATCACTTCAAGGGCATATGGGTTGCATGAAAAACTTTGCGGGAGGAGATGCAGTATTACAAAAGAATAAAGAACTTTCCTCCTTTTTCTTTTATTGTAAACAGGGATTTTTTAAAGCAAATTATGACTATATTTGTCAATTAAGAATATCACGGTTAATCATTTACTTTTAATGTAGTACTGCCAGGAAATTTAAATCTACCCATATTCAATATTAAGTTAATTAATAATTAATTAACAGTTAATTAATATTACATATGTTTAATATATTCAAAGATTCTAATTCTAATTCAGAATATATCATTCTAATATATTCTTATGTATTATGAGAGGCATAAAAAACCCAGTAAATGAATATTGGAACTAATGGCAGTTTCTGTTGTTCTTATTGTGATGTTTTTCATCCTCCTTTTGTGTTTCCAGACTACAGATCTTGAGAGAGCACTTCACCTACTCTCTGTATGTCAACGTGTGTCGCTCACTTTTTGAGAAGGACAAGCTACTCTTCTCTTTCTGCCTTAACGTCAACTTGCTCAAGCATGAGAAGATGGTGTGTGAGGCTTGGTTATCATTTATTCTTTATTCCAGTCCCATGAAAAATAAAACATTTAATAGTATTCAAAAAGGAATGTACTGTATGAAGAAATGCTTCAGATTTCATTCAGTAATCTTGAGGCTAAAGAGTCATAGCTTAAAATATGTCCCAGTTGCTACTCTATCCTCTAATCATCATCTGAGGCTTTTACTATTTCTGAAGCATTCATCATGGTAGTAATAGGAATTTATCTGTGCAAGAGCTTTCATTTAATAAAGGGGCAGCATTATGTGGAACACAAAGGCTGATTTGGCATTAGGTTTAGTCAAATCCAATTGCTGAGTAATCACTAATCCTTTACATTACTTATCACCCATTCCAGTTTTTGAAATCTTTTGAATAATGCATGAATCAGTAATCAGTTAACTGTTAGACTATAATTTTCAATTCTTATGGATCCAACATACTATAACTAGCAATTGAAGTGAACCATAAAACTGAATTGAAATCAGTTCAGTACAATTTAAGTCAAGTTGATGTTTTATATATACAGTATGCACAGGTTTATCACAGGACCAATTAATTATCTTCATATAAGGCAGTAGTGAAATGTGTTGAGGTAAATGTCAAGTCTCCACCCCACACACAAATCAACACAAACACCATACTATGTCAGTTGTGTTCCTTTGAAATGGAAGTTACTAACTAGTTTGTCAAATAACATGAAATTGTCATTGACAGCTTATACATAGATCTACATTCACATCACTATAGTAATTATATTTGCAAACAATGAGTTCTCATTCTTAATGACATCATTCATTTTTGTTTATATACTGTATTCTTTTATAGAAGTAGTAATTAAAAAGAAAATGACTTCGGATGTATGATGTACAATTTTCTTGAAATTCTTTCTTGCCTGTAAGGTGGACGATATGGAGTGGAGGTTCCTGTTAACAGGGGGGGTAGGCCTGGATAACCCTCATTCTAACCCCTGCACCTGGCTGCCCCAGAAGTCATGGGATGAGATCTGTCGTCTGGATGACCTGGAGCGCTTCAAGAATTTGCGGCGAGACTTCGCTCGGCTGAAGGATGGCTGGAAGGAGGTGTACGACAGCATGGTAAGCTCCCTGCTGACGAGGACTGTAGGGGGACAGAAAATCAATAAGCAAAGACAGAAGGCAATACAACCCTGAATACCTAAATGGTTGCTACATTCTTTCTTTAGCGGGGTATTGCTTTAGTAGGATGATCAAGCAAAAAGTCTAAAATAGAAGGGATAGAAAGGTCTAATAATAATAACAAATAATTAAAACACGAGTCATTCAGGCAAGTAGCCATGAGTGTCAGAAATGGACACAATACTGTATATAGATATCTTACTTGTCTTGTGGAAGAGTGTGTAAGGAATTTACCCTGATGTAGACAACCATTCAACATTACACGTATATTGCCATACATTTGCCTCACTCATTTAAATAATAAATAGTTAGCTTCACATTTGCTTATGAACCCTGCATGAACCCATCATCTGTTTTGCAGATTGAAGTTGCAAAGTTGTAAACTGGAATTTAACAAATGCAGTAGCATTCATATTTTTTATGCAATCAGAGCATTCAATAAAATTAAGGCAGGTAGTGTCCAGGTAGGAGATAATTGCTTTTTTATCTTTTGGGGTCTACCCAGTTCCATCAGCAGCTGCAGCCATGAAAACTTCCTAGACACACCTGAGCCAAGGTTTATCATTCAGCATTAGCCATGTTAGTAGCACTGACAGGAATAGATTGCTTTCTTTATCGCTTAATTATGTTGCTTAATCTTGCAACAGGTCGATAAATCCCAAGATCCTAAAAACAAATTTGATGATAAAGTACCCCTATTATCTGCAAATAGCTAGATTAAGTGATAGAGTGGAGCAATCCCTTCAAGGTTTATCTCTTTAAATGAATGTGAATGTATTTGAATCTCTTCATTAAACAGAAATTAAACAATTCAACTATATGAACATCTGATTAAGTAATGGTTTCACTTTGTTAATGTGTATGTACAAATCCATGTCCATCTGTAATTTAGACGAGATGGATGTTTTATTTATAATCGGCTTATACTTATCCTTTCGTCAGTAGGCTGACTTTGTTATTTACTATTGTAAAGGCATGAATGCATACATACTGTATGAAACATGCTAATCTACTCTATAAAAAGTAATAAAGCTTAGAAAGTAAGATATAAATCATTACAATGCATCTACAATTATTATAATATTTCAATGTTACACTTCAATTATTTTGCACTAGATTCATACACCTTTACAATTTTTTTTACCATTTAAATAATGTGCCACTCATATTAAGTTCTTAGAGAGAAACTAGTATTGTTTTATGAAAAAGCTTCAGGAATAAAGAATCCTATGCGAGCTCAAAGACTTTGTGTAGGTACTTGAGTCTCTCCGGATATGTTGCTGTGCTGCTTTTCTAACCCAGCATGTGCTTTCTCTACAGGAGCCACACCACACTGCTTTTCCCCAGGAGTGGCAGGACAAGCTGGGCCAGTTCCAAAGAATGCTCATCATCCGCTGCCTGCGGCCAGACAAGGTAGATCACCGGCTTCAGTCCCGCAGCGTCGGGAATAGGGCACCAACACTCACGACCCAGTCAGTCTGACACAGTCTAATGCCCACCAGGAGCCTAGGGTTCCTGAAACACAGGGACAGCGTACAGCATTTCTAAACACATTTTAAAATAGTATAGATTTTAACTCTTTACCTTAATTCACTCATTCCAATACTTATGAGGCTTCATCTTATTTTATGGTCGGTGAAATGACATTGTCCACCCAGTGTAATTGATGTTTCTCACTTTTGATTTTTGTTTTTGTTCTGAAGTCCACAATTCTTTATAGAGTCTTATATACCATTGTATTTCCAATAAGTATTCTTTGTGGAACACAAAGTATTCTTGGAAACACTTTCCAAAAATAATCATATAATCTCCAGTATAAAGGATTTTTACACTGCAGTCTTTTTAACCGAGACAAAATAAAAAAAAATTCTGTTTTTGAATCAACATTGGTCTCTAAAATGCATCTGTCAGAGCTGTCTCTAGTCATTGCCCTTATTGATGCTATTCACCTCTTGTAATATAGAGGATCACTTCTTTTAGTCTACAGCTCACCTGGAGATGTTTTTAACAAAACAGCTGCCACATAATGTCATGTCCTAGAAATGCATTGTAGCAAACAGATACAGATACCAGAAAGTAGTTTACCATACTTGAATAACAACTCAAGGTGAAATCATCAACAAACTTCCTTTCCTAGATCTGTAACATTCTTGGACCAGTAGGTCACTGTCCACTGTTCAAATATGACTTTTATTGTCTCATTCTCGCCTGTCTCTTCCAGATCATTCCCATGGTGCAGGAGTTTGTTTCCAACAGCCTTGGTCATCAGTTCATTGAGGTGCCCCCTTTCAACCTTGGCAAGGCATTTGTGGACAGTCACTGCTGTGCCCCTCTCATCTTTATCCTGTCACCCGGCTCCGATCCCATGGCTGCTCTGCTTAAATTCGCAGATGATCAGGTTGGTCTGGGTTTAAAGGACTTGTAGATTCATGTAATATGTATTACACAATATAATAATTACTTTATTAATAAAAATAATATTATTTTAAAATGGGGGGGGGTTAATCATTAACCAAATAATAGCTCGTTCTCATACCATTTTAAATACTAAATATTATAACATTACTACAAGAAAGGGATTACCAAGCAAAGTCATGTATTTTCTTTAATTTTAATTAGGCAGTAGTCAAAGATTTCTTAAACAAAACTAACACAAGACTAACACAATTGGAGTGAGTTCAAGTAACCAAAACAATACATCATTTAATCACTGATGTTGAAAAATCTAAGACACTTAGAAGTTGACATAAATCTTTTCATACAATTAATAATTCACCACTGGCAATGCCAAGCTCTGAAGTGATGCTAAAAGGAGGCAGCCTTTGGACAGCATATGTTTCTTCATAGATTTTAAAGGACGTTTTCCAGTTTCCAGAAACATAATTAATAAATTTCCTTTCTTTGAATTTAAAGCTAGTGTCTGATTTTTTTAACATGGGCTTTGGTCAGGTCCAAAACGCTCCAATCTAAAAAGCTAAACGTTTTTTGTTTTCACTCAGCTGGGAGATGGTTATTTGATTAAATAACATTGAGGTCTAAAGGAACTTTTACCCTCTTATCCCTTTCTATTAGAAGATTTAAATCAGCACAAAATGTACCCAACACTGATGATACTGAATATGATCTCAGTTGAGGGCTGCACTATTTTGCTATTGCTGTGTAACAGAGTCTTCCTGTCTGCTCTCAGGGTTTTGGTGGTGCCAAGCTGAGCTCATTGTCACTAGGTCAGGGCCAGGGTCCTATTGCCATGAACATGATTACAAAAGGCGTGAAGGAGGGCACATGGGTAGTGCTGCAGAACTGCCACCTAGCTACCTCTTGGATGCCCATTCTGGAGAAAGTGTGTGAGGTAAGCTATTGGTAAAGGAATATCTTATTCTGTGATTTCCAGGAACCTGCCGTCCAGACCTCAGAAAATCTTTACACAGCATACATACTTTAAAGGTTTATTTTTTTGTTATTTATAATTTCATCTAATTATTGACAGCAATGTATAAAGTCTCTTCTGTGTTTGTCTTTAAAAACATATGCTCTCGATTTCTTTTAAATATGAACTCTTCCTCTTACTGCCTCTTTGCTTTTCCAGGAGCTGAATCCAGACACCACTCACCCTGACTTCCGGCTGTGGCTGACCAGCTATCCGTCACCCACATTCCCTGTGTCTGTGCTTCAGAATGGGGTGAAGATGACCAATGAGGCACCCAAGGGGCTGCGGTCCAACATTGCCCGCTCCTTCCTCATGGACCCCATTTCTGACCCTGATTTCTTCGACAGCTGCAACAAGCCGGTTAGCACAGCTTCAGTCTGCTTTACAGTACCTGTCACATGCACTGGGTGTGCATATGATCTGAACACTGAAAACTACATCTTTGATGAACAAATGTTTCTCATGTGTTGTTCATGTGATGTTGACTTTGTAGTATATAGAAATGGAAATACTGTACCTTTGCAATTATTAGTAACTCTTGTTGAATAAAAGTTAAACTATTTTGGTATTTCGGAGCTACTGTAACTCCATATTACTGGAATCCATGTACAGTATAAAGATACTAGAAAGTGACAGAAATAGAAACATCTTTAGGAAAAAAGAATTGTAATAAATAAATTGATTTATTCATTAAAGTGGGTTGCAATGGAGGTTGATTAGGTTGCTTTTCTGTAAGTAACCCAATAAGAGCAATGCCTTTTTTAATCATAATTGTTAGGTTTCTAAGACATTTATGAAATAGTAGTCTTTTAATGATTAACACTAGCACTTGTCACATGTTTGTCTGCAGGCAGAGTTTAAGAAGCTTCTGTATGGGCTGTGCTTCTTCCATGCACTGGTACAAGAGAGGCGCAAGTTTGGTCCCCTGGGTTGGAACATTCCCTATGAGTTTAATGAGACAGACCTCCGCATCTCTGTTCAACAACTACACATGTTTCTCAACCAGTATCAGGTGAAGACATAATGATATAAAATAATTTTCTTGGAACTGTAATTGGAACTGTAATTTAAATTTTTTTCTTGAAAAATGGGATCCCTACAGTTGTTTGCTGAGGTATTGTCATTAAAGATGTGTCATTAATGTTCTACAAGGTATTCTGGGGGCTCTGACAGTAGTGTTAAGCAGCCCAAGGTTTTTTCTATAGTAGCGGGTTTTGGCAGTGGGGGTGCAGTTATAAAAGTTGCCCACACTGTGAACTGAAGGTTTGATTTTAAGCGGTCTGCCAGTTCAGGAGTAAGTTTTGTACATATACAGCTGTTTCTCTTTACAGGAGGTACCTTTTGATGCTATCCGCTACATGACAGGAGAGTGTAACTACGGGGGACGTGTGACAGATGACTGGGACCGCCGTACTCTGCGCAGCATCCTCTCTGTATTCTACACCCCTGAGATCATAGACAACCCTGACTACAAGTTTGATTCCAGCGGTCTCTACTATTCACCCCCTGAGGGAGAGGTACAGTATGCATCTTTAACTTGGACAAAAATAATGGATTTTACTTTACATCATCTTTACATGATTTCCTAAAAGATCAACAGGGTTGCAGGCTATGAGTTTTCATTAATCTGGTACTTTAGCTCGCAAACGTGCATGGGAACAATACGTTTATATACAATATATATGTTTTTATTTTGTAGTACTTAACAGCATATATTATTAATTAAAGTGGGATTTTATCTGCTTCTTTATTATACATTTTTAATAAATGTCTTTATTTTAGAATTTGAAAATACTTTTATGAGTTTTCTGATGTTTACAAATCTTACAAATAATGTCAATATTAGTTCATTGTTTTCCACTGTGTTTGTTGTAGTATAACAGCTACATTGAATATACCAAGACTCTCCCTCTGAACCCTTCACCTGAGATCTTTGGCATGAACTCCAATGCTGACATCACCAAGGACCAGGCTGAGACGCAGCTGCTCTTTGACAGTATCCTACTCACACAGGTGCGTGCAGCTAGGGGCTCTGATTGTCCACTGGTATACACAACGTTGTGCTTTCGTCAAAGGAAGAGCTTAAATAGAAATCTAATGCACATACACTGTGGTTTGCTATAAGTGAATCAATATCTACATTTTATTTTAAAAACACCTCTTTTGTCTGTACTGTACCGATATATAGCAGCAGTGGCAACATTCCAGTTGGATTCATAATTTGATATACCATCCTTTGCACTGTGTGTGGCTGCAAGCTTGGTTGTAAGATGTATACGGTAACCTACTAGAAATGAACCCAAATGTTCCAACTAGACCAGTCCTGTAACAACATGCTAGTATACTTACTTCCCAGTCTGGAACTTCCCAGGCCAGGTACATTAACCTAAACACAAAATGTGTAAGTGTGTTTCTATCTTCAACTAGACAAAGGGAGACACTGCAGAATATTGCCTTTAGTTATGCATAGTTCTATATTGAGCATATTTGGAGATCTCTTTATTCATATCTTGTCTCTCTATGTATACTTTTTTCCATTTTATACTATTACATACTATGTATGCTGGAACCCTTCAATGTTTCCTTAATGTTTTAAGTTGTTTGTAGTGAGCTGAGTTTTTCTCAAATATTGAAAGAAACTCGATTTCTGATGCAAAGTTGGGAAATACTAATTTTGTATCTGGTACTTTCCGCATTCACAGGTTTTACAGTCACAAAAAAATGTCTTCAAAGAAAATATAGTACCAAATTAAATATCAACATGGAAAATATTATTAGTAATATTGTTAGCAATTTCCATTAGAAAATTTAAGGGATTTTGCAGAAGGAAACGATGACAGTTTTCTCATATGCAGAATAGAGAAAGTACATATTCAGATGTCAAGAAGTCTCTAAAAATTGATTAAAGGAATCACAGAAGGGAAAGAAAGAACAGATGCTGATCTTTGGTTTCATCTGTTAGCCTTTAGGCCCCATCTCATTTAACTTGATGAACATGTGCGCACTGCTATATTCTTAAGCAATGCAGAGTATTACAATGTCATTTTTTAATTGAAGTCTTCAGCATTTGCTATAGTCTGCTATATATGTTATTCAAATCTGCAGCTAAGGTTTTTAAAAATTCTGATCCATTAGTTAATATTAAACTATTTTCCAGCACTGGAGTTTTTTTTTTTCTCTAGTATGTATTTTTTCCCAAAAACAATTGAAAAAAAAAATTAATTTGAACTAAAAACATGTAGATTCTTAGATTTTGATGTTAAGAAAATTATAAATTTTTTATGTATTTATTTTTCAAATACATCATTTAAACGTTGTTAATCTGAAGTAAAAGCAGGTATTTTCTCATCTTTTAAAATAAAAAATGCTCTCTGTTTTTTATGGACAAAGACAATGAGGCACATACTGTATTGATGTTATGAAGGTTTTCATTACTGCAGCTTTTCCATATTCACCTTGAAATGTCTTAGACATTTGATGAACTAGTTAAAATGTGCAGATCCAATAGTGAGCTACGATGGAGAATTTTTGTTGAGGTTTATTAATGCAGCCTATTCATCTGTTTCTTAATCGAATTCATTGATAATGACAAGAACTGATTTCGCATATCACATAATTTTATTTTTCATTGCTTCCCTTCTGACAGAGTGACACCTCCGTAAGTAAATAATGTTCACATAACTCTGCTGTTCTGTTTTTTCTTATTTTCACATTTTTGCTCCTTTTCTCTTGTGTGTTTTGCAGGGAGATTTAACTGTAAGTACAACCGAAGTGTTAGTGTCAGACAGTCTGTTGTACTTTTCTCAGTGAGAAACTGAGTGAGTACTTCACTTACAGTCCTGGAGGTTGGTAAAAGTTCAGAAAACATTACATGAAGTAGCAGGATAGACCTTGAATAATACCAGATACACATTACAGTGCTGTAAGTATTATATTCCTCATATAATGGGGATATAATGTTGATGTACCTCTGTAGTCAGTGGCAGTTAGCATAATCTCTTTAATTAGGATAGATTTTTTCAACATACTGTAAGCTGGTTTAATCATTCATGCTTTTGAAACCTCAACTAAGGTGCAAAATAATTATTGAAAACATTATTGTTATTTAAAATCTGAGTTTTGAAGAGACAGCCCAATGCTAACGTTTTAAATATAACCATGCAAAAAAGTACGAGGCTATTTCCAGATATGTAATTTTTTTAGATATAATCTTTTGTCATTCATATATTCATATACCCAAACTCAATAGCTATATATACCAGAGAAAATACTTCTAGTTTTTCATTCAGGCTAGCAAGATAACATTAAGTCTCAGTATAGTGTCAAGAGGGAGCACAGTCAGAGCCATTTTGTGTTTTTGGTGTAGTGTTTATATGACAAAACAAGACTCCAAGGAAATGAAAAAAAAAAACACGATTTTTTCTGTCATGGATTCATAACCTACAGTAAATGAAAACCTTGGTCTTTTCTGGAAATTAAAGCTCAAGGACTTTGGGAATACTACTCATCTTTTATTTAGTCATGCTTTTTCATGTTCTGTAATGTTCTTATACTGTCTATAGTGGTGCTGCGATATTATTAGTCTTGTTAGTATTTGTTAGAGATAGTCTCAAGTCAAAATCATTTTTGAGTCCAAACTAGTTTCCAAAACAACCTACATACTGCAAACATCACCATGTCATGGATCTGATGAAATCCGAAACCAAGCTGATATACATGCACTCTCATCATGTGGACATTGGCATTAAATTTGAATGTGTGAAGTACAGGTAATATATAATGTATATCTCCTCTGGTCAACTACCATACTGTAATTGTCCATAATGCAGATTTAAAACAAAAACGCTTTGCTTAAAAATAAAAAAATGACTTCAAAACATGAATGATCAATGTTGTCCTTAGAACACATGTAATGCAGTTATGTTATAGTGTGGTGGTATGTTTGGATTTAAAAGAAATGGTTTTGAACTTGGCTTGAGACTGGTCCTGGAATGTGCCTTGAAGAGTTGAGTAGAATAGGTCTCTGGGATGGGTTGGAGCTGCACACACTAACTGCTGTTTCAGTTTAAAAGGACTGCTGCCCTGAAGTACTAACTACACAGTTCTTATGTGTTCATTCCAATAAGTCAGCTTTTAATTTTGCATTTGCAAATAATTTAAGAAAACTACATCACAACTGAAACTCACAAGTGCTGTGCAGCTTAACATATTGTACTTGTATGTTAGAAGTAGCCTGCTTTAGTTTCCTTCTCTATATATTTTATCTATGTACTTTTTTCTTCATTTCCAGTGTCTTGGGGTCAATATGAGCATGTTATTGTAAACACTGTATAAATATAATATCTACGATGGTAAGCGGCTGGCTTTATTTGAAAAAGTGTGCCGATAACATAAAGGTTCTGGGTTTCCCATCTTCCATGCCCAACTAACCAGCCCACCTACAGCAGTTTTTCCAACTTCTAGCCCGATTTCATCAGATCTCAGAAGCTAAACAGAGCTGGGCTTGGTCAGTACTAGAAGGGGAGACCCCTAAGGAAAACCACTGTGCTGCTGTATGTGGCACTGGTGGACCCGTAGGCTTCACTCTTTCTGTTGGACCAGAATTTCTAAAATTATGGATACCGTGCTGTAGGAAGCTGTCCTCTAAATGAGACATTAAACCAAAGTTGTGGTCATTAAAGACTTTGGGGTGGCATAATCTGGCTTTCTAAATGTCCCTCTTCACCAAATTAATAGTCATGACACTCCACCTGATCTGCTGGCTCACAATAATTTCAGCACATTACTTATGGCAGGCACTGAGACTCAAGACCAGTTCCCAGATTGAGCAGGCTTGTATCATGCACCAATAATGAGTATAATTGGAGTTTAATTTTTATATACATATTGTATAATTTGTCTCCATAATTATTAGAGACTGGGGTTGCAAAAGCAATTTATTTGTATATTTTTATTTTATTAATTTTATTTACAATGCTTTGAGTTTGTTTAAAAGGGCACATAAATAAAAGTCCATTATTAATATCATCATCATTGTCATCGTCAGCATGACTAAGGATGATTATGTCATATTGTATATAAACGTCCATTCAACTGCCATATAAAAAGTAAAAATAAAATCACTGAGTCATCTCATATTAAGAAAAATTATTTGAACAGCTAACAGAGTCTTTGTTGCACAGACCTTTATGCTTTTGCTTAAACACAAATCCTCATTAACTTCAAAGCTTTTCTGAATTTAATGTCCCAAAGGCTGTTTGGTGTCTAGTTTCAGATGAGGGAACATTATCATCTTAAAGCAATAACTAGGAAAGCTATATAAGGCTTGCAAAATCTGAAATAAATAGCTGTAGATTTGAACGTTTGATATGGGCCTAAAAACGGTAAATAACATTGCCAGTACATGCTTGCCATAATTTATTCTCTCCCTAAATCATAGAGAATAACCTTGTGTAACAAATAGTCACTGTTAAAACTCAACTGTGCTCTATTAGTCACGCAATATAATTATTGTAATTTACAAGAGATGGTGCTAAATAAAAAACTGAGCACAGATTGAGCAAAGTACAATTAAATTACACAGCACCCCTTTATGATTCTCTACAGCATTCAAGTATCTCATGAATTTCAATCAACCAAATGAATATTAAAAACATGGTTTTATTTTTGTATATTTATTGTGATTAAATATGCACTGTAAATGGGTTGAATGCCATTACTGTATGTTCCTTTACCAGTGTTGTAAGTGCATCTTTCTGCATTGCAGTCCCGCTCCTCTGGGGGTGACACTAAGTCTTCTGATGACATGGTGTTTGAGGTAGCGGCAGACATCCTGAGTAAGCTGCCCTCCAACTTCGACCTGGAAGCAGCCATGCGCAAGTTTCCCACCACCTACGCTCAAAGTATGAACACAGTGCTTGTTCAGGAGATGGGTCGGTTCAACAAGCTGCTGCAGACAATCCGGGATTCCTGTATTAACATACAGAAAGCTATCAAGGTATAATGTATAATGTTTCTTTATTAGCCCTATACAATTTCTTGCATTAGGAATTCGTCTTTTCACATACCCCAGCTTTTCTCCATGGAGACACAGACACGGAGAAGCTTGGGGTCAGAGTGCAGGGTCTGCCATTGTATGGCACCCCTGGAACAGTTAGGGTTAAGGGCCTTGCTCAGGGGCCCAACGGAGTAGGATTCCTCTGCCGGCCACGGGATTTGAACCAGCAACCTTCCTGTCACAGGTGCATATCCTTAGCCACAGAGCCACCGCTCCGCCCTATTGAGAGCCACACAAAGCCCTTGGCATGGAGAATTATAATGTAGCACCGATTTATATTCTATATGCTACATGCAGTGTCACAATGAGAATATTCTGTACTTTAAAATGAACAAATATACTGTATGTACAGTATATGGTAAGAGTTTGTTAGATCATAGGATCAAGGAGATCTAGCCATCTTTATATATATATATTAGCTATTGTTGTATTTAACCAAGTTTTTACCTGTTATTATATTCAGCTATTATGTCAGTAAATATTCTTTGTTTATTAATGATTATTCTTCATTATAGTTATTAATATAAATAATTATAAACCTAGGTAATCAGAGGTAATGAAAAAAACAATTATAGTACCTGTCAATGTAGTTGTATTTATATCTAATATTTGACATCCATATAAATCCATATAAATCGGTAAAATACATACATTTTTTTATGATTCCATGGGACTGTTAATCTTTTGTTTCATATAATAATGTGCAGCAGACAACTACTGTGATTACCTGTCAGCACCCAGTGAGTGTAGCATAGCAAGTCCTAACATCTCCTTCCACCACACATTTCATACAGTTTGTCTTTTCTTTTTTCCCTTTATTTTTCATGTTCTGGATTTATACACATTACTTTTTTGGAATGTTCTAATCTGTCACTTACCAAGTTGGTTTTCCAGATTCAAGGAATATACTCAAAACCTATGCTGTCAGGTTCAATAACACACAGTTTATTTTGGTATTTAATAGTATTTTAGAAACAAGCATAGGGTTTCAAAATTGCTAAATATGATAGAACTACTACACATACAGAAGTACTCTACATTTTTCTGGTAATAAATAGGAAGGAGATGTCAAAATCAGAGGTTACCATACTCCTGTTTCAGTTCTCAAGTAGTGCTGTGCAGTTATGTCTGTCCTGTAGCAGCATATCTTAAGTATAGCCAATAATTAAAGTATTACTTCCTTGCTTAAGTGCAGTGTTTGGTATGCTCACCTCTGGACTTTTTATACTGTTGTATAAGCAGCAAACTGAATTTCCATATTTATACAACTGGGTTAAATACTTTCAGTAAACCATATTAGATAATTTGGTGTCTTTCTGCAATAGGAGTTCTGAAACCAAATATTATCCTGATAGTAGGATCACACCTTCCCCCTTCTCTTAACAACAGACTAATTTCCAAAATTTTAAAACCAAATGCCAAAAGGTTTCAACTTCAGACCTCTTTTCCAGTTCTCCCTGAGTGTCGATACTCTTTCTCTGCTGTTTCCACATCCTCTCAACTCCTGTCTTTTGTTCTACCATGCTTTATTAAATGCTGGTTTCCATCTCTCTCTCACAAGACTACACAGCTGAAACATACTGTCTCTTTTTTTAGCATGTTAGCAGCAATACAACCTTTATAGTACCTGTTCCTTTGCAGCCTACACATGCTGACGCAGCTACTTAGTTGATACTAGACATTTTATGACTTACAATCAACCGAAACTAAAAGCTTCAGCAGAAATGTGAAAAACTTCTACGAGGATGTAGTATCTGGTGCACTGTTGTCTGTAAATATGCATTTCTTTTGGACATTTATTTCAGTTCACAAACTTGAATGTTTTCCATAGTACTGTAGTGATTTTATTGACTTATGTGTCAGGTGTTGACTTTTGCAAAGACATTGTGTGCATAAGGTGGTGAGAGAGAGTGGGCTTCCGAGAAATCATGCAAGCTTGAAGAATTTCCTTAGCAACTCTTCTCAGTCATCAGATATGTAAATGTACCTTCTATGGATGACAGAATGATGAAGCAGGAAGAAGAGAACTGGCTTATTGCTCTATGAGCACTTAAATGTTAGGGAGTATCTTGGTAAATATGGCTTGCTAGTAATGAGTATGCTGAGGCGGAATACTCCTCTAACAAACCATTATCACATCCTAGCTCTTCATTGCCTTGTCTGCTTATTTATTGTTCAACATTTTTTCCATGCTGCATTATCCTAGGTTGACCTGTTCCAATAAAAAAGGTTTTTACATTTCACAGGAAAAAACAGTGAGTAATTTAACCTGACAGCACACCTGGGCTGTTTTGGACGTTTTAGTAATTTATAAAACAAGAGAATGAAAGTAAGATATTTTTTCCCCTTTGAGTTTAGAAAGAGTCCACAGTTTTGTTTTTTCGCAATAGTATTACTAACCTTTTAAAGAATAAAATACAAATAAAGTTTACAGTTTACTTTATATGTAGTGTGTTATGATCAGTCATGTTTTATTTATTTTATGTTTTGTGTGTTTTCAGCCTCTGAAAAAATAATGGTATTGCCAAATAGTATCAGTTTGCTGTAGACAATAACTGTATGCACAGAGCCAAAAAAACAGGCACAGAATGGTTCTTTACTGTTAATGTACTGTACCACAGACGTGAAGTAATACTCTAATGGCCATGTGTTGTTTTGCCTTGCAGGGTCTGGTGGTAATGTCTGCAGAGCTGGAGGAAGTGGTAAACAGCATTTTGAAGGGGCGCATTCCTGGGATGTGGATGAAGAAGTCCTACCCCAGTCTGAAGCCACTGGGCAGCTATGTCAATGATTTCCTTGCTAGGCTGAAGTTCTTGCAGGTAATTTAGTCTGTGGTGATGTAGTAATAAGTACAAAGTGGTTATGGAGGAACCCTTTTGTGTTTAAGGCTGAAAGCATTATATAAAAACACAAAGAACATACAAATGATATTTTCCCTCTATTAACGAGCTCCCATTCTCCAGACTAAGAAAACAGAAATATAAACATCCCATATTGCTTACGTAGTACAATATTAAACATCTTAAAATCCTGTACAGGTAGTTCTCCCACTCAATGTTCATTTCCCATCATCTCGCAATTACTAAAGAAAGATATAACATGTTTTTATGTTCTTTGTCTATACCTAAAGTTTATATTTTAAAACATCTAAGATAAACTCCTAAACAAAGCTACTGTGTGAAAAAATCCTAACTAACCATTCTACAGTATATATAACATTTTTAATTTCTAGTCATTTGCTACAAAACAGAAAAGTTGCTCAGATTGGACATGGAATTATTCGGCTCTATTAATATGCTTTCTTATGGGAAATTAATTTTTAATTTACATGTTTTTGATTTACACAGCATTTTTCAGGAACACATCCGCTGCATAAATTGAAACCTACCTGTAATTACAAACTCACTTCCAGACAAACATTATTTTCACTGATTCAGCAATTTTTATTGTTTATGCTATAGTTATTTAAAATCAGGAACTGTTCACGAATACCAATGATGTACTCAAGAATAACCCATAAACTTAATTCATTATTCAATATTCCTGAAATATGGATAATCATAAAATAAAAATGACCCAAAATATTTTGGAACAGTTGAAATTAGATTAGACATCTCCAAATTGTTCACGATTAAAATAATTGTTGTTGTCAGTGGGCTATTTATTGAGGTATGTATTTTAATAAATATAGTGAATACAAATATTGATATAGAATAATGTCTATTTGAAACCAATATAACTGAAAAATATAAATTGAAAAAATGATATAGCTTAAAGAATATAATTTAAATTGTATAGAAGGAAGGTGACAACAGAAACAAATGTCATGATATTTACAATAAAGAGGCCAGGTTCATTGTTGCTAGATTTGTCCTTGAGGAATGCAAGTCAACACTTTAACAGTAAGTCAACATCACCTCCCTCAGTCTCCCTCCGAAAATAATTAAGTTTGTCTTGACTGAAAAATGAGCAAGAAATGAATAACAGGAGTCAGAAAATTATATGGCCATATTGTGTACCAGTGGCCAGAGAGAACATACACATTATTTAAAAAGGGTTCATTGTAGTGTCAGCATTTTCTGTCTTGTTGTTTAATTTGTATTCTAACTGAACTTTTTAGATAGTGATAGATAAAGGGTTAAGCATTTGTATATCAGTACTTGTAAATTATATCAAGTGTGTTGTCTGTGAAAATACACAACAATCCTCAGAGGACCAAGAAAAACATCAAAGGTGTTTACAGAAGCATCATTTGATTAATCCAGATTGACATGAAATAAAATAAGCTGTCTATCAGGAATGCGGGGGTAAATGTTTATATGTAGAGTTTTGGGGAAAAAGCAGGCATTTTTGGTTATTCATGTGCAAATAAATCAATCTGGCATCAGCCCATTAAACATGGATATCTTTAGCCAGTGGTGTCATCACCCTTCACTTTTTACCCTATCTGGGCGTGAAAACAAGTCAAAACAAGCAGGCCAGCAAGGCCCACACTCAGTACTTTGAAAGTTAATAGATGCAATGCCTTACTTTCCTACTTACAGAGGAGGCCACTACTTTAACTAATCTTTCACATTAGAAATTCCTGAAGATTAAATGTACAAATAATAGTATTTACAGTAGCTGTTTAAAATGATTAATGACATGGGTCAGATAAGGTTTTCTTAATGTGACGAAACATCCTTTAGTCGCAGTGAATGTTTCAGACATCCTTGTTTTTTTCATGGGCTTTACACAGTAGATGTAAGCAGCAGAGTGCCTGCTGGCAACCCACTGGAGTGCTAAGTGCCGGTCTGTCTCCTGGCCACAGCCAGACAGGTGGCAGACATGGGCAGGAGATTCAGCACCGGGATATAGCTGTGTCTGATTGACAACAGACAGATGTTCCACACTGATGCTAGGCTCAAAGGCCAGCCTGGTTGAAAAACTAAATGTTGTGTAATAGTATTGTTTCCAGCACTCAATCAGAAAATCTCAAAGGAAAAATTGGGTGGTACAATAATTTCTCATATAATCCTGTTCATCTACAGTAACTTTCACCAATCTTAAAACTGGCAATAAATTAATAATTATATCCACTCTTACCTACACTCATTGTCTCCTGAGAAAGTCTGATAAATGCATATACACGTTTCTATAGGACCTGCCATACAGTGCATTTCACTGCAGTCATACATCATGGGGCAGTGGTGTGTAAAAAGTCGTGTTGTTCTTTTTCTCTGCAGGACTGGTATGAGAATGGCACCCCTGCTGTGTTCTGGCTCTCTGGGTTTTTCTTCACCCAGGCCTTCTTGACAGGTGGGCAGCAAAACTATGCCCGCAAGCACACCATCCCCATCGACCTTCTGGGCTTCGACTTTGAGGTGCTGGATGATAAAGAATACCGGCAGCCCCCTGAGGATGGTGAGACACCGACAGACACAGACATGTTGCTGTAGCCAGCCTCACTAGGGACGCGCAGACTGCCTAGTCAAATACTTCCATTTAAAAGTTTTGTTACGCTATCAGCTCTGAAGTGAACTGAGTATCTTTAACCAGTGTTGTGATGACTGAATTTGATGATCAAACTGATTAGTAGAATTAACTTAGCAACTTATGTGCTTTTATCAATTAACACTACATGCAAATCACTTTTTTATTAGACATCTGTGGGTAGTAGGCGATATGTTAAGATATGTTAATAATGTAACCTTTTCTTTCATGTGTGCTTTTGTGTGTGGTTGTATCCACAAAAAAGATAAGCTCACTTTAAATTCACCAGAATGTTTACAGTATGTGACCCATCACTTACTGTATCAGTCTCTTGTCATATTGAAACTTTAAAGGAGGTATTCTGAAATAAAAACACTTGGAAAAAATATATAAATTGCTGATTGCCAGATCTCATATACTGTATATCTTTATCACTTATTCACAGCATCAGAATAGAATAAAAAGACAAACAGAAAGAGTTATAGTTTGCTGAACAGAATTATGAGAAGCTATTGCTTTCAGTAAGACAGCTGCACAAGATATTCCTCCTTTATGAATTGTGTGTTATGTCATATAGCATAAGTACAGAGTGAGAATGCTTCAGATGTATTTTAATTGTTGTATTATCTAAGTATTGAACACTTAATTTAATCCCTTGATTATGTGAGTTAATGCACATACAGTACACATTATAATATTCAAAAGAATACAAGTTATTAAATTCCCCAGCAACATAATAGGAGGCATTAGTACAGTATGTTGGTCTCTTCACAGAAGGATATAAACTGTATATCCTTATGTATAGCATCTTTGAAGAGAGGTTAGTTTCATATTTGACAAAAACTAACTTCAGAATATTGCTAACAAGAATACATAAATTATGCAATTCAGGAAAAGCATTTGTTTTAATTAACTGGATTAGAGGATCACTCAAAATCTGAAATACAACATTAACAGTTTAAGAGGTCACATGGAACACTGGTAAAAATAATAATTGTGTTATTTGTTATATGATGGAGACTTTTCATTTGAAACCATTTCAAGCTTTGGGAAGTTTTGCTGGACATGGTTCTGTTTGAGACAGTGCTGTACAGTATGTCACCCTGTCATTGCACTGCAGGTGTGTACATCAGGGGACTGTTCCTGGATGGCGCTCGATGGGACCGCAAAACCAAACTTCTAGCAGAGTCCTTCCCCAAAGTGCTGCATGACACCGTGCCAGTGGTCAGTGTTTCATAATATTTTTTTTTCCAGTTAGACACAACAAAAATAAAATAGCATAATCTATGTATGTGCACTCTTAGTCATAGACTGAGTCCTCAGGTGACCAAAGTCTGTTCTGGCTTGTGAGTATCTTTCAACTACCAACTAATTAAGACTTGAAGGACTAAATGTTTTATGTTTACGAGTTGTAAATTGAATGTAAGAGTTGAAATAGATTACAGCAGACATTTCAGCTCCTTGTAGGGTTATAATATACCGACAGTAAAACTAATACTGCCTGAAAATACACAGGTAGTGCAATTATTCTAGCAGGACAAAGACATTTTAAATTACATACTATTATATATTCCATAATCATTCAATGGAAAAACAAAAACATTTTGTCCTGAAGACGACTTTTTTCACACACTGATCCTATCAGGTGTCCTGTAACAATACTTCAAGATTGGTCACAAAGTAAACTCAAATATCAGTTTCTCCATCCAATATTTTATATTTAACTGCTGCCACAGATTAAACTGAAAGGCTTCTAAAAAGTGTGGATAAAGTGATGAATTCTTTAGATATTATGCCGGAGCTGACTGAGGGCGTTTGCTGGCGACCTTTTGTGTTTCTGCAAAGTAAATAGAGTAACAAGACTGAATAAGATGGTCCTGTTCTCAGTCCTGCTGTTCCTATCCTGAACCCAAGGGCTGAGGACACTCAGAAGACTCTGGGACCAAATGGCAGTAATGCTGAGAGGATTAGCTCTGCTGATCTCATAGACACTCAGATGGCGAACCGAAAATGTGGTGGATTTGCATGAATGTTGTTTGATTGACACAAGAATGTTTTTTTTTCCCATAAATCGATGGTGTGCACATAAGTAGAAAATCTTGTCACAGATCTCGTCACACAAGGTTTACTAGTAGCCCAAGTAAATTAAAACATCACTCATTCTATCCAACATTTTATATACAGTTGTTGTCACATATGAACCTGAGAGACTTCTGTAAAGTGTATTATTTTATTTTTAAAGTGAAATTACCCATAACATTGATAGCTGTATGAATAATACAAAAATAAATGGTGTTACTACTGTTTTAAAAAAAGAATGTTTCACTTGTTAGTTTATTCAATTTATGTTGAGGCTGATCTAATTAAAATCAAAACACTGCTACAAATGAAAGAATCCTATTAGGACAGCATCATCTTTATTGTAGTAGTTCATATAATGCATCATAATAATGATTTGAAGGCTTATAAATAAAGAATAAAGTGTAGAAATAAAATGTCACTAGTGGCAGGTTCTGAGATTTAGAAATATGACTTTATTTAAACATATTTGTTCATGCTGCACACCATACTAATGTATTATTCAAAAACCTTTCTTTGATATTTTAAAAATTTAAGTTCGACTAATAGTAGAAATTGTTTTTGACACAAGCAAAAGTGAATTAAAAATGTGTTTTTTATGAAGGAAAAGAAAAACAACATAGTGTGAAAGTCTTTGAAGTGGAAATCTACAGTATATGGAAATCTAGAGATCAGAATCTTTGGATTATGTTTTATTTATATGAAAAATAGATTCAACACAGTTCAGAGATGATAAATATCCACCAAGAAAAGTAGAATCTCTCTATCTTGGTAACTGGTGATAAACTGGCAAGTAACAATTTATTGAAGGTTTCAATTGAGGCAGTTATTGCAGTCTGTATTTACTACAATACTGCAAGGATATAACTATAGAAATGTAGCTATTAATAGCAATGATGAAAGCAGTGGAGTTTCTCTTTTATTTTTATACCTCTCCTCTTTATTTTCCTCTCATACAGTAAAACACGAACATGCACTGTTGACCCACACTGCTGGTTTTGTGTGTTGTGTGCCCCCTAATGTCTACAGCATAGTTAGTGTATCATTCTGTTGGAAGAGTAAATAAATTCCCTAAAAACAATACTGCTTGCTTACAGGACCTCATCAAATTATAGAATTGCTGTTGAGGTAATAAGTGCAAATATTAAGAATAATTCAAAACGTACTGTAATGCTTGGGAAACCATGAGCAACTGTTTGGGAAGTCCTAGTCACTAAGCTATTCACAGCAATGGCCGGAATACTGTGCTCACCCTGAGCCACTCAAAAGCCCCATTAAGTTTTGTTTTTTTTTTCATTATTTTTAAATTTATAATCCTAATAAGAGTTTCCTGTTACACTGGCTTGCTGCAACAACTGATAGATTTAGTTTAGTCAGCTCCCTCCTGTTTTGTCTTTTCAAGATGTGGCTGAAGCCATGTAAGAGGCAGGACATATCCCAGAGGATGAGCTACACTGCCCCCCTCTACAAGACCAGCGAGCGCAGGGGCACACTGTCCACCACAGGACACTCCACCAACTTCGTCATCGCCATGACGCTGCCTTCTGATCGGCCCCCAGAACACTGGATTGGACGTGGCGTGGCACTGCTGTGCCAGCTCAACTCCTAATACCCCTTTCCAAGGCTTTTCAATGTCCCTGTGGCCTAATGTGAAAAACAACCGGCACTTTAAGTTTATGAATATTACATTGGCTTTTCAGAACCTTCATTTTTATTAGAGTTTTCAATTTGTTTTCATTTATTAAATTTAGGAAAGTAAAGTAGGTACTGTATTATTTGTAACACTTCATTAAAAAACAATATAAAAATGGTTGTGTGCCCATTTCAGTTTTGATATGTTGTATTAATAAGTTGCATGAACTATGTTCAGTGACCCAGCTTCTGTTTTTAACTGCAGCTAAAGCTTAGAAGGTTTAGTTGTTACTTCGGTTCACTGAGATGCCATAATAAACACCACTCCCACATCTTTGCAACTTTATGCAAACTTTATTGTTTTCCGTTCTTCAGTGGAAAACAAAACTGACAAAAGCACGGATAGCAAATGCAGTTAATACATTTAAATATCCAGGTCTGTAAACATCATAAAAAATAAAAAAAGCACAAAACAAGAACCTTCATTATTTTGGCTTTAGAACAGATTTTTCATTTTGTTTCCAGTAGTTTGATAAGATATTCTTTGGGGCAAAAGCCATCTTTTCTGGATGTTATCTCAGTATATTTTATACTCAAAATGAAAAATAAAAGCAGCAGTTTGACTTAATAACTGTACATGTATTGTTTATATATCTCGCTTGCTTTAACCTTACAGTTTCTATATGTTTCCATTTTTGAGTGATGTAAAGTCCTGACAGCATTTAACCCATTTTAAAAATCTGTATTAATCTAAAACTGTAATAGCTCACACTGTCACTTGTTTAACCCATGTAAGGAAAAATGCAGTTTTGCTCAAATCAATTCAATGAATAATGAAGTACCATAGTGCTATGAGATTGTCTTCAGGGAATCATCATTGTTCACATATTTAAATATAACTCACTGCCTGCAATTTTACAAGCTTTTCTTTGTTTCCAAATAATTTTGACTTATATTCTCAAACAAGTTCTTAAAGCATGAATAATCAACTACAATTAGTTTGCAGGGTCCGTTTTCGTAATCCTACAACTACTGCATACTAAAACCACAAGTTATTAGCTTTGCAATGCCCCAAAGTATAGCTCATCTTTAAAATTAAAAAAAAAAGCTGTAGCAAAATGCTCAACAACTAACAATCAGATGTTTTGACCAATGACAACAGTTTTACACCCACAGCTTTTTAACTCTTCCCATGCACGATTTTATCCAGTTTAATAAATTACTTTTATGTGATTACAATGATCTACATCCAATAAACAAGTACATGGATGTCACACAGTGACAGGATAAATTGAAGTTACAATTATGTACTCTAGCGAACACAGAAGCTAGCTATCTGTACTAGGTGGTCTAAATACAGACAATCATTTGGTACCTAAGTAACAGAGATGGGGAATGCAATATGAGGAGGCATTTAGAGCTCAAATCAAAATTTTCACTGTGGCCACCGTTTCAATAAAGCTTCATAGGAAATGCAGTGACTAGACATTTGGCACAAATGTGATTTTTCTATAACTGTTTATACCCATTAAAAAATTATTTATTGAAAAAAATCACTGGGTAAGCTCAGTACTTCTATAGTCTGTAATTTATTTTTTAAACAGCACTTGAAAGGTACAGTACAACACTGATGAAGCCTGTTTAAAACAGCAGTAGATGAAATCACCATATTACTATAAAAGGAGCTTACTCATATAATTCAAGTTAAGACTTAAGCAGCTTAGATGTTTGTGTAATTATCTTTACAATTTTTTAATGGGTATGTTATGTAGACAAAACATACAGTAGATGAAAAAGTAATTCAAATATCTAAAAGATAAATGCAGAAGTGGTGTTAGTTAGAATCATAAGTACAAAATCATTAACTGTACCTTCTGTACCATTTTTTTATCCCAATAATGACACCTTTGGAAACGAAATCATTTTTTTGTAGTAAGGTTGGAAAATAAGTAATATTTACTGCATACCAACAAAAATACTTTTTTCCCTTAAAGATGAACATTTATAAAACTAAATTCAAAGATAAATTAATGAGCACAAGACTTAAATAAAAGTGCTCAGTAATAAAAGAATGATAAGACCATGCATTCAAAAGCTGAAATAAATTTAAATCAATCAAACTGAATGAAATGTCAATGAGTTGACAGAATTGGACTAGTTGGAAGGGTGCTATATACCTTTTAAGGAAAAAAGTAAAGGTGAGTTTGCAAGTACAGTAAGTGTGCAGAGTCTGCTATAAAGTTAACAGACAATGAATCACTTGAATTCATGGAATTGTCATTCATCCATTGAAATGAAAGCTCACTCCCATAAATCATATAATTTTATAATGCGATTGATTTATCAACTTTGTTCCAAACCTTTCAATTTCAACAGCTTCTATTGCTAGTCGTATTAGTGACATAATTAAAGATGCTCCAAATCATTATTTTTCCCAAATGGGTCCAGAATGTTTCTGGTTGAACCATTCGGTACATAAGATGACCAATTTGCCCCAAAACTAAAATAATGTTGTTTTTCAAATTTCTTAAATTTCATAACACTATAGTAATATCAGCGGTCACTTAACAGGTACTGTAAATGACAAATTTTCATTTGGCACCAAAGCTCCAAAACATCCACAGTTACAAAAGCAAAAACATAGCTTCATCTTGAGTAGACAACAAAAAGAGGCAAATGTTTTGTCAAGCATGGCTCAACATTACTAATCCACTGAACCTTACAATTTTGGAATTAAGATAGGCTTTGTTCACAGAAGATATCAATCCTGTAAGATCATTAAAAAAAAAAACGTCAACCACCACAGTAGTATTCTAATTTAAGATTTTATAAACAGCTACAAAATAGGAAGCCTGTGCGTACCTTGATTTGCTAGCACTCTGGCACAACTGAATCCACATATTGAAACTGCGAGTACCAAAGGATTTAAAAAAAAAGTGTTTGTATTATTCTGAACAGGTAATTAGGTCAGTTACTGGTCAGCAGGACTGGAACACTGTAAATGCTTGTTCTCCAACCACTGTTTTGACATGTGTTGGCCCCCTGGCTGCAATGTTGCAATACATGACACGGTTCACAATGAGATACACACCACGGGTATTATGCTTGAGCAGTGGCTTGCTGGACCTCGGGAAGAAAGCAGAGAGTGACATGGTGATGTGCTTGGGACTGCGGCCATCGCTGCAGTGTCTCAGAAATGTAGCCAGATTTATACACTATTTGTATTTCGTGTGAGGGTTGGCAGTTTTTTTTTATTTTACTATGCTTGGCTGTTGAAAACGAAATGTGATCAATAACTGTAAGCAATGTGCTAAGACAAGAGCCAGCATTTTAAGGTAAGGATGTCTAAGGTAAGAGCAAGCTGGGCTTGGTGCCAGTGGAAGCCTCACCACTCCAGGTTTTTCTGGAGGTAAAACCCACAGCCCGCTCTGAATGCAGGTGGTCACTCCTACACCACAGAAAGGTTTCTCTCAAAAGGTACTCTACAGGCCAGGCAGCATGGAGATGGGGCTGGCAGAGAGGTCAGGGCTGTGGAACTTCTCCCCACATTGTTTAAATAGACACCTGCAGGGCTGGGCTACATCAGTCCTCTGGGTGGTCTTTCAGAGCTGCCATTTTTTGTTCCAGTTGACACTGTGAACAGAGGAAACCAGCTGGAAGCCTTCTAAATAACAGGGAGCGTATCAAAAAAGAGCAACATGTCTGCATGTCTGGTCTGCAAATTTCAAAAATGGATGATTTTTGACTAGAAGGAGAAGACATGTGAATGATGAACTATCAGTATATGCCAGGTCACTCTGTACCGAACAGTTCGTGACTATTCAAAAACAGGATGGAAACTATAAAAAAAACAATTGGGGAAATATATTTATATAACAATCTCTTTTTCTGTGTAATTATTAACTCCTTTGGTCAATAATTCAGCCAAAGAGTCACAATATTATTTATAAAAAGAATAACCTATTATGTTTGTACTATTCTGATTTACATATCATGTTTCAGTTTCTGCTTCAGTTTTAATTATAGAGGAACGTCAGGTTTTCGTACACTTAGTTTCCAAACTGTGTCTACTGTGGAATCTGAAATCTTGGTATTGGGATAGGCATGTTTCAGGGCTGATACATTTTCAAGATTAAGAGCACTGGCTGCTGAATACATAAGTATCAGTATAAAACTTGCAAAAAGCTCTGATAGGACATAATATTCCTTTTCTTCAATGAACATAAATGGAAACACCAAGCTTCCGATATATTTATTTTCAAAAAACCTGCAAATATATTTCTGCAGTGGGGATGCGATGCAGGCGGCATGGTGTTTCAATGTCTAAGCTGCCCGGGGCAGAGATGACAATTTTTAGACAAAATGGCCCAGTACTGCCTGCAGCAGCTGGCACTGGTGAAGCACAGAGGGGAAGAGCAGCAGGCCTGCTGAGGTGTGTGTGGGCACCACGGAGCTCGAGGATACCATACGTCCGCCTCAAGAAAAAGGGGGCGACGCAGGGGGATGGGGTTGGATAAGATGTCAGACGAAAAAAAACAAACAATGAAACTTCTCTATTTCGAAGCAACTGCAAGCCACTGCTTTTCTTACTGGCTACTGTACGTAATGATTGCCACACAAAGTTCATGCATGACTGGCCTGCGACACAAGCAATAAGGCGAAGCAAATACCAACATACTTTTTTTCTGGATATATTGCCCCTTCCCTCTCCTGCTCTGTCGAGTTCAGGGCGAGGGGTTGTGCTGGCTAGAAGTTGATGTCCAGGACAATCTTGTCCTCAAAAATGGCAATGAGCAGCATGATGCCAAAGCCCACCAGCATGCCTACATTCTGCAGCAGGAAGTGGCCTAACTGGCATCTCTTGTGTTCCTCGCTGTCTCCATGAAGCATCTCCGGAAGCTGGGGGGGGTGACAACAAGGAGGATAATTCAGAAAACTCCACAGCTCAGACTTGTTCGGCATCACTACGCTGTGCAATCAAGACATCCCCCCTTCAGTGTGTTTCTCCATACTTACAAACCGTACAATCCCAGTGGTCCTGAATTTAAAAACGGAGACACTGTCACGAAGATCATAATGGACATTTAAAACTGGGGTATGTGTTCTTGTCCACACAAAGCTGTAGTCATATCAGCTCACAATTCAAATCTCATCTAAAAGTTCCTGCCATAAATAATTCAAGAAAGAAACATGCCTCTTCTTGTCTACACAGGCCTTATGTCTGGCATCAGAAATAGCTTTTCCATTTTCTAGTAATTTTCTGTGGGAGGGAGGTAGTCTGGTGAAAAAATGAAAGGCCTGCCCTTACCAGAGAACAGTCAGGTTTGTAATTCTTTTCCAAAACCGTTAAAGCATATCAGATGACAAAACTCTTGTCCCTGTAATGCATTTTACTAAGTGTTATAGTTTTCCTCAAGATACTGGATATGCTACACAGCACTGAGTGCTGTCCTTAGCTTCTTAGTCATCCAATTATAATTATTGGGCTTTCCCCTTATATCTAAAGACTTTATTAACCATCTAACACAGTGGTTACTACAGCCTGCACTCCACTGGATCTCAAACTACTGTATATTCTTTCACTCTTTATCAAGTATCGTGAAAGCGGGTCTGTTCTTTAAACTTAAGATATCTCATAACTATTGTATATTTATTTTAATTTTGCAGCAAAATGAAGAATATATGAAACATTACACACTTTACATTTACTTTGGAAACAGTAGTCATGTATGTGCTTAACCTCCAGTAGGTACTTGCACACTAGGTTAAGAACCAATGATCTAAAAGCTGCATAGAAAAGTAATTTCTCTACCACAAACAGCACTGAAATCCTTTCAAGATGAAACTATAATAATTTTGAAGTGTTCAAAACAAAGTGAGCTGATGATTATCCAGCTAGGAGAAAACAGAAGCTAAGAACACTGAATCCTTGAAGACTAGCCATAGGATAAGATAAGCAATATCTTAATTTATAACCATACTGTAGCATACACTAACTGACAATGTGAAGTTCTACACTCCTGCAGTAGCTATCGCACTGAAACTTGTGAAGCGCCACTTTTTTAATTGAAGCTTTGAAGATGACATTATTATGTGAAAAAATAAATACAACTGCAACTGTGCTGGGTTTATTACTCTTGTATTCCCATAAGATCTTGCCAGTCAATCCATTATTCTCTTTTTTCAGCTTTTCTTTTATTTTCCACCAACATATAGAAAGATGGAAAAATACAGAGTATGTGTCACTAGGTAAGCTCCCGGGAGTGTTAGTGCTAGCTCCTTTCACGAGAAGTGTTATAAATTCAAAAACGGCAGGAGAAAAACTACCAAATGCACTTGCACAGTCAAACCAGATCAATTATCGTGGACCCACTGTCAATGTAAAACACAACTTTTACAATATCAATAGCTTATGAATATAGTTATAAGTGTCTTTCATACTTACCATGCAGATAAAGCTAAGCTTCTTTACATATAATTTTCCTGTTACCACTGGACGTGGCATGCTTGCCAAGATCTCATCTATTATTTTTATTTCTTCACACTTGGCAACTTGGAAGATGCCAAAAATCTTAACAAGTAATTAATCCAAAGTATATTTCAGTGTTATCGGCACATGTCACCTCGCTTCCCGATGACCTTGTGTATCATCGTCACGTGAGGATGAAATTACTGTATTAATTGAAACACACAAGTTAGGCTGATGTGCTTTTGAATGCCCACATAATAAACAGAGAATGGAGACTGCACAACTTAGACATGTACAGACATATACAGTAGTTTCTGCTTTGAAATGTTGATATTTAAACTTAATTCGCCAAGTATGAGATACAAGCATATTGCATTTCTTCTTTGTGCACAGAAAAAGGTGAATGGAAAGTGCTTACAGGGGCTATTATCTTGTTAACATTAAGTCACTTTAAAAATGTCAAGAATAACAAATTGTGAAAATTAGATCATATTTCTGTTTTGTGTTTGGATCATCTGGACAATTTTCTATATAATTTTCCTGGATATAATTTAAACAAAAGTTCGATAAATGTTCATGCTTTACGCATGAGATGCGCATGCGAACAAAATACTGCGCGAGTGCGCGTGCGTGTTGTAGACCGGGCAGCTAACGTGGTGTTGTTTACCCACACGGTGGTGGCTGACAGGACTGTAGTTAAGAGTGGAGAAATGAGCGACACTGAAGCAAATGTAGTGCTGCCAACGACCAGCTCGAAGGAAGATGACATCGTCGACAGAAAAGGTCATTCAACTTCGGTAATTTGGAGATATTTTGGCTTTTTACGATCAGACATAAAACAGAGCACTTTAAACTTTGCAGTCTGTCTGAGCCATCTTGTGTGTTTTATCACACTGCAGTATTAAATTTTTCTATTAAGATATTTATTTTGTAAATTATACTCATGCATATTTTGACATAAAAAAGACTTGAATACTCTCTACCTCAGATTTGTTTAATGTTTCTGCTGTTTGGCAAGTGTTTGTTGTGTTCTTAAAATAAAGAGTTGTTTAATTTACCAATTAACTGTCTGGTTTCTTCAACTTTTACTCAGGAGAAAAAATCTGCCTTTAAACTTGAAAGAAATAATGATTTGACATTTATCGTGATAATTATCGATATCGACTGATATGAACATTTTTATAAGATCATGTTTTTGGCCATATCGCCCAGCCCTCGCCACACAGGCTACAAAGGTCTGATAATAACATTATTTCTTGGATCGTTAGAGGAAACACAAAACCATCAAAACAACTGCAGGCCCAACTTCACACACACAATCAGCACCTATCATACATACAAATGTTGGCAGGTGCCTTCCAGAGGGTTCTGCTGGCAGTTTTCTTTATAAACTTGCACCTTATCAGCCTAGTGCATACAGGAAAAGAGGCTTGGTAGTGTTCCAGCACAGGCAGGCAGGGAAAACCGTGTGGAGCGTCTCCCTCCCCACTGTTCGGTCTGTCTTTCTCCGAGTGGGGCTGCCTGCCAGTTTTAGGCGCATTGCGCCCAAGATGAAGTGCACAAGCTGTAAACCCCTGGAGAGTCACCAATGCCAAGCCTGCTGCTCAGAGACAACCCTATCAAACAAAGCTGTAAAAGGAGAAGCTTCTCTCATCTTCCACTCACCGGGGAGTGCACAGCAAGGGAGAAAAGATTAGCAGCTTTTTTGAACCAGAAAAGGTCTATTTATGTACCTCTACATATTCACAACATACTCTCATGGGTCTCTGGTTTTGTTTATGAAAGTCATTGTCACAAAGGTTATGAAATGACACCCACTGTAATATTACAGCCCCACATTCATTTCAGTTGAGCCTGACTATGTATGTGCACATTTTGAATTTTGAAAAGGCCTCACTTGAAGAAAATCTCAGTGTCATTCAGGTTCAAGTGAGATTACACTGCTGTGTTTGAGAAAGATGGGGGTTTTCACCTTTCATTCATTCTATAAACAACAAGAAAAGGTATGTGCAACTAACTTGTGTTCAATGAATGTCTGACAGTGTTGCATTTTCCAAATACAGTCCCAGGAGGCCCAACAGAAGCCCAGGAATTTGATCCGAGCAGCACCTAATCACTGCCATACAAATCTAAACTGCTTAACGGTCATGCCTATAACCATATATTTGATTTGTGTATGCAATACAAAGTGGTGTAGATATTAAAATAAATGGCTAGGGAATGACTGGAGGATTACAGAGCATTATGGGGCATCTAAGGAATGGAGCTGAGAAACCTAGCCTGCTGAAAGGCACTCAGAATGATACAGTAGGACATTCCCGTCCTCTCTAACCTACCATGTCCACTAAAGCCACATAGAGGAACATCCCGGCGGTGACCGCGAAGATCCAGCTGGTGAGGTTGTTGGTGTACTGCCCCACAGCCGTGCCGATCAGCATGCCCACGTACGCCATCAGAGCAGACAGTACATTGTAAACGATGGCCTGTTTCACCGACATCCCTGCCTTTAGCAGGACCGCAAAATCTCCTGGAACAGATGCAAAGGGGGACACTGGATAAGGCAAGCTAGGTCCCACATTGCAAGACACAACATTATCGAATCTGTTAAAACAACTCTTTGTAACACAACTATTTACCATCCTACTAAGTCACATCTTTGTTTATTCAATTTAAAAGATCTTTAGTACACTGCATCTTACACAAAAAAACACAACACCATCTGCATTACTCTTCTCTATAAATTTAGACAAAAACTGTGAACACTCAGCTCTCATTTTCTTTGCTTCTGGGTGTGTTTAAATAATGGAAATGAGCAACATGCTGAGAAGAAACCTTTCCATGTCAGTGAGCTAAATTAACAGAACTATCTATGCCAATTATGTTCCTGATGGTCTACATAAAAGAAAAAAATAAAACTTTTATTTCTCATTTCAGTTATTCAGATTAATGCTGTTAAGTGATTTATCTTTCACTGTGAAAAGCTTAACTTCAACAATGCCTCACATCCCTTAAGAAACTCAAAAGTAATAAATCATTATACATCGCCTTTACCTGCGAATCCTCCGCAGGGAATAGCTACACTGAAGATTATTTACTTTAAAAGCTGAAAATCCTACTTATCTTAGACATTAACACATATTATTTGGTGTAAATGTATAATTTGTACCGCAGTGCTCATAAATAGCACTCAAAGCAAAATTAATGGTGAGGTTTTAATTTTTCTTACAAAAGATTTTTTTCACATATTTCTGAATTAACTTAATTAATAGACAGAAGAAATAAATTGAATGTTGTGATTTTTTGTTATGCAATTATGTTTTTCAGCTTCCCTTTTCAAAAATGATTTATGTTTCTCAGATTTGATCAAATTTCATATAGTACTGTTAGCTGTATAATTGTGCTAATTGTTAGGAGTATGGTACACATAAACGGTAATACATTACTGTAAACAACTAAATTAAACTCAGAACCCTTGAAAATATATCACTTTTTAAAAATGCACAATCAGATGCAAAGCATGCATCTGAGTAAGCAAGAACATTTTCACTTAATTATCACTGAAATGACAGCTATATTACACTCCTCATACACAATTTATCTTTTGTTCACACTCTAAAATGCAAGTTTGATTTATGCTGCAAAAGAGGATATGTAAATAAAAGCAAAGAACTTCACAAAGTGGTGAGAAAGATGAAATGCCCCTGTATAAGCTCTGGTCATTTTACCACCAACTACAACAAAAAAATAAATTTGTCAGTATCCTCCAGGATAAGCTTTATGCTCTAGACGTTGCTGTTTAGTACACTGTGAGAATATAACCATTGTGAAAGTTAGTAACCATTAACCTATACAAGATAAATCAACATTGAGAAAATGCAGAAACCATTTCCTTTTCAATACACAACTCTTAATGCCTGCAATGCAAAAGTAAAAAACTGCATACTCATTTTACAACTTGAATAGGTAGACACAGTTTCCCCATTTTCTTTTAAGTTCACGTCGGTTTAGTAACAGAAAATGTGCTTCCCACTTCCATAAAATGTTTGCTTTTTAGTTCTTGGTTTCCTCTTTCTCCCCCATTGGGATAGATTGCGTATCAGAATTCCTAAATTATGGATATTTGCATATTAAGATCTTCATCCTGCAGTATGAGGAGCCTAGCTCTGCCAAACCTTTAATTTGACTTCTGCTCCTTTATTTCCCGTTCATGGCCTGCTTAGTTAAATGCTGACACTCCTGTATCTTGTCATCCACTTGATGTGAGCCTGGTGTATTCATATAGACTTCAGGATTTAATTCATATTGACATTTCCCTCAGACACTGTATATTGTCTTTTTGTCTCATAATTATGCACATAATTGCAACTCGGTGTGTAGTGGAAAGATTCCTGAATTCCCAGAAGATATGGCATTTTCACTCTCCTATTTTGCATAATCATAATCTCTTTACAGAATATTTCCTTTTTTTCTTCTCCACTTTGGAGAATTCACATTCTAACATATAATTATAACCAGGGTGATCTTGGCCTCTTTCAGGATTTGCAAAACTGCATGAGAGCTGGCTCGTCTTCCATACCTTACTTACATTTTTGTAATTCAGTAGTGTCCCAAAGGGAGTGGGCAAACCTGTCTACACAGGTGCATATTTATCAGGATGCCAATGCTAAAACAATCACAGTACTTCTATCATAGCTGTCTGACTTCATTTTACGGGTCATCTGAAATGGGCTTGGGAAAAGGTTCCACTGATGGTGGTAGTAGGGAGAAATGTTGCTTTGTTTCATTTTAGAAAATTATAGAAACTACTAAAAAGTGGTTCAACAAAAGAAAAAATGTTACTTTTTTAACATAGTGGAAGAATTTTCAATATTTTAAAATGTGTTTCAAAAAGCTTTTTGCTTTAAGAGAGAAAACATTTGACTGCAAAAGCAAGCAAAATTGGAAATGAAAACTAGACACTAAAAGAAATATATAGTATGTATTTAGCTTTCTTGAAGTGCCAGTTGGCAGGCAGTCACAAGCCTATTCATCAATTGATGTATTCTGTACATCACCCAGCCTGACGAGAGATATCATTAGCACTGAGGAATTGTCACTTGCAGCTTGTGCTGCAAAACTGCCTCATTAAACAAACTGGAGGTGAGAGCACCACAGCAAAGAAGAGTTTTCAAAACGACACCTCAGATTACCATGCTGGTACTTTTACTTTTCACTACTCCTGCTAGACAGCTGACAAGCTTTGTTTTCCTGCAAGAGAGCTTTCTACTGCTGCCTTGCTGTGTTTGTGAATCAAAAAAGCCTTACATGTCTTTAGAACAGACAAAGATTAAGAACGGGGCTAGAAAGTCTTTGTTGTGTGCCTGTATGTGTGAGGTTTATGTTCAGATGAAAACAGGACACCTTTAGCTATTCTGCCTATAATAAATACAAGAAGCAAACAAAAAACTATTCAAATAAATTATTTTAACTTGAATATTTGGCTCAGATTCAATAGGTGGATCCACTAAGTAACATTTGTGTCAATTTTCACAGTACTAAACACTGACAGAATCAAGCTGAATCTAGTTCTCATGCACCCCAGTTATCGCATTCATGAAGTCAATGTGATCCAAAAATTAGATAGCAGGTACTGTATATGTACTAAAGCTGGCTTAATGTTGGGGTAATAATATAGGAAGGTTTTGCACATTTGCTTTAGCTACAAATGTATCAATATCTGCAGTGCAAACAGAAACATTTTTAAAATGTTTTTGTTGAACAATATGCAAGATTGTGGATTAAACACTAAATCAAATCCTGCAAACAAGTCTCATGTTTACCAGCATTTATTTTTTTTACAAATACAATACCTTAGAAAACACATTCTTCTTATGGATACACAGTTAGGGATTATGTTATACTTCTCATTTTTAATAGAACTTCAGATACTAGTGAAAACATAAGCAGAAATATAACTAGATTTTGTTCTATCTGACCTCTGCCTGGCAGTTTTGTCTAAAGGTTTATGGTGGTGACCTTCAAAGAGGCAGGTTGGGAATTGCACTATAACTACAGTTCCTGGGTATTGTACTCTGGACAGCTAAAGTCATTAACAGTTTCATGGTCTGTCAGACACAATCATCACTAATGGGACCCCCGGCAGACTTTTCTCTGTACAATAAATTCTGGAGTTTCGTAAGGTGACTGATTCGATCCTAATCCAGCTCTGCAATAGGAAACTCCTTGTCTTGCATCACTGAGCCACCAGGATAACCATGCCCCTCCCCTTATAAAAAGCACATTTTTTGACTGTTGATTGATTTTTTTACAAAATAAATGCAAAAACCACAAAAAAAGATTCAAGATAAAATAGGTTCGGAATCTTAGCTCCTAGGCTTCTGCAGCACAATCATTTTTTCTGCTGCTCATCTTCCCATTAATTTGCCGATTAAAACAACACTGAAATACAGATGTAATCTTCAGTGCTGACAGAGAACCATCTCGAAAACAGCAGTGACAACAGCAATGATGAAAGACCAGATATCATCAACACCGGGGACTAAAGACCCCTAAGCACTTTTCCCCCTATGTTTTCACTCCAAGAGCACACAAGTTCATTTCCAAGTTATCACACTCTATCAAGCAGCACAGCCCAAGAAAATGAAGCAAAATCAAGTGTATGCTTGCCTTTGCATATTTAGAATCAAATAACATCTTATAGGGAGCAACAATGGGGAGTTTCTTTTTGCGGCCTTCCCCTGTGCTTTTATAGTACAAAAAAAAATACTAAAATGACTTTTTAATGTTCATTAAATGATCAGCTCATTAAGACAATTGCCGACACCTCAAACATGGTCTGAATGCAACTCTCTAAATACCGTTTTGAGTTTACCTGGCTTCTGCAGGCTGTGCAGACATCAGCTATCTGTCATTTTGTGAACTACATAGCTCGCAGGTGCCAGCTGCCTTGTGGCAGTTTTGAAATACTCACCGAGCTCATGAGGGAGCTCATGGCAAAAAACAGCAATGGAAGTGCTGATGCCCCCCGTCACTGTGGCACTGAAAGCTGCCCCTGGGAGACAACAGAAACACCATCTCAAACAATTTACTCTGGCACTAACCCCCTCCTTTATTCTGAGAATAAAGCAGTGATGTAGTCTTGAGCTGTTGAATGCAAAAAATGCTGCTTTGAACCAAATATACAGTTGATATGTAAAGTACTTTAATGTGTAATTGTATTAATACTACACATAATACTAGACATCAGTTCTTGCCTGCTAGTTTACTTCTATAAGTAGAGTATTAATAGTTGCAGGATATTGTTTAGAGATCCTGATAGTCCCCAGCACTAGGGCACCCCACCAAGAGCTGTACAGATATGCAGTCTCACCTATGGCCAGGCCATCACTGAAGTTGTGCATGCCATCCCCCATGATGACCATCCAGGCAATGCTGGCTATCCCTGCATCTTTCATCTCTTGATCGGAATGGCAGTGTCCATGGTGTGAGTGACCATGGCCGTGTGAATGCCCATGGGAATGCTTCTTCGTCTTGACCTTCCTGCCGCTGTCTTTGTCAGGGGAGTTTGCCCCTTGATGGTCATGATCATGGTCAGCAGCAGCCAGGGGCTTTTTGCTGGGGGACTCTGGGTCCGGCAGCTCAGTCAGTTGGGTGTCATTGTGCTTGCTGTCACATGACAACGCAGAACTGTCTAGCCCTTTGAGGAGAAACATTAATAAAGTAAAAGAGAACTGCCAATAAAACAGGGCATATGACTCTTCTGAATGTTTAACAGGAAATTAATAAGTTAAACTTCTGTCAGAAACCAGAGGTATGCTCAGATTCTTTAAGTAATCAGGTTTCAGTCTATGCACAGAGGACAAATGTCTAGAATCATTATGAAAGTAATAATAAGTACAACCACTGCAAAAAGAGCTTTGGGACTATAATAAGAGATGACTTACCCTCAGCTGTCAGTGGTTTGAGATGGAGCCACTCCGCATCAGAACGGCGGTTTAGTTTGTGATCAGACAGCTTCCTCCCAATCTTTGATTCATCCCCATTTCTCTTCTTCCTGCACCAGCTTCCCTGATTTGTTTCAGAAGACCACAACATAGTTAGCATTCAGACGAGGATTCAGAATCTTGCTTAACAACATATCTCCTGATAGTTATACCAAAAAAGCAAACAGAAAAAAGAAAAAAATGGAATAATTGCGGTAGAGTATATCAAGCATTGTCAGTACAAAAACGAAGTACAGTACTCAAAGTTGTCTACAAAATATACAGTAATCCTTCAATTTACGGAAACCTAATTTCCAGGATATTAATATTAAAGGAATGAGCTAATATGGGACTGTATTTCATAAACAGCAGTACATTTTTTTAAATGGACATTTGCATATAATGAAATAAATGTTCTGTATATTTTATAAGAAAAAACAAATTAAGTCCATACATGATCTGTTTGTTTTTTTTAACCCTGATGTTTAACAAAACTTTTAAGTCCAGGCATACTTGAACTCCACACAGGTTTATATGTACAGTATATATGCAAGGCCATACTGTATAATTTAAAGAATGGAGACTATATGGGAAAAGTAAGCATTTGTTACATGTAGAGTACAGGATTTTGTTCCATAGGAACATATCAACTTACATACTGTATATGGGAGGTAATGGAAAAATTGGTATTGATTTACAGAATTTTGAGGTAACAAAAGATTTTTAATGGAGCATACCATCTCCAACCTTGGTCAACCTTTGAAAAAATTTCAAAAATCAAACATCTCAGTTCACGGCCTTTCACAAAGCAGCAGGGTGAATTTCACAGAGCTCTGGTATTTCTGCTTTCATTACCCCTTGGTCTCTGTTGTGCTTGAACATGCCGATGCAGTGTTCTATGATGAAGAGCAGGTAGATGCCCCCCAGGGCTGTCAGGCCCTTCCACACACCATCATACTCCACGAGCAGGTCTGTCTCTTCTTGGCTTTCATCATGGCTGTGATCATGTCCACCCTGGGACTGACATGGACAAGCACAACAAGGGAGCTCTAGACATGTATTGATTTGAAATCACACTAAAAAGAAACAATAAAAAGATACATGATTCCTTAAAAAGGCAAAATATCACACCCTGGAATACGGCCTCAACTTTTTAAATTAATGTTTTGACTTGTTTGTTTCTACAGCCATATTTGCTGTTTCACACAAAACTGAAAAGGAATACAGGATAAACGTGATTGGAAGAAACAAAATTAAGATTCTTGAGTAGGTTGATGCTAAATTCTGTGTTTTCATATGCACCAGTGAATTAACACAGTGCATGTGTGAAGTACACAGTTTGTTTTTATTCAGAAAGCCACACACCATGCAGATGATACCAAGGGGACTAACAGTTAAATGATTTAAGAAACCATATGCTTTGTCAGTTGTGGAAGATTTATACAGCAGAACAAATTTCAGAATCTTACATTTCAGATTCTGACTTGAGTATTCTGGAAGCAAATTCCAATTTCTCAACACAATCATGTGATCCTCAGTGTCTTTACCCTGCCATTAAGGATAATTGAGAAAGTAATATAATGGATGGTCTTGACATAGCACTGGGCAGACCAAAAATGCTGTAGCAGTCATTATTTTTTCTTCTGACACACACAGCCCTGTACCACTTCGTCTGAAAGTTTCAATCACTTTCCCCTTCCTCCACCTCCACTTTGGTATCCACCCCCACAATAGTAATAATAAGTGCAATAGATTATCTGATAATGTAAGAGGAACATACAGTATATGACATGGTAACCTGCTGTGCACAAGCAGACTTGGGGCACTCACATGAGGCAGTAGGTGTAGCAGGGCATCCCCACTCAGTGTACCCACTGCTAGGGCCACCAGGAATGTGAGAAGGAACTTGAAGCAGGACTGGTTGATAATGGGTACCAGAATTACTCCCAGCAGAGACAGCAGGCTAATAACGGTGATAGACAGGAGACCCCAGAGCCAGGCTGTAAGATAAAAACACGATTCAATTGGGACTTTTCTTCTAGTATTCCACTGCTTTTATCAGCTTGAAACAAACACATGCAAACCAATTGTGAGATACAACCAACAGTTCTTTAAAATGTACATTTTGTGCAAAGGCACAGCTTACAACATATGGAAAGGATAAAAAATGACTGACGCCTCTACAACATCAAACAATAATCAAGGCTTTTTCAAATATTTTTTTTAGAAAAGTCTGAAGTGGCCAGAAAACATTTGCTACTTCATTAATTCACTGTTCCCGTAGATCAGCATTTACTTTGTGTTAGCACGCTTTTCATCTCAAGCCAGATGAAGAATGCACAACTGTCTCATTTACATTTGAAAGACACTCATTTTTATTTCCAAATGAGAACAGAAGAATGGCCAGGAAAGTTACTTTTCTACCAAAAAAAAAAACAGGGATTTTAAATAAAAGTAGACATTCAACAACACAATGATCTAAGCATCATGTTTGGGTGTGTGTCACTTTACAAAATTATGGACCAAATACTTTTTCATAGACCTAGAGTTTGAGTGCCATGAAAAATAAAAAAATGTAAGACTTGTCATTTGTCATTCAAACTTAAATGCAGTGCTAAAAAGCCATTACGGAAGAGCTCTGAAATACCTGAAAAATGAACTAAGATATCATTAAGGGCAAAAACTGAGCAATAATGTTTAACTTCTTTATATTACTGCCAGTTCTGCATACTTTTTTTTCCACAAACAAGACTTCTTATAATTCAATCTTATTTGTTCTTATGTCCTTTGGCAGCATGAATTGTTTAGCACATTAGTAAATATAACAATGTTGCAAAAGCAGTAAAACAATCAGACCACTCACTCTGTCCAGAGTGCAAGAATCTGTTTACCACAGGAAACATGCATGTAATAACTCAACGCTTGTGTTTTCACGGGACATTTCTGTTTCTTTGGTACCAGGCTGCAGATGGCTCTTACTCCCTGCTTGGCTGTGGACGTTCGAAGGAGATGCAGTGTTTTGTGCCGCTATGCAGGTGGGAGTGCAGCCTGATTTACCAGTCATTTCTGTGTCCAGAATCATTGTTCTGCAAATAAGGCCTGGCTAAAACATTTAGAATCAAGGAGAATTCAAGGACTGGACAGAGGCTGTCCAACAGGTCAGTAAGACACGGGTTCTTCATACCCATGTGACTAATCATTTGCCAGATCACTCCATCTCCCAGGGAAAAACTACGCAAAGTAAAAGCCATCAGCATAGAGAATCAATGTGTTTCTTTCTCTTTTACAAAGGTAGCATTGTATGATCCTCATATGTTCCAACTTCCATCCCTTCACTTCTTTGGCTTAGACTCTGCTTTTGGCTCTTTCATAATCAAGTACTAAAACTGATATTTCAGTTGAATTACAGGACAAGCCCTACACTTCTAGTAATTACAAATTTCAGTGATGAACATATTATACAAACTAGGCTCAAATACTCCAGAAAGTCTCAGGCAGAGTAGTAGAGGTTTTGGAGACTGCTTTCAAAGACCTGTCACTCTCACTGTGCTGTTTACTAACTGTATGTCTGTTCCCTGATTGTTCTCAGTAGCTCTATAAAGCAGCAAACATACTTGTCAATATTTCAGTCATGGCTTCCACTACCACCTCATAAAGTTGGCTTGCAACAGGCAAACCTCAAAATTCAATGTATTAATTCCAACCAAGGCCACAAAGACACTGTATAAAACACTGTATTTCTCAAAGGGCTGTGGTTTCAGCTGCATAATTGTGGGGCATGCATTCTGCTCCAACATTCAAAATGTGGAAAATGTTTTTATTTTTCTGATTTACAGGGGGTGCAGTAAAAATAAATGCTGCAAAATTATTTAAACAGTTTTAATTGCAGTATCTTGCATTCTTTTCAACATTATATCCTTATAATCTAATATATCACAACACATAGTGTGGCACCAACAAAATATATCACAAAGAAATAAAACTACTAGATCAAGGTGTGAAGATCAGTTTTATATGTCCCAGGAAAATGTTCTCAGTGTGATCTAAAAATACTACAGGCAGTGTGATAAGGTATTAATACAACATCATAAGTCTGTAATTGAATTCTAAAAATCCGTAATTGTAAATTCAAGTTTTCAAGTTTTTTAATGACAGAAGCCAGTCACGCGGCATCTGAGCAAAACATTGACACTAGAATATACAGCAAGAATATATTCCTACACTGTAAGAAAAACCCACTTTCTTATTTATCTCATGAGTCATGTTTGTTATTTTCAGAATATTATTTAATATTCTTTGACTGCAGATGCATTTCTTTTTTAGTCCAGCATGACCTTAGTACTTAGGGACACAATTAAAACGAAATAGCCTTGAGCAGGTGGTGAGGTTTTTTTCATACAGTACTTCACAAAGCACAAAGACAAACTTATTGCTAGCCTGATTCATTTACTGTACAATGCTAAACCACAGAAATGTTAACTTCTAATTCCACGTACAGCACACTGTTTACTGTCAAAAACCACGCAAATAGTGCAATAAAAAAGATGCAACTCAACTTTGTTAAAAGGTATACAGTAATCCAAGATAAATATGAATTGTTCTTTTTTAAGTAGTTTTATTTTTCTTTAAATTTTCTCTTCAGGTGGTGTGTTGATGTCAAAAACATTTGCATCCAGAAAAGCTGAGAAGTTTTTGTGATCACTTTTATTTTACATCTTGTTGTGAACAAGTCATTCTAATTCGTTCACATATATGTGTGGGCACCCAGAACGATGGTGATTTAAAATTCGTTAAGAATGTGATGTTGACCTAATTAAATTGCATTTTCTTCATTGTATAGTCTCATACAGTATCTTTAGTATGCACTTTGTTTTAATGCAACCTCTCTTCTTCAGAGGAGACATCTTTCAGTTTTATTATAATTGATTTTTATACTGTAACCTCATCAAGCATGGCTGCAGAGCAATGTTTATGTTTAAGTGATAACACAAGTAACTACTATTTATTAATGACAGATTCAGCCACTTCATTAGCCTCAGTTTGAAGCAGTGAGACACCAATAGAAAACTGCTCTAATGGTCTCCTTTGACATAGCTTTATGAGATTACGGATGGTTTCAAAGAAGTGAAGCTGTCTTTGTACTCACTGATGGCTTTCCTTCTTTTGAGTAAATGCATGGACATTTTCTACTCCGTTGGTGATCTCTTTATTAAAAAATCAGGCATTTATCCTCTATTTCCTAGACATGTTCTTATTAATCCCTGCTTTTTTAAAGGGTGAGTTGGCAATCTACTGTATATTAGCATGAAAATGTAGTGGGGAAGGTAATTCTCCAAACACAACAATATGCAAAACCTTCTACATTATTCACTGTAGCTGCTGTACAGGCAGTGTACCTGTTTCACCTGGAGTGGCTACACACCCAACTACTTGAAACATTTTACAATGTGCTTGAAGCTACTACATTACAATAGGTACAGAATAGTGTAGTTTGTATGCATTTCTTGTTTACCCGAATTCCTGGTAAAGCTGGATTTCTCAAGATGGGTAAGGGAGATCACATATAGATTGTCTTAAATAAGACCTATATCTGACAATCTTTCAGTTTCTCTGATCTGACTTATGATCTTCTTGGGCCAATGTTTTGACACCCAGGAATGTTAGTTTCTGTTATCTGTTTGGGTTTCAGTTCTTCACTGGTTAGTCATGAACGTGTACCACATTGCTGAATTTAACCTTGTACCTCCTGCACAACCTCAAAAATCTCCCTGAATTCTGTGATTAAACAGAATTCAATAATTTTGTATACATCAAAACAACATGAAAGGGTTCCATCTGTTCCCTATGCACATAAATTTGCACACAAAATGTACGACTGGCATTGAAGTAGGCAACAATCTGGCATTGTGTTTCAATTAGCTGCAAGTAGGCTGAGTCTTGTGAAAGTTTTTCCAAGACATTACTGTCTTCTCCACGGCCAGAGGTACAATTTGTATACAGATCAAAGTGATGACCTGGCAACTCACGGAGACAGCTGACCTACTTTCTACTCAAAATGCTCACAAGACTTCAAACCAAAAAATGTGCTGCTCCTTGAAGAATTACCATTCTTAGCTTGAGAGATGCAAGCTTCTACAATTAAAAACAGATTTTATACCTAATCACAAATATGTCATTTGCCACCAAAACCCATTATTGCAGACTGTAAAATACAAAGCTAATTTCAAGTTTCACCAACTATCTATAATTGTTTCTAAGCAGCATGTTTTTTCTGCTTCACTTACTATTAGAAATGACAGGATCATGCAGCTCTATTTTTGTCATCCTTAATCAGTATACTTTGAAGTCCCTAGGCAAACATGTAAGATCATGCATACGCATATTTTAAGATCACTTTTATATAAAGTCTTCAGGCTTGACAAAGGTATCATACAGCTTGTAGAATAACTTAAGGATCTCAGAGCTGTTAATTTTTTACTCACTGAAAATTGCTTCATGATTAAGCACCTGACAATAAGATCCATCATATGATGCATTTGGGAAAGTGCTGCTTTCTCAATATACACTCCTGTAAGTAAGCAGACCTTCTCAAAAGGTTTATCAGATAGGTTAAACTTTTCCCCATGGCACTTAAATTCTAGACAAGTGCACTGCATTTAATGAAATTGGATCCTTGAGACACTCTTCAAATGAAAATGAAAATCAGGTCACATAAACTGTTGAGGTCCTTCATGCTCAACTTATTCATCTAGTCCCTATCTCATTATCTTAGTAAAAAGAAAATCCATTTAAAAAAAAAATAAAAAGCTGGAAAGAAGCAGTCATCTGTGCAAGCTTTCTAATTATGCGTTTTCAAAGCCAGGGCGAGAAGATGGCATTCTACGCTGTTTGAACATTTTAATTGGCAGAAAAACGCTTAGCAGCCATTTTACTAATCCCCTGGTATTTAAGGCAGGATGCAAATTAAGAGTGAATGAGCCTGGCCTAAAATCCCCAGTATTTCCATAGCACACTTAAAAGCCAATAGCCCCACTATTTCTCAGAGGCAATGTTAAAAGTAGGGAAGCTAATGAGGTATTATCTGTTTCACTCTGCAAGACTCATACAGGACCAGCCAACACTTCTTAATGATGCTACAATTATCTGAATTATCAGCAGTGTTCTTACCCACTATGAATAATTTCTGTGTACGGCAGAGAAAGATTGTTCCATCAAGTGATACTGCTTACAGCTGTCTTCCAAGGTTAATGAAAAAAATAGTCCTAAATGGCAATGTCAACTGAGAGATAAGAATTACTATAGGTGAACAAGGATAATGTCAAATGTCTTGTTGTTTAGACTCCTAGCATGACTGTCCAAACATTTTTTCTACAGGTATAATTTTTATTTAACGGACGGCCAGGTTGATACAACATACTGCATTGCTGCAAAAACAACAAGGGTGTGGTTTCTGACCTCTTCCATTTACGAAAATGTGTGGTTCAAAATGAAAAAAAATTGCATTAAACTCAAAGCAGAAATGTCAGATCCTTCCAATGATTGTTTTCCTACATCAAAAAAGCTAATAAAAGCAAATTTTCCCTCCATAATTTAACTTTTCATATCAATTTTTACTAAAACAATATATCTGTCTTACCTGCCAAGAAACACTTCTACATAAGAGGGAAAGGGGTTACATGTCTAAAGAATGGAAAACAGATGAGCCACTGGTTGGTTGTAAATAAGATTCATTTTTAATTTCATTTGAGTGTTATGAGTAAAATGTATTTCAGTGTATTAAAATATACCATATAACAGTAAGGTTCCTAGAGGATATACATTTATGAATGATAATTTACATACCAATGAATAATTCTGCTTTGGCCTGTAATTAGATACATCTTTTAGTCTAATCCATAGCAACCAAACAATTTATTGTCTTATTTGCATAATATTTTTCAGCGAAATTACAGATTTTGTACAATCTAATGGTCTGTTTTACATAATGTGGCGTCTCTTTATCATATAAATTCCCACCATGGTAGTATTGAAAATAAAACAACATTTCATATTTTCAGCCTTCTGTGAATCTGCTTCATTATTTAACACATTAAAAAAACAAAAGTCGGGATCAATCCCTGTTACAACAAAGAAATCACAGCTCACAATACACATGGAATAACCTTCACATTTGGTACATTTTTTCTTATAGTTCTTAGTTCAAAACAGTCATGCAACTGACAGCTGAATGTACAAAAACATCTGTTGGTATGTAAAACACATTCCGAACAGAGGAACCTGTGCTATAAACGTATATGTGAATAGACTTTTCTATTTTCTACTTAATAATCACCCTGACTTTATAAATCAAGTCTTTGAAAAAAAGTGGGCAACAGAAACTCTGGATTTTTTAGGACAGTACAGCACAATTTCTTTCAATGAAACACAAATAAGTCCTCTGGATTCTGAATTCCATCCCTTTAAGTCTGTTCCACACCTCACCTGACTCTCAAAGAAACTCTAAATGTAAATCAATGCCAACAAACACTAACCACCTCAAGATATAAAGCATCCAATCATCTATGAAAGTCCTAGGTTTGAATTTATCTTGCCAGGTTTATTCTGGCAATGGTTTAACTAAATGAGCAAGTATGCTGTATGTATTAATGTCATTCCGAGTAAAAACTTATAGTGGAAAAGGAAAGGAACTCTTTTGGGTGGGAAGATTTCCAAAAACGTACAAACTATCAAGGAATAATAAAATCTATCAAATCATTTACAGATTTTAGCCTCCCCCATTTTCCAGCTTTCGTTGAAGAATTAAGACCTGCTTGTTCTACAGTCTTCATAATTTCTATTTACAGGAATTCACAAGCTTTTACTTAAGAAAACGTGAAAGAGAATGCGCAATTTTCTACTCTACAGTGATGGCTTGGTACTGTTAGTGTTATAAGCCTACAAATAAGCCACAGATTCTCTTTTTCTCAACTTATATTTTTCACATTGTTAATTAGTACATTCTTAATTGTATAGTGCTATGGCAGCAGAATAGTCTGCTAATTATCAACCTCTATTTTACAAAATATAGAAACACAAAAATGTACGGTAACCGACTTAGGGAAGAATTACTCCAGTCAAGGTTTTTAATGGACTTCATGGCTTCATAACCAAGCTGACATTTATTAAAGCTGTTTGGAAAAAAATAACTAATCAATGGTTCACTTAAACATCCAAACCCTGTGAAGATATATGATTGGCGAAACACACTTTGCTAATCATTAAAAGTTTTGTAAAATGCATGAACACAAGGATAATTTATTATGAGATTTTCATAGTGCTTCACATCAGGTTAGACGCATGTTCCCCCCAACAACAGTCGTGTGGCACCATCACATTTTTATTTTCCTACTGAGAAATTCAGGAGTAAACAAAAGTTTGGAAAAACAAACCCAGTTGAATCTAATAAGTCTGTATTATGGTTGAATAATTATTTTATCCTTGTAAGTTTGGGGGGGAAAAGAAACTAATGACAAAATGCTTGAGCTAAAACACCGTGGGATCTACAGATACTGTATAAGTAGTGACCTGAACTACTTAGTCCGTCTCAAAGGCATAGACAAATGTGAATCAGGCTGTGACTGGGCAGATTGCATTAAAACAGTTTACAGCACATGTCCAACAGAATTCCAGAAATTTACCATCATGCACCAGAATTTACCACAGGAATAATTCTGTTTGTCTGATAAAACACTTACACAGAGGGTGGAAGGGCGAGAGAAATCCTCCCTGAAGCTAACAAGATCAAGGCAGATAACTATTCACGCAAAATTATAGACCACCCAGCTTACACCACAAGCTTAACTAGATTTACTGTTCTGTAAATGAAAATAAACTTCCGCACTACTTAAGACATTCCACTTCAAAACTGGAAAAGTCTCCTGTCTGCTCTGAAAGGCACAGCTTCCTCCTTGCCATGTTTTTTTTTTTTAATCCAAGCTAGAAGTCACAGGTTCATCATATCCCTGTATGCCAATATAAGAGCTGTCCATCTCCCGTCTGTTGTTTTCACTTTACAAACACATCACACCTGGAACATACCAAGTCACAGCAGCCCACAAGTGTAATAAAAAATATACAGCACCGACTAAGAACCAGTCAAACCAGTCAAACTCATCTTCTTATGAACAACACAAGAAAGGTTACAAATAATAATAATAATAATAATAATAATAATTGCTTACACTTATATAGCGCTTTTCTGGACACTCCACTCAAAGCACTTTACAGGTAATGGGGACTCCCCTCCACCACCACCAATGTGCAGCATCCACCTGGATGATGAGACGGCAGCCATAGTGCGCCAGAACGCTCCCCACACATCAGCTATCAGTGGGGAGGAGAGCAGAGTAATGAAGCCAATTCTTCATTATTAGGAGATTATTAGGGGATTATTAGGAGGCCATGATTAGTAAGGGCCAATGGGAAATTTGGCCAGGACACTGGGGTTACACCCCTACTCTTTTCGAGAAACACCCTGGGATTTTTAATAACCACAGAGAGTCAGGACCTCGGTTTTACATCTCATCCGAAGGACGGCGCGTGGTTACAGTACAGTTACAGTGTCCCCATCACTATACTGGGGCATTAGGACCCACATGGACCGCAGGGTGAGCGCCCCCTGCTGGCCCCACTAACACCTCTTTCAGCAGCAACCTTAGTTTTTCCAGGAGGTCACCCATCCAGGTACTGACCAGGCTCACACCTGCTTAGCTTCAGTGGGTTGCCAGTTGTGAGTTGCAGGGTGATATGGCTGCTGACAAATGAAAGTAAGGTAATCCAGCAAGTCATTTCTTGATTTTACACAGTAAATTCTAGACACCCACCACTGATTCTGCAAAAAAGTGGCTCAATTGTCAATCCTAAGTGAACACTATCTTGGTTTCCACTTGTGTTCTAGGATTCAAGACACTACTTTAGAATGGCATCTGCCTCCTTGCTTAAAGGATATTGTTACTGGCATGTCATAAATCAATTTTGATTTTCAGGGATTAAGGACATCTTTTTGCTCTTAAGATGTTCCACCTACCTGACAGGGTAGATTCTGCCTTTTGGGGCTCAATGTCCAGCTGGTGGTAGTGGTGGATGCAGACCCGGCTGTCTATCTGGTAGAGCAGAGCTGGGCAGAGGTAGGTAAACTGTGCTGGAGATATGGGCATTTCAGGGCTCAATCCATAGTAGTGCAGCAACTGGGTGACATTCAGACACTAAGAAGAGTAAAGAGATGATACAACAAGCCAAAAAGAGAGAAAATCCTCAAGGTTACCACATTGATAACCTGAAACATTCAGATTTCTAGATGAGTGGAGTACTGCTATTTTAGACTTAATAACTTGATCAAGCACTGTCTGATTTTCCAGAAGCTGTTGTATATGGCATTTTAGAATTGAAGCTCCAGCTCAAGTAAAACTTTTAAGAGGTTTCACATTTTAGAAGCTACAAAACCAGAAACAATTTCCTTCAACCAACTAAATCTGAAGTCAGGTTTTCCATGAGCAATGCTCTTTATTACAATACAAAGAGCCCATATTACAGACAAATGAAAAGATCTGTAAAGATCTGCTGAGGATTTCAGGGATTTCACTCAAAACTCTATTGAAAGTATATTTGTGTGTACAAATATATATTCTGTAATATTCTGCAAGGAAAGAAGACATTTTAGTTGAATGTTTTGCACAGCAGTTTTCTTTAAGAGATTCAATAGCTGAAACATTTTTTTCATGGCTGTTCATGGAAAGCCCTGGAGGGCACATTTATTATTGACTGTTGCTTGTTTACAGTCCTGTAGTGAAAGCTCCCATCATTTGTCCAAGTAATAAAGGTAAAAAAATACCTTAAGAAAATAACTTTACTTTTTTTCCCCATTTGCAAGCAAAACAAAAAAAACTACATAAAAAGCTGCTGTAAGGCTTTATTTCACTAAACTCTCATAAACAATCAAGAACTATTTTCAATTAAATTATGGCACTACACTGAAATTTGTACTTCTTGGGTTTCCAGAGTAGCCCAAATGGTACAGGCACTCACCCCAGTGCAGGCTGAGCTCTATGAGCATGTGTTCGAGCCCGAGTCATGTCACTAGCTGACTGTGACTGAATTTTCCCAAGTGGCAACGCACTGACTGAACATGGCTGAGGATAGGGTGGAACAGTCGGCAGGGAATCTCTTTGCTTTTGGTTACACAGCAACCCCTGTAAGCTCATGAGTTTGCAGGTTTGCGCTGATATCATCAAACGACATGCCTCTTTTCCAATGGGCGCTGCGCCTCTGATACAGACCAAATTGCTAAGAATATAAATGACTCAATGTTTGATGGGCCAGAGGAGTTTGCTTACACGTTCTTATTCTCAGCTGTGTTCAATACTGTACAGCATTTGTAGCTGTGAGCCTAAATGTGGAAAATGCTGTTCCCAATGGGGGTGAGAGGTATGAACACAAATAACTTGCGATGCTAAAGTCTGAACATAAAAATGTTCACAACTTTGACTTCATTAATATATACAAGTAATGCATATGTTTTGATAGCAATTAAAGAAACTAGTTTAGCATTTGCAGTTCTACCTCGAATGGGACCAGATGCCATACATGGAAGTGATACACAGAGTGGTATTTTATGATAACAGTTTCACCTCTAAGGCACGGCTGCATATAATAATGCTAAATACTATAACAAGGAGTAGTGTGCAAGTCTTTTAAAACACACAAATTGCTTCTGATTTGCTCATTGTTTAATCAGACCAGAAAAGAAAGCAACTGGAATGGCTTAAACGTCACTCCTCACTCCTTCAGTCTTCCACCCACCTCCTCAAACTGTTGTTCACTGTCCCCTTGATGGCTGTCCGAAACTGAATGCTTCTTGTCTCTATGACCATCGGGCGCTTCTCTCTTTCTCACAGATGTGTGCTCGTCCCCAGAGCTGTGACTTTGTTCAAGGTTGTGTCCAGACTCATTGCTGTCTCTGTGAGTGTGGAAGTGGTCCCGCTGCTCCTCAGTGTGAGAAAAAGGCTCTCGACTCTCATTGCCATGCTCCCCAACCTCAGAATGGGGAGGAGGAGAAGGAGGGAGGGAGGTGACGGCAGTGTCTTTATTCCTTACACCTTTTTTGTTTTTCCGGGGCTTCTTGGCCTTGGAGTCTATAGACTGCGTTTGCTGCTGCTGGTCTGCAGTGGTGTTGTGTGGCTCTATAGGATGAGAAGAACTGCTATTGTGCTGATGGTGACGGTGAAGCTGATGACTGTGATGGTGATGGGAATGCCCAAGATGTCGATGAGGCTCAGATTCATTATGGCTGTAATCTTGGCCCTCAAGGGAATGCCTGTCCATAGGAGGCTTGAGAGTTGAGCTTAAGGATGCTTCTGATGCCCTTTGGTTGGACTGGTTGCACTGGGTATTGTGCAGATCCCTCACAGTGGTGGTGTTCTTTTCGTCTTCTGCATGTATGTGGGGATGAGGGTGTGGATGGGTATTTGTGTGTGGGTGAGTGTGAGAGTGTGAGTGAGAGTGGGAATGCAGGCCTTGCTGAACCTCCAGCGCATCCAGATGAGCCACATGATCGTGTCCCAAGTCTTCATGGTCCAACTCTACAACCCGTATCTCTCCCAGCCCCAGGCTGAACAGGAGGCTCTGAAAGCTCCCAAAGTCTAGCCGGTCCTGTTTGCCGTAGCGCCGGAAGAGCTGCTGTATGTAGAATCTCTGCTCAGTCTCAGCCTCATGCCCTTCATCAGGGCTATGTTCAGAGGGAGGGTTTCCAGCACCCCTGCCCTGCATGTAGGGTGCCTGGGAGATCTGGAAGTCATTGTGGTCGTGCACGTGGTTCTCCTCTGCATGGTGGTGGTGGTGGTGCCCATCACCATGGCAGTGGTTGCACTGATGGAACAGGAACGTGACCACACACAAGAAACAGAATTTAGTGTGCATGTGTACCTTCATCTCTTCCTCTTGTCTAGGCACCTGCAAACAACAAGAGTTCAATTATATGTACAATATATACTGTATATATACACCACTCATATTGTACTTGCTTTGTTTTCTATTGCTGCAACTTTTCTATTGCTGTGCACGTAATTACATTTAGACTGAACATATGAAGCGCGCTGCTGCACAGAATAAGACCCTTTTCTGTTATTAAACAAACATACCAATATAAATCCAAGCCAAAGATGTTCTTATTTCTTAAACGCCTGAGGGGAGGATTCAACAGACTCATAAAAATTCACAGATGGTGGCCTAAAAAGTGAAGTTGAACATTATTACACTAGATAACTCACTAGAATAAATTAGCAAATGTCAGGAAAGTATTCAAGCGGTGAATCTGCCAAACAACCTACAGTACGTATGTGCTATGGATACAGTCCCAAAGCTATAGGTTAGTAAGATATAAAATCCCTGCTTGATTGTTAAAACCTCACTAATAAAACACAATTGTCAACTTCTTTCGAATGTAAACATGGAGAGCAACGTTTACATGTAATATAAAAATGAAAAGCACATAATTTTAGATTAGCACAATACATCATGCTACTATAAAAACATTGATTCATATAAAATGCAAAATTATAAATATGTTTCTTCACATTGGATCAATAATCTCTTAATCAGGACCAGACCAACATCGTTTATACAATATTAATCTAGAAATGTAATAAGACTAAAATAAATCCATAATGCGACTATGATAATTTTTGTAATAAAAAAAGCAAAAAAGAAACAACATTTTCAAGTTTAAATGTGTTTTAAACTAGGACATAAGAAAGTTTGCAAACAAGAGAAAACCATTTGGCCTATCTAGCTTGTTTAGTTTTTAGCAGTTTAGTTTTAGCTAAATTGTCACAGTGAATTTAACAATCTGCCTACTTTGGTCTATTAATAATAAAACCCAAGATCAAAGACAGTTTAACTAAATCCTGAATATTGTATCTTCTAGGTACAGGCAAAATATTCTAATATATCTGAGGAAAATAAACTTGTTATTTATGTCACAGTGGGCATTGATGGAAAAAAAAACTCACAGGGAATGATTTGTCTTCTCTTATCTCTTTTGTGCACAGACCAGCAAACAAGAAAAAAATAATGGTCCATGGGATGTTAAAAATCTTCTGTGTTGATTAGAGGATCAGTGTGAGGCTCAAATCCCGTGTAGTCATTTTCAAAGTCAGACAATACAGAAACAGTGTCAGCTAGCCTTTGTAAGAACTTCTCTCATGAATTCCAATTGTATATATCCAAAAAAAATAAAAGCAAAGAGGAAGACAAAGAACCACTGTTTTCAGACATAAAACTGTACATTCGTATGTTGTATTTACAGGAGAAGACATATAGTCACTTTTTGTTACTGCACAAATATTTCTTTCAAATAAAGGCACCACATTATTTCTAAATGGGATTTCAAGCATGAATAGAAACATGTTTTCGGCAAAATTGGCATTTTAGATCTACACGGACAAATAAAGTTGAGCCGGTAACCCACCTTTGAAGCTCTGACTGACCACTTAGAACCTCACAGTGATTCACTGGGACTTCACTCTAGGCTGATAAACAAGTAAAGCATACACATACAGTACCTCTCAAACTTATTTTTTTTTCTCCAAGACTGGAACTTCACATTTTAAGGAACACATAATTTTTACATAAGTATTTTAAACCCACAGAATTCCTGCATATTTTAACATAAAAAAACTATTTTGTCCCCGTTTTTTCCTGCTTCAGTAAATCATGCAAAGTACTTACGACAATTATCTTTCCTTTGCTCCATAAAATTAAATTACTTGAATCTGACACTGTAGTTTGCCCTCCACAGTTTCAAACATTAACACACATTACAGCCCCAATTTCCTACTCCTTATAGCACAGTGTTTATAAACTCTGACCGATTCTGAACTATGACCCCTATCAGAGATATAAAAGAGTAAGACAGGGACCTATTTTTCCCTCTTTTTTCCCTCAATATGCTCTTTGTTTCAGCTTTAGTCTTTTCCTTCTAAAAGAGACAGTTGTTCAACTAAAAAAAAACAAAAAACCTCCAGCCTTAAAAGCCAAGCACTCATTTTTATTTTATATAATTATCATGTGACAATTAGTGAAACAAAGAAAGGCTTTAAGATAGAAGTAGAACTACATTTACATCTGTGAACTTTTGTATAAGAAAAGTAAAAAAAATTATCACATCTTTAAAACTGACCATTTTCACCTGCCATTTAATATTTGATGTACAGCATGTATTCAGTGGAAGGAATGCAAATCAACAGCATTTCATCGAACAGGTAGCACTACTTCTTATAGTATTACATAAATAAATAATAAATAATTGCTTACACTTATATTGCTCTTTTCTGGACACTCCACTTAAAGCACTTTACAGGTAATGGGGACTCCCCTCCACCACCACCAATGTGTAGCCCTCTCCTGGATGATGTGAAGGTGGCCAAAATGCACCAGTATGTTCACCACATATACTGTAATACATGCAGTATTATGTACATCAATGTATTATGGTCAATACTAGATTGTACAGCTGGGGTTGTGAACCTGTCACAGTTGTTAAAAAGTGACCTGTTACACAGCTAAAGATAAAATTAGGAGCTTTAAGCAATGCGTGATTCATCCTACTGTAAACATGCTTAACTGGGTACAAGTAATGCACATGTATGAAATATAATAAGTGTTCTACACCTGTTTATTTCTGTCTACGGGACAGTTGTCTGCAATTTTGAGGTTTTCAGAGGAGGAGACATAAATTATTAACCAGCTTCTAGAGAATGCAGTGTTTTTTACTTTTTAACTATTTTTAATCTGAAACACTACAGTTGAAATCATGTTGTGTCATATTTAAGGCTGTCTTTTCTCATGTACTATATTGATACAATGATGTACTGACATACTGATACAATCCTAAAATCTATTTTATTGTGTGGGTATACATTTTCCAAAGCTTGTTCTACACACTCAAACTCAGATCTAACCCCACTTGTCTTTAAAAAAACTGTAATTTATATTTTGTAAACAACAGCAAGGCACAACTAAAACACGGATCAACAGACAGGTAACATTTGTTTTTGCTTTGTTTAATGCTAGTTTGAAAAATGGTTAATTGAAATCCTAAGGAATGGGATCACTTACCACTGTCAGAACTACAGCACACTGCAATGTAAACAAACAGTTAACTAATTTATTACCCATAGTTCCACTTCAACAACAAACAATAATACATACTAAACAAATAAAACTGTACTACAGCACCAGTTTAGTCAGGGCACAACAGATCAGGAAGACAAAGTTCACAATATGTGATACTATGAGAACTGAGGTCTGTGAATGTCAATGACTTTGACAACTGCAATGTTTCTTAAGAGAAAGAGTTGTATAATTACCACTTGTCTTCAGAGTGATTTTTTATGCATGCATAATTTGTTCCTGTCACACTAAACTGTTTAAAGTGCCCCAAGGATCATATGCATTGATCAAAATTAAAACTTCAAAAATTACCTTTCATCAATTCGGAATCATAAAAAGACATTTTGACTTCTACAAATTGCATTTTAAAGACTGACTTGAAATGAATTCCTCCTTTTCATTAAAAAAATATGAAATTTACAGTAACAATGTGTGCATATAAATAATCTGGAACCAATTAAAATGAATTTGTTTAAGGTAATAATGGTTTTATTGACCAGCAGTTTACTGCTTATCCTTTAATTGTATTAAGAAGCAGCTAAGCTTTATTAGGTGTAATTTGGCCTGTATTTGTTTGAGAAAATTCTAACTCCATCTAATTATTGCAAGCTCCTCACAAGTCTAGAAGCCAAATCAAGAGGCTGTGTGCTCTGATTATACTGAAAGTAGATGTTTAGCTAGGCTATTTGTATCAAAGCCAAAGAGGTGGGAGATTTAAAAAATGTTTAAATAACAGTAAACAAGATTGTATTCCCTCATCAAGGCCTATATATCTTACAGGTCTGCCAGGCAATTAAAGAGACACCCAGAAGCTCCTACAATTGCTCTGAATCAAAGGGAAATATGAGCATATTAAAGATTTATCCATACAGATTCCAGTAGGGAAAAAAAATACTGAAAGAATTTCTCATATCTTCCGTTTCCTTTTATTGTTTTGAAACATTCCAGCAGTTGTTCAATGCCACCTGCAAAGAACTAAACATGTTCTGGAGAAAGAGGGGGTAACCTTTTAAACTGCTGAGTTTGTATAACCAAAATATCATGTGATAAGTCACAATGCCCTGCAGAAGACTGCTGTCCTGACCTTACCCAGTGAGTTAGAAAAGCACAGATCTTGCTGTGTTCAAAATAGTGCAATGACAGCGCTGACAGTGCAATCGTCCTGGATGTCAGTGGGCAGGTACCAGGGGTCACTGTTGTACCAAAGGCCCTGCAAACTGTGACTAGTTAATGCCTATACCACCCAGTTGGCACTAACCAAACTGTGGCAAACTAATGGCAAATTATATAAATCTGTCTAGACATAGGGGCTCAGCTGCCCATCTCACAAACGCCTTTCCTGTTTTCAGCTGTTTTCACCTCATCATCTCTTTTATGTTGATTTGATTTTTTTAACAAGCAAAAGAAAAGTGTTATTTTAGACTACAGTTAAGCTCAAGAAAAAAAAAGCAATCAGGAATCATTATATACTGTACTGAAATGTCTAATGATGGGTAGAAATTGTGATATAAAGTACATACTTAAGTCTCCTGAACAAAGAATCATAATATTTAAGTTAATTACTGTAGAATCTTCATCTCATACTATAGAAAGCACCTGACTCCAAATTACATGCATTGGCACCCAACTGTATCTCAAGCAGAATTTGAATAACCTATGCAGTGTTGAAATAAAGTTTGTAAACCCCAAAGATAAATATGGACATTTCATAGTTCTACCATGGCAGCCTTCAAGAATCCGTTCTTTATGTTAATATGTAATAGGCTTTATAATAACAAACTCCATGTCACCTGAAATATTAATAAACAAACAAAGTCTGAGCAATCAAATTACTCGGGATGTGAAAAAGTAAGTGTAACTCTAGTTTCGTTAGCTTCATTAAGGGAATAATTAGAATCAGGTGTTCAAATAATTAGGCAGATCTTGGGAGCTCAGTCTGGAAGGCCTCATTCTATAAAAAGATCGGAAATGTTGTGAGTTTGGTCTTAACCATGCAGGTGTGTGAAAACATGGCACGCCACACTGTTAGGTAATCTCAGAAAACGAGTTATTGATTCTCATCCATCCGGAAAGGGTTAAAAAACTATTTCCAAAGATGTGAGTCTCTAGTAATCCACAATCAGAGTTTACAAATGGAGAAAGTTCAAGACCAGAGTCCCTCTACCAAGGAGCAGTCATCCTACCACAATTTCTTCAAGAACAAACCAGAAAATCAACAAGGGAATTACAAAAGACCTGAACTTAACATTCAAGAAACTGCAGCCCACTGTGCCTTGGCTAATGTGACTGTTCATGACTCAACCAAATGAAAATGAGTGAACAAGAATGGCTGATTGCAAAAAAAAAATACTGTTCTCCAAAAAGCACACTGCTCATCTGAAGCTCGCCAAAGAGTCCACAGATGATCCACAAGGCTTCTGGAACGATGTTCTCTGGATAGACGAGTCAAAGGTAGAACTCTTCGACCACTAAGAGAGTTATGTGTGGCGGAAACGAAGCACTGCTTTTGAACAGAGGAGCCTCATTCCCCCCCTACTGAAATGTTGTGGCAGAGCCTGAAGCAAGCTACCATATAAGACAGCCCTCAAACGGCACAGAGCTGAAGGGGTTCTATAAGGAGGAAGAGACCCAAATTCCTCAAAACCAATGTGAGAGACTGATCAATAGTTACAGGAAAGTTTTAATTGCAGTCATTGCTGCTCAAGGGGGTTCCACCACTTAAAGAATCTAAAGGTCCACGTACTTTGTGACACATGAATATTTAATGTTGCAATAATCAATAAATGTTGATTGCATTTTGTGTCATCTGTTTCATCAGGTTAACTTTATCTACTCTTGGGACTTAAATTGACACCTAATAACATTCCATGTATCAAAAATGAAAATACAAAAATCCTAAGGGAATTACAAAACTTTTCTGAACATTTTAGATCATTAATTTTATCAAATTAAATGAATAATTGCTGGAATCACTCCAATCACCTGTCTTCAGCAGGTGATACAATGGCACAATGGTTAGCACGACAGCCTCCCAGTTCCACAGTCATGGTTTCAGTTTCAGCTTGGGGTGCTTGTCTGTGTGAAGTTCACTTGTGCGTCCTGTTTAACATTCAGGTTAGATCCCACTGGCTCCTCTAAACCTTTCCTTTTGTTTTTCAAGGGAGCTACATATTTGGGAGGCTAGCTTCCATAACAACCAGTTCCTCAAAGGAGAAATAGAACCAAATGTGCACAAAGTACTGAAGCACAGAATATGTCGCTGTGTAGAACCATACCCAAGACCCAAGAGTTGTGAGACAGCTAAGTTATGTCATGTGAGCCCTGCCATAGTGCCATCACCAAGAACATTCACAATTGTCAGGCCGCTTCCGAAATAAAGCTGGCAAAAAAAAGGAAAGCTTACAGGTCATTCTGGTTTATATTTTGCATTAGCTTAAAAAATATACCATCTCTCTCTGTATGCCCTTTAAAAACAAGGCACTAGTAAAGAACAGACCCCTCAGCTTTTTCTTATGACTATCACATGGGATGTATTATTTCTGTCTAAAACCATGCCAGGCAATTAGTCACGCGTTTCAAATTATTTAAAAAAATACAAGGGTGAATGGTGAATAGCCGCTTGTTATTTGAGTAGCTCTAGATCTGGTCCAACTCACATAAAGCTTTAATGATCACTACGTTTATTAGCTATAATTAAATACAGTAGTTTGTAATCAAAGAGAATAAAGAGAAAAAACTTTCAGATCTATTTAATTTTCAGATCTATTTAATTTTATTTTATACTCTTATGAGTTGATCAACCAGCAAATATCATCTAATAAAAATTTACCAGAAACTAATCACAACAGAGGGAAGA